AAACATAAGATTCTAATAGGGAAGCATACCATGTTGGCTTCGGCTTTGGTCACAGGAAGGGTTTCATACTGAACAAAACATATGAATATTGTGAAATTTGCAAAATTGAACATGCAAACAGGCTTCAAAATTCTAGTCGTCAAACGTTGAGATTTAGGAAATTATAGCTCTAGGATAACTAATTTTTCTATGTTTCTTTTTTTGTTTTTGAATTGAGTAGTTGATGAAGACGTGTGTTGTCATATGTATTACATGTATGTGCAGTTTTTGTTCATTTATACAACAAACAAGAAGCAAGATTGGTTTCTGTGAGAAAGTCTTTCTGTGATCTTAACATTAGGTTTGAAGAGATGTTACCTTATCTGAAATATTGACTAGGTATCCATTAATCACGACACTTAAAGAAGTATTTGACCGAGAAGAAGCTAGCAACCAAAGCAGGACTGAATCAATTGAGAAGAGGTTTTGAGGAAGCCAAACATCAAGTTGGATAAATATTCATATAATCTTACTTCAATTAAAAAAGAATAATTCCTTATTACATTAAAAAACATTTTTTTTTTAATTTATATACTTATTTCTATAGTGATTTGCTTACGTGTCGTGTTCACAGCGAGTTTCACAACCTTTCGCTTACGTGTCAGCTCCAGAATTAATTTCAGCTGCAGAAAAACTGTTTAGCCTTATTTAACAATTACATGTCATTTTTTATAGGTTATTATCTGCTGATGTGTAAAAACAATTTAAAACAAACCGTTCTAAATTATTATGGTTTAATGTTCAATTTTATAGTCAATCAAACCGTTTCTAAAATTATATAAAACTGAAATTTAGAAAAAAAATTAACAAAAACGTTTTTTTTAAATAACATAAACACTTGTAAAATAAAAAACAAACATGGAAACTATACCTCTTAATGATTACCATTTTTATGTTACCGAAAATTTTAAAAAAAAAATCTAACAAAAATATTAAAAGAAACAAAAAACTTAATGATTACCATTTTTTATGTTACGGAAATTTTAAAAAAAAATCTAACAAAAATATTAAAAAAACAAAAACTGGAATTTATTTAAAAACTAATGTAATGTTTAATCAAACTGTTTTTTATAGTTATATAAAACCAAAATTTTTTAAAAAATAACAAAATTTATAAAAATAATAAATAAAATATATATGTCTAATGAAATGTCGTTAAATAATATCTAGATTATGATTTTTGATTTCTTATCTATATATTATTTCAGACCTTTTTACCTTTTTACTAAAATCAAAATTTTATTTTTAAATTTTGGATTTGTCTAACTTAGAACAGGGATGAAAATAAATTAATGTTTTTAAAATTATTTATTTACAAAATTACATTTGATAGATATATATAGTCCACGCTTTAACTAGTTTAATGTTAAATTATATTTAAAGAAAAAAATGACTTTTTACAACCTTTTTGTTTTTGACTTTTTGAAATTTTAAAGCATTAAACCATCATTATTGCAGTAACTAATGTAGGTTTTTTATTCCAAAAAAATAATAAAATAATGTTTTAAGCTTAAAATCTACAAGAATCGACTCTTATTTTGGAATTGCAAGAACCGATTCTTATGCTACACGTGTCACATAGCTATTGGATAGACAATAAAACTTTTTTGTTATAAAAATTTATATCATGTGTGTGAGTTAGAGACAACCCTTTTTGGGGCGTTATGGGCTAAATTGGGCTTTTTATCACTTTATTTTACAATAATAGCAATATATACCCACAGATAATTGTATAATTAGTTCTCTCTCCTAAACACTGTTTGTTGTTTACTGTTCATGTGGAAAACCCCATTTAACCTTTTTCTTTTTTATCTTATTACATTATTTCTTTTTCTTCCTTCAATTATAAGAAAATGAAAAAAAAAGAAAGAAAAGAAGAAGAACGATGAAGGATGGAGTAGGTTGAAGTGTAAATTGGTGATATTGACAGTGACAGTGAAAACAGTAGTTCATGGTGAAGGTGGTAACGGCTATAACGACGGCGACGATAGTGAAACAACGGCGACGAATATGACTCCACCATCATATTAGTTATGCTGGTAGACGATGGTGATTGTGCAATGCCGGTGACATTGGTGATGACACAATGGTCACCGTATTGGTATAAAATATTGGTTTTATTATTAGCAAATATTATTTTTATTACAACGTTAATAGGTATTAATTTCATTGTTAACATGTTACAAAATATCATATATTATTTGTTAGCACGTTAACAACTAACAAATAATATTGTTAACACGTTAACAAGCATCATATCTTATTGTTATCACGTTAACAAATCTCATATATTATTGTTAACACGTTATTAGTATCAGATATTAATGTTAACATGTTAACAAATAGTTATCTATTAAAAGTTAACATCTTATCTAAATATAAGCTTGTTGTTGTATTATTCTATATCATATATATATATAATTGTTATCATGTCAATTATATAATTTTATCGCGATATAGTAGTTATCATGTTAAACAAATAGTTAACCACCATATTTTCAAACTGTATATAACTTTTTGATGATGAACAGTATCTGTAGATAAAAAATATATGATAAACAATATCATCAGAAGCTGCGATGAACAGTGTTTGTGTAAAGAGGTCGGAAAACAAAAATTTCAGACAAATGGCATTTGTGTAAATATGTAATAGAAAAGGAATATTTTTGGTTGTTTTTTATTTTTTCTTTCCTATATATTTAATTTTTAGTTATCCATTGTATTTAGTTAATTTTTTAGTTATTCTTTGGTATTAAATTAATTAACTCTTTATTTTAACTAAAACTTCTTTATTATTATTAATTTCTTTTTTTTGTAAGAACCATTTAAAGGTTTTACCGAGGACCATAGAGAACATTAGATTTTTTAACAAGATTCTTAACTCAGATTTAATACTAAAAAATTGCTAAGAAACCCATTATGAGTTATAGGGATAATGGTCATGATCTTGTAAGTGACAAGAAAAACAAAGAAACGAAACAAAAGCGGGGAAAAAGTAAGAAAAGAGACTAATCCTGACGACTACGTACATAATTTAGCAGACACGTAATTAGCTAATCTCAAAACTAAATCGAAAACGAAGGTAGCATGTGCTTGAGTGGTTGATCCGAATGCTGCGCCTAACCACCTTGTGAGACGGTCAGTAGATGACAACTTGGGAACGTTTGGTGTTGGTGCAACCAAGACTCGAAGCTTAAGCCCAGCCGCACAATGACCGATTTTGGAGCTAATGAAGTAATGGACTCCTGGTTCGGTGAGAATGACTAGATCCTGTCCTGTCTTGTGCACGGCTACTGGACTTGTCGGGTCGCAGGATTTGAACTCAAGATGGCCGTTGATTTCTAAGACGTCGTTGGCTTCGTTGCTGTATTCGAAAATAAGTTTGTCTCCAACATGAAACTGTTTCTCTTCGCTCCACTTGTGATAAAAGTCACTGTCGTAAACCCTCCATCCTTTGGAGTCACCGACCTTGTAGGTCTTTGCAAAAGGAAAGTTGTTGCTCGGTGGTGATGGTGGAGGAATCGGACGTGACGGGTCATGGACGACAAGAACGTCGAGTCTCTGTCCCGATTCGCAACAAGCATGATTTGAGGTGATGAAGTAGTGAAACCCTGGTTCCGTGAAGGTTACGACATCGTGCCCTGTGTTGTAGACGGCTTTAGGAGAAAAAGAGTCGCAGAATTGGTACTCCAAAGCGCCCGAGACTTGAGTGACGTCGTTGAAGTTGCGATCGTATTCGAAGAGGAGTGAATCACCGACGTGAAACTCCTTACGCTCGGCCCAACTGTTGTAGACGTCGTCCTTGGCCGTCCATCCATCGGAGTCTCCCACTTTGTAGATTGTCGCCGAGCAGCTATCAAAGAGCAGCGTGAAGGTTGTCATGAGGACCAAAAAGCCAAAGATCATGGTGTTGATCTTCTTCGTTGTTGTTGTTGTTGCCGCCATGATTCGAAGGTATACACGAAGAAGAACAAAGAAGAAAGATGAAACAAACTGAGAAGCGAACAAGCTGAAGAAAGATGAAACAATCTGAGAAGCGAACAAGAAAGGTTTCGAGATAGAGAAACAAAGAAGCTACCCTATCCCTCTATATATAGTGCTCTACGTTTACGATCCCTAATCCTTTGTTCTAGATAAGGATTTTATCTACTTTCTTTCCTTTTTCTTCATTTATTCCTTTTCAAATATATTTGTCTTTCCTTTTTGAATTTACATTAATATTTAACGATCTCCTTAATTTATCTACGTTTCCGAACCCCGATCCTCTTTTTTTTTTTACATCTTCCGAACCTTAATCCACATTTATTCCTTTTCAAATATATTTGACTTTCCTTTTTGAATTTAGATTGTCACGAAAAAAATGCTTAACGATATCCTTAATCTTCTTTATCTAAATTTATTCATTTTTCTTTGTTTTATTATATTCGAGTATCAATCTTTATTGGAACTTAAACATCTATAATTAATATCATTAATATCTAATTTAAACCCCTTTTAGTTTATTGATTCACTTGTGTGTTCCTATTTCTTTTGGTAACTCTCTTGTTTGATACTCCTTCCGGTTTTGATTAATTGTCGTTTTAGAAGGATACACACAAATTAAGGAAATATTTCATCAGTTAGTTTTCCAAAACAAAAACACCATTACCGATATACTTAAACACAATTCAACCAATAATATAATATTCTGCAGAATACAAATGGCTACAAAACATCAAAAATCATTAAATATCTAATTAAAAATTGAAAACGTCAATTAATTTGAAAAAAAACAAAAATTTAAAACGACAACTAATGAAAACCAGAGGGAGTACATGGGTAAATTAGTCAGATTATCTTGCAATCAATCTTGTTCATTTTTAAGCTCGTTTATGACTTAGATGCTGCTGTAGAGTAGCAACTGATCTCTATGAAAAGACATGAATGTATACTGCTTAATGTACAATGTATTATTCCTTTGCTTTATTCTTACGGAAAGTAGAGCAAAAAGACTCTGTCCCGCCCTTATCAAAACTGTTTCTGCCTGCTAAGTTATAAGCTTAAACTTATGATACCTGAATGAGTTTGATAGCTACATTTGTCTTCTTCTCGCAGCTTTCATGACCATTAGTTCGATTCATCTGCCGAGGAGAATTTAACCATTGATTCTGCTTCTTGCTTTGTTCATGTGACTGGAATCAGCATTGGCAGATCGCATCTAAAGTTTCTTTCATCAACAGGCTGAAAACTCCATCCTCAATCTGCACAGCCACCTCTTCCCGCTCTTCCTTCATCCGTTTCTCGTTCCAGTCTTGTCTTTCAATTTCTCTAGCACATGCCTGTCTTCTCTGCTCACCTGTTCCACGTTCAAGCTCGGATACTCTTTGTCCCTGTAACCATTCTTTTGCCTCGCCCACCAATTCGTCTTCAAAGTGTTGATAATCTCTGTAAGTTTCGTGAGATGAGTTTGTATTTTGCATCAGTTCATCTCTGAAATAGTCCATTATCAGATGTTCTTCGTGGATCCAAATGGCATGTCTTTCTCTGACTCGGTCCCATAGCTGAGCTGCTTTCTCTTCAACCTCATCAACGTCTTCATCTTCAACCTCTATGTTGCCAGTATCACAATTTTCATCATCATATATGATATCTGTCTCTAGTCCTTCTTCCGTGCAAGATTCCTCATCCATTGAGACCCATTCGTCCAAATTGAAAGGACTAATGTTAGCCAAATTCTCAAACCGTTGAATCGTTTGCATGAGCTTTTGTTTTGTTCCTGCCAAAAATCATTACACATAGCGTGTGTTTCAAAACTTTGAGGTCTAAAATAACTTGCTTTGATTGAAATGAAGGAAATCTATACGCACTTTCCACATTGTCAAGGCATTGACTCAAAGAAGAGTCTGATGCTTCGGAATCTTCCCCATGTTGAATCTCAAGAACAGAGACGGGGCTATTTTGCTCTTTTTCACATTGTAAGTCCTCCTGACCATGATCATTCCCATATTAGGCCAAATCATCCAACTATATATATATATATAGTGTAATAATTTAAGTTTATTAAATGTTAATGCAGAACTGCTCTTCTAAGTAAGCCCTCTTGCATAAATGGTTAGATTGGTAGAATTTAGTCGGTATACATTGCACATACTATTCTAATATATTATTACCAAAGAAAAAGACAGCTTCTGTTTTGTCTTGATGTGAATTTTAGATTACCGAACAGCTGCACGTGTATAGAGTCAGCATGGTCGACCGTACGGTTGAAGCAAAGTCAACCCATAAGATCTCATTTCTTTTTCAAACTTGATTTGATTCTGATCTCTTTTTACTTATGCATGTACTAGACTACTAGTTAAACTGATTGATTAATTATTAATGTTATAATTGGAGTGAGTTTAATTATTTTCTTAAGAAATATAGTATTCTTACCTGAGGTCCCACTTCAGTGTCGGCGTCTGTTACTGCTGTGCAAGAATCTTCGCCGACACATAGTAATTTGTTTTCACCACCCTCTTTTTCAACGTTACCTCCTCCCCATGATGACGGTAAAAACTCAGAAGTAAAATCCGAGTCGCACCAACTGCTGCAGGATGTGCCGCTGGTTGTGGAGGATCCCGTGGTTGTTGTCGTGATCGTCTTGGTCGTGTACTGACGAGGTGGAGACGGTTCAAAATGTGATATGTCTTCTTCATGCAGGTCCTTGGAGGAGCTCCACCGTACGATGTCTTTGACTCGAACGACGGTGATGATTGCTTTGTTTTCTACTGCTTTGTTCTTGGATGATAACCGGCGAGAAAGGCTCCTTGGTAAAAGCCCTGATGGAGTGGATTTGACGGCGTTGGAACGGAGGTTCTTAACGACGTTAATCAAAGCCTGCAATGCATTGGATTCTTTCCTCTTTGTTGGTATCAGTGGGAACTGGTTGAGAGTAGGCCGTCTTGGAATCGATTTGAACCCGTTTGATGAACAGGAATTGGAATCTTCCAAAAGGCAGTCTTTGAGCATTCTCGGCCTTAGTTCCATCCTGAAAACGCTCTCTTTGGCTCCGAATATAAGAAAAATATGTTGAAAGAGAGAAGTGGACTAGCTAGTGAAGTGTTTAGGAGTGGTAAGATGTATTTTAAGTGTGGCTGATGAGAGTTTGTGGAAAGAGAGAAGCAGCTTCTTGATGGAGATCTCAAGATGATCACAGGACTGAGAGCAAGAAAGAAAACAGAGGTTTTGCATAATATAATTTTAAGTTAGTTGGTAGAGAATAAGACAAAATATGTGGGACCTAGGATGTTTCGCTCTACGACTACGAGTTGCGAGGATTTGGAGCTTCTACTTATTTTACTTATTAGTTTATGATTTTTATAATCAAAACAACTCAAAAGGTTTGTTGGAGCTTTGTTATACTCAGTTCTTGTGTCTAGTCACAATGTCCAGTGACCTGACGATGACTATTGTAGTGACTAGAGAATATATATATGGGAAGGATTACTACAAAAAACTTTAGAAAGTATCTATATTAGACCAGGTTCATTAGTGAACCCCTCTGTGGGGTTCATCAGATTAAAATATTAATTATTTTTGGTTTTAAAGTTTGGGAAGAACTTGGATTAATTTTTGGGTTCCATTAGTGAACCCCATTTTGGGTTCATCCCAAATAATTTTATTTAAAAAAAAAAAAAATTAAAACACACAATAATTATTAGTAAAGAAGAACCCAAAGTTCATACAAAACAAGTTCATACTTAACCAAAAAAACCATCACAACCCAATGTTCATACTAAAACAACAACAAACCCAATATTATGGTCGTGACTTGAGTCCTTCTTGCACATATGGTCATTTCCTTCACCTAAGATAAAGAGAAAAGGGAGATTTTGTGTATAATGGCTCTTTCTTAAGCAATTAAATCGTTAGCTAAAAAGGCTAACAGAGTATAGTAATAGTGTAGTGTGTTGACTGTTGACTTACGCTGACAATTCCAAGAATTTTACCAGTTGGAGTGAGTGTTCCGGCCATTGCGAGATTCTTCTTCACTGGTTTGTTCATGGCCAGTGATAGAAAGGATGTGAGAATGGTGCAGCCTGCGCTTGTACCGTTAATTGTGGAATAAGTAGGCAAATATATGCTAAGCACGGAATCCTCAAAGAACGTGTTCTCAGGTTTTTTCTCGAGAAGGATTTGGTAAGCGAGATCAAAAGCGATGTCAAGACTTGCTAGCACCTCTTCCCCAGGTTGGCTCCTTATAGAGAGACAGCCTTGGCCATCATGTTTATCTTCAAGTGTTGTCGTCACATACAATGCTGAGCCGCCTCTGTACGTCATAGCTAACCACATAGAAATTCCGACATGTGTTTGATCATACAAAGCTGATTTGCCAACATAATCTTCAATTCCTACCCTTTCGTATTCTTCTCTGAAATCAGTTTGATGATCTTCATTATTACATCCAAATACTAGATCAAATATTTGCTTGTATTCATGGACGAAATGAACATCGAGTCCTTCTTTCAAGTAGTTTTCGAGCTCATCAAAGTCATCCCGGTTAGCTTCTGGGAATATGATCGTCTTCACTTGGCTCTGTCTTGCACCAATTGTCTTCTCTTTCACCTGAGAGGGAGAGAAAGAGAGATTTTGTGTGTAATGGCTCTTTTATTTGATGCCTTGGCTAGAACTTAACTAAACAGAGTATTTGTATTGTAGTGTGTGTGTGACTTACAGAGCCAATTACTTAGCAGAGAAACACAATTAGCCAAAACTAGAGCAAAGCACAAAAAATGTATTTCAATCTAAGAAAATAAAGTTAAGGCATTGTAATTTTGTAGAGCCAAGCAGAAAAGAGATTAACCACATCGCACAAACCTGGGATAAGCTTCCAACTACAGGTAAGAGGGAAGTTTTAGTTATGTAATTGGGGCTTTTCAAAAGCTTGGCGATTCTAGGGTAAAGCTTTTGAAAAGCTGCAAAGGGAGGCTCCGATGCTGAATCCACCATCTTCCCATACAAATCGCATCACCAGATTGTAAGCTTTTGTTCTGCTCTGCCCATAGTCTCGACGGAATCGACGGTTTCGATGGATTCAATGAAAATCGCCGGAGAAGACGAAGAGGAAAGAAAGAGCCGGGGATTTTTTTCCCTTAGAAATTTTTTTTTCCGAAAATTACCCTTCATTTTCGTCCAATCCGCTTGCGCCACGTGGTTCGGATACGGGCTGAAGCCGAGCTCTTCAGGGTCGACAGGAAGGATCAGTTCATCAGAAATGGGCCTTTTTTCTTTTTTTTTTAAAATCCAATATACCTATGAACCTGTGCCCAAAAAAGCTGAAGACTCTCTAATGGACCTGCTCTTACTTGTTTGACGCACTTTTATTTTTTTACAAAACTAACCTAGTATACCCAAAACATCCTTTTGGCCTTTGTTGAAAAAAACATAATTACGAAAATGTCATTACTTTTTGAATGTCACGTAGGCAGAATATAGCGCTGAAAATTTGATAAGTCTACCAGGCTTTGACGGTAGACTTATCAAATTTTGGTCAACGCAAAAATTTTGTCGGTAGAGTTATTAGGTCGATGGTAGATTTATTCGAGAATTGGTAGAGTTTACAAATGTTGGTAGACTTATCTTGGTAAAGTTTTGATGATGAGAGGTAGATTTATTATATTTTGGTAGATTTGTTGTTATGAATGGTAGACTTGTTAAACGTGTTGGTAGATTTGTTAAAGAAAGCGTTGACTTTGTCGCATAGTTGACTTTATCGGTAGATTTATTGATCATGAGGTAGATTTAATTTCTGAGTTGGTAGACTTATGTCCTTTGGCAGTAGACTTATGTGAAAAAAGTTGTCAATATGTGACGGTAGATATATCTGTTTTATGGTAAAGTTATATCTAGTTGGTAGATTTTTTGCTTTTGTGGTAGATATGTTTGTTTTGTGGTAGATTTAAATTCAAGTAAAATTTCTTCCGGTGAGTGGTAGATTATTTGTTATATGCAGTAGACTTACAAAATGTTGGTAGATTTATTTGTTTTGTGGTAGATATGTTTGTTGTGTGGTAGATTTAAATTGAAATAAAATTTCTTCTGGTAAGTGGTAGATTATTTGTTACATGAAGCAGACTTACAGAATGTTGGTAGATTTGTTTGTCAGTTTGGTAGAGTTTATGTAATCTGGTAGAGTTATTGTACGTATGGTAGACTTCTTATAATAATCATGTGGTAGATTAATTTAGTTTGATATTTACAAAGATAACCTCGATCTGGTAGACATATGAGGTGCTTATGGTAGACTTGTTTCTATGGTAGAGTTATTTTCCATGCTTGAGGTAGACTTAGTTGTTAATGTTTGGCAGACATTTGACTTTTTGGATTGAAATTACTTTTTTTTCCTAAATGTATTCTACTATCTACGAAAAAACCAGCGGTTTGGTAGACTTGTTTGGAATGTTGTATGTTAAACAGGTTTCGTACATATGGTAGACTTGTTCCATGGTTATATTTGACTTGGTTTTGTTACCATTGACGTTTTCTTTGCATGAGTTTGCTAAGATTATGTCGGTTAACTGTGATTCGATCACAGATGAGTATTGGTCTTTACGATATAGATGTCATAATCAATGGTCAAAAATTTCTAACATGAATATTTTTTCTATGATATATCTTTTCTCTAAGATAACTTTGTTTTTCATGTTAACTTTGAACATATATGTCATATTTACCATCTCTTAACTTATGATCTTTTGATTTTATTTTTGAATATTTGTTACATTTAACTCTATTTACATAAACTTTTACAACATCACAATGTCAAATGATTTTAGTCATGTGTTTTGATTAAAATTTTATTCAGTTATGGTATACATCATAGTGAAAGTAAAGAAATAAATCAAATTAAATAATAACATTACTAGCAAATGTGATAAAAATGTGAAATGTATGGGTCAATGTTTTACGACAAATATAATTTGAAAACAAAAATATTATCATTCAAAATCTAACTATCATTTTTTCAAATTCAAATATAGATATACCATTAATTTAATAATAAATCTACCATCATTTCAAAACAAATCTACCAAATGTAAATCTACAATTCATAGTAAAACATGTCGGATCGATGCTGGATATCCCATCAAAGATTTGTTCACCATGGCAAAGCCCATAATCTGTCAGAAAAAAATAAACAAATATTGTTATTCACATATAAAATTCAAATATATACGACTGATAAATTTACCATAAATAACTAATAAATCTACCAAACACATATCATTTTTCAAATAAGTTACCATTAAATGACTAATAAATCTACCAAACCACATCGTTTTACAAATAAGTCTATCATTAGATGACTAATAAATCTACCAAACGATATCGTTTTTTAAAATAATTTTACCATCAAATAACTAATAAATCTACCAAACCACATTTCGTTTTCTAAATATATCTACCATCAAATAACTAATAATCTACCAAACTACATACCGTGTTTCAAATAAATCTACCATCACATATTATGAACTTTACAACCAAAAAAATACAAAATCGATTTCCAAATATATCTACCAAACGTACCTGAAAAAAATTAAGGTTACGGTTTTTACAGAAAAATTTATGCCGCCGACAACCTCCACAACACCACCATTCCATCGAAACAACGTTTATCCACTGCGGTTGTGCGCGACGCGGCGAGAATGCTGCTTAAGAGTCACCGCCAACCGCCACATCTCCATAGTTTATCGTTGATATTAGATCCAAAAATCCAGATCAAGAAAAAAATCAAAGAATTTGAAAAAAAACGAAAAAAAACTCACATAATAGCAGAATGAATTGTAGAAGCCATGGGAAGATCTAGATCTCCGAGTTTGGAAACGTTGGAGGCTTCTTGATACAAAAAATCGGTAGAGCAAGTTGTGTTTTTCTCGATCTGAAACATCGATGCTTTGAAGTTCATAAAGAATATCTATTCATACAACAAAATTTAACAAAACAAAAGAAAAGATAAAGAGGAGAGCAAGAGAGGAATGAAATGGTTAAGAAGAAGAGCAATTCCATGGGAGAAAGAAAGCGGAGCTGGAGAAAGAGAGAGAAGAAAATGAATTAGGGTTTTTATTTTTTTTTGTTTTGGTTTTGCAATTTTTTTTTTTTTGCTTTTTTCGTTCAAAAAAATAGTTTTTAAAAAAAAATTTCGAAATTAAAGTTTTTTCGAAAAAAAAAATTAAAAAAAGAAAATCATAATGGCATTTTCGTAATAACATTCAATATCTGGATAAAATGGACTTAGACTAACTTTATAAGGTTAATCAAGTAAGCCCTTCAATATGTTAGGTTAGGTTTGTCATTTCTTCAACCTTAAAGGCTAGTTTGAGGAATTTTCACTATATATATTTCTTTTTTTACATAAAAAGATCATCTCCGTTGGTAAAGATGAGGTTTGAATGAAACTTGGCTGTATATATTTTCTTTTACCTTCCTTGTCACTGCACGTTCAGTAATTTCTGGTTTTAGGGTCTGTGCTCAGCTCCTATTTGGGGAGAAGTGCGTTAATGACTTACAAAGCTGAACTTTAGAAGCTATTCCAAATTTAGGTGAGTTTCACGTTTCTATCTCCTCTTTTCTGTAATTTATGTATCTACCAATGTGCAAACTGTTGTGATGCATTCAGAAGAAGCCAAACAATGAAAGAAAGGAACCAACACAGAGAGCCAGAACTGGTTTGCATGAAGGAGGAACTAGAAAAATTGGTCCACTCAACCTGTTACCAATTTTGCTGCTTTTGGTGAGCCCCTCGGATCTCAAATATTACTGGAGTGATTGCAGTATCGTGGAAGTTATATATGCACGTGATTTAGGATACATAATCACGTGCATATATAACTTCAGTCCCAAATTTGGTCCTCTTTGTAATAGATGATCTTTGAGATTAATTACTTGAAATTTGGAGTTGTCTTCAGTCCCAAATTTGGTGTCTATCAAGCAACCAAATTTGGTCATGGGACAGTGGAATATGAACTCGAAGGGCGAGAGATTTTCAGCCTTTGGAGAGCGTTGGGGATTGTGTGGGTTGTCATGAGATTCCGCAAGAGTCCTCAAACAGGGATATTGTTGGTCAGCTACAAATGCAGAAGACACATAGAGCGTTGGATGAAGAAGTGATGCAGGATGCAATCAGCCTCTCTGACCTCGAATTTGTTCTGCAAGAAGGACAGGATTTTACATCTGATTTGGAGAAGAAAGCGAATCAGGAGCTTTCCGATTAGATATTCACTAAAGAGCTTAAAACCTTAACACAAAGTACAAACATCTTCATTGCTCTGTCTCGCGCCTATGTATAATGAGATGTTCCTTCTCTGGTTTTTAGTTGCGTTTCTCGCGGATAAGTAGTTACACGTTTGACCTTCTCTGTTTTTCTTCAGTAGCCGTCTTCACATGTAAACTAAAATGGCTTTGCCGTTTTTTTTCAAGATTTCCAATAAATTCCTTTATCTTCTGCTAATGAACATAACACTGATCGATTATCTGGAACGACAAGCAACAACCCGACCATATAATCTCAACGGATATAACCAGGGAAATGATACTTAAACCAAACCGTATACACAAGAGGAATATAGTCAACAAAGCCTAGTAATTCGTTATTATTTCAGAAAACTGACAATCTTTACAACACTGTAAAAGAGAGATAGGGTCAGCATGGCTGGAGAAAAAGCTTTTAAAACCGCTCAGGATAGATGGATCACACCTATAACAATGGAAGCAAAGCCAAAATAAATAAAAGAACAACTGGAAGTAGTAATTCAGACGCTAAACCTCCTCGTCTGATTCAGCATCCTCCTCGTCTGATTCAGGCCAAACATACTCGACGTCAAGAGGATGCCTGTGCAGGAAATTCAAGAGCTGTTCAAGGTTTCTCATCGGCCTAAACGGACTCTGCCCTGCCTCTGCTTCCATCTCATCCAATTCTTGTGGATCACTGTAACTCACTACCTTCAACCCAAATTTTCCTGAGTCATCAGGATTTACCACCTCAAACGATTTTGCTAGTGATCTTCCCATCACTCTGACATGCGCCACGCTGCAAAAACAATCAACCAAAAACTACTTTAAAAGTGCCGAAGTTTGCAAAGTTTTTAAGGAATCTAGACCAATAGGGAGAGAAGATGTACCATATGTAGTATAAGCCATCCACTTCTTGTGTCTGAACTCGACCTAGAAACTCGATAAGCATATACCCACCAATGCACATAACGGGTTCTGGAAGCTTAAAGTTCTGCAACCGGTTTTCCTACTCATGAAAACCATTACTAATTATCAACAGTTCAGGAACAAAGATATATATCATGATCTAGACGACAATGATTTATAACACACCTGAGCAACCGGAAACTCTTGTGAAGTGTAAGTCCATACATAGTCGTTTTCAACCGGAATCTTTCCTGGCTCACCTTTCTTATCCTGTGAACTTTTACTCTGGTGACCCAACCGGAAACGAACATAATGTGAAGAGTATATCGGAACTCCGGGCTGAAAATAAGCTGGAGAGAAAATGGGGAACAGTTGAGCAAACAAAAAATCTATAAGAAACACAAATCACCCTTAAACTTGTAAAGAAGTGTTGAACTCAGTAATGACACACATTGGTACCACCTTGGAAAGGCTGAATGCTGAAATCAGTAATGACACACAAATCACCCTTCAACTTGTAAAGAAGTGTTTCGGGCACAGAAGTCTTGTGCTGTCCTGTACTAGACCAATACGAAGGGGTTCCACCAATTCGATCTCTTTCTTCGAGTGTGTTTAAGATGCTCTCTGCAGGGAAATTATCAGTACTAGACGCTATAATGGCATCGGCAATACAGCTTTGGATAGGAGACGATGTGCATCCTCTAGCCAGTAAGGCATAAACCCTGTGCTCTCTTTCTAGTACCCTTGTATCCATGAGACTGCTTGACCCGGCTTCAGATGACTCTTCATTCCTATCATTACTTATTTCTATTACACGATCCACACTGTTTAACCGATGGAACAACTTCAAGCACAGGTTCTTGGAGAAGCTGTATTTAATCACTGCAAGTGCAAACCCATTCTCAGAACATTAACCACCATTACTCAAGATTCAATTGGAAAGAGAATAAAAGGGGAATCTGAGCTCTTACCAAACTGTCGCCAGGAACGTGAGACAGCACTAGCACGGACAAGATCTGATGGGTCATCTAGACACGAAAAAATTGCTAGCGACATGTCGGTATCAAGACTGTTTACGAAATCCATCCCGTTCGATCAAACTGAAATCAACCTACAAAATATTGAAAAATCCAAAAATCAAGTATGAAAATTACTTGAGCATTGACAGAAAAAGAACAGTGCTTTGGTAAAATTCTGATAATCGAAGCAGATAGGATTCATAGATTGGACAGGGAAACTCAAATTCATAAATCAACGGGAAGAGAACGAAACTAGAAATTAAAAAGAAGGACGAAGGGTTAAAATTTCCACCGCGGAATACACGCAATCGGATGAATTCGACGATGAGCCGCAGAAACAACAGACGGAATGTAGAATTCGATCAGAAAAAAGCATATAAAGGAAGAAACTTTTACCTAAATTGCTATCGAAAATCAGATAAAGAGCGATAGGGACCCTAGAAAATGAATTGGGAGAGAGAGGAGAACTTCGATGCGATGATTTATATTCAGGTCAAGTAAAGAAAGACCGACATCGTTAAGAGTTAGGGCCAAGGTACAGTTCTTTTTTTACCGCTATAATATTTTTTTTTCTTTAAAATAAACTATTTAGTCACTTTTTAATTATTAATCTCAAAATTAATTCATGGCATAAACAAATAGGACTTACAAAAAGGAAATACATATATATTTGATACGTAATTATTCCAAGGAAATCGAAAGTTATGATGAAGAATCGGTTGCATATTTAACAAACAAAACAAAAACAAATATTTACCTCTTTTCGTAAAAAAAAAAGATTTGACTTTGGCGTCGTCATTGTATCCAGAAGCTACTATTATACATATGCAACATGAAAGGAAAGAAAAGAAAAGAAAAGAATCTTAAAAAAAAAAAAAACATGAAAGAAAAGAATACTCTCATATCGGGGTAAAAATATCAACCATACTCTACATCTCGAGCACAATGGAACTTATCCTCCGCAATCTCATAGTTAACCACTTGCCTCTTATTATCTCAACACTCTTAACTTTTTATTCAGCTTTCCTCCCTAATATCGTAATAACTTTTTTTTTTTACTGAAATTACCATTTTATTAGTAGCAAACAATTGCACATACAAAAAGTCAGCAACAGAGAAACAAAAAGCATTAGTACTACAATTGTGGATGAAACAAAAATTATTGTTCACAGTAAAGTGTAATACTGATCAAGAAAAAAATATGTATGCTGGAAGTTGTAATACTGTAAAGTATAAACCTAAAGTGATAATGTAATTGTAATACTGATCAGATAAAAATAACTGTAAGTAATAAGCTTGGGAGAATAATAAGATTGAGCACAAGTTAAAGGGATTGTTAGGAAAATTTAAGCAAGTATTCTTAAACAAGTAATTACTGATTACACGTCACTTTTGTGTCGACTCATCAGCGTCGGTTCGAATCAGTTGAACCAATCTTGCTTTACAAAGCTAAATATTAGAACGCCGCTTCGCTTCCATAATTCCCGGCGAGTTTGTTTGTTCTTCACCGATTCGACAGCCTTCGATTATTCCGGCGGAAATGGTGAGGCCAGCGAGAGACGCCATTCAGTCTTACATGAGCATCACCGGCGCTTCCGAGTCACTCGCCATTCAGAGACTTGAGGTTCGTCGTTTTCCTTTTTCTCTGAGAGGATAGTCTCGTGGGATGCCATTACCCAAGATTGATTTTGTTTTAGTAATCTAGAGAAGATATGGTTACTTCCGTGATCAAATGGGTAAAAATGCTTCTTATAGATGTGATATGTAAATGGAATTTGGAGAATTAGGGTTTTAGGCTTTTCTGCTAATTCATATGGAGCATTGAACAACTCGTTTTTTTAATAGATCCACATTAATCTTTGCGTTCTTGCACTACAAGAAGTTAATTCCTGTAAAATTTGACCAGGAACATGGCGATAATCTTACTGAAGCGATCAATTCTCACTTCAGGGATGTGGAAAGGAGCATGTATGTTTCTCAACTTTTCAATAGTTTTTTAGTTTCTCTCTTCTTTGATCTAGTTGGATTAAGCCCTCTTTGTTTTGTTGGCTTTTTTTTGTGTGGATTATCCTTCCAGTCTTGATCCTGATTCAAGCTTAGACAGTCGTCCAGAATACAATGTTGTGGAAGATAACAATCAGGTTCGTGGTAGCGAGTCTAGGCCAGTCCCAGGCGGACTTCCATCTTTCCTCTCGGCTGCTCGGGCTTTTAGACCGTCGTTGCTTTTAGATCCCAATTACAGGAGAAATATCCTTAGGCAGATCAGTGGCTCTGCTTCTTCTGGACATCTCTCTCCATCACCTCACACAGGAGAAGTCACAGGGTTTCCTGCGCACTCTACCTGGGGTAATGATCAGATTCGTCCTCCTGGACATGGAGAGATTGGAGACAGTTATTCCAGACATAGGGATGCTGAATCACCTGTCTATAGCGACGATGCAGAAGAAGAAATGATCAGAGCTGCCATTGAGGCTTCGAAGAAGGATCTTCAAGAGGGTCGTCACAGCACAAGATATAGTCTGGACAATGTATAGTTTTCACCCTGTCTAGCTCCCAGTTTGCATGAGCCTCACATATTTTGCTAATCTTTTTTTGTAAAGATGCAGGATCCATCCAGCGTTTTATCTCCAAGAGAGGCTACTAACAGGGAAGACGAGGACATTGCCCGTGCAATTTCGATGTCCTTAGAGGTATAGATAGATTTTCCAGCTGCTATGTACCTGCCGATGTTGGTGATGTCTCACCTTACCATAAATGGCTTTCAGATGGAAGAGCAAGAGAGTGCGCTGCGAGAGCAACTAGCTGAACTTATGCCTCGCTCCATGGAGCATCACGACCCATGCCAATCTAATACAAATGAAAGTAACAGATATAAGGTGTGAAACTGAATTTCTTTTCTCCTCTAATAAGACTCAATCTTTCAGCCTTATGGTTCATAAAAGCTATTGAATGATATATAAGCGTGCCCGTTGGTATAGTTTGGGAAGCTTCCCTTAATAGTTGTCACCAATTTATTTGGCTGACAGTCATGTTACATATAGTTATTTACACTTTTATTAAGATTCTCCATGTAATGTGTTGCAACTCTTTAAGCTATCTTGCTAACTAAAACCTTTGTAAAGCCCGGGAGCTCTTCAGTGCAAGACAAGCGTGAAGACATGAAACAAAAGCAGCCAATTGATACTAGCTCTCAGCAGGGGCATGATCTCCAGCATGTTGAATCTTCTTATCCTGAAGAGGTACTTACTCAAAACAAGCTTGAGTTTTCTTACCAGTGAAAGTAGCAAATCAAGAAAAATTTAGCATCTTTCTAGCGTCTAGCTTCTAGTTGATTCATTTCTTCTTCTGTACCCTGTTTTCACCTCCTGATGCTCAACTTCTACTAGTGGGGTGGCATTCCATCAAAAGAGCTACAGGAGGCAATAATGCTGGAAAAGGCACTCTTTAGTGGAGTAGCTAAAGAAAGTAATAATCAGCCTGGAATTCACATGGAGTCACAATCTCCCGATAACAGGGTCACTGGAGAGGTAATCTGCTTATCTTCTGAGGCATTCATTAGTTGGAAGGTGAAAGTTGACATGAACGTAATCCCGAGTGTGAATATCTCTGCTATAAATCCATAGGTAGAACTTCAGCTTACAAAAATAGGGCTTGTAATCAGAGTGAACCCGTAGATTTTCAGCCATAATATGATCATAGTGAATCTTAAAGCAAAATGGTTCTGAAGTGTGGTTTAACATTGATTTCATGACTACAAATCCATCTTGTAGGCATCCTTTGTGTTCAACCATGTTATAATGCCTATCCAGTGAAAGCTGATATTCCTTTGGTTTTTCACTAACTGTTTTGGGTACCTCACTTGTAACAGGAACCTGAGAGTTCTTCCATTACGAACAAGGCAGCGCTTCCCATCGAGCCATCAGTCGAAAATGAAGATGCCATCACTCTACTTGTTAGAATGCCAGATAGCAGCCGTCATGGCCGTCGCTTTCTCAAATCAGACAAACTTAAGGTGAAGTTTGCGAATCTCAAGTGATTAGTGTAACTAACATTTTACAGTGTTAAGTTTTTTTAACAGTTGTTTTTTGTATCGCAGTACCTTTTTGACTTCATAGATGCTCTTGGATTAGTCAAATCAGGCACATATAGAGTGGTAAGCCTAGTGATGAGCGATATTCTCCTGTAGTATTTCACAACGGGTTTTGCCACCCCCAGATGTGAGTTTGTATTTTCTGCTGCTACAAGCCTTATGAGCTGTGTGAATGTTGTTGGTAAACAGGTTAGACCATATCCTCGACGTGCTTTCAGCATTCAAGACGGTGCCTTAACTTTTGAGGAACTCAGTCTCACCAACAAACAAGAAGCGTTGTTTCTAGAACTAGTGATGTAGCAATGTAACCAGTTGAGTTCAGTGTACTGCAAGTCTGTAAGCGCTTTCTTAGCTAATAGACCCGATGCATAGTCACATGCTTTGTTGTAAAATCTGTCGTTTATTTGCTCACACTGAATCTCCGGTTTGAAACAATTAATCGGATGGTGTTTCTTCAAAGTCTTTCAGTGTGTACAAAATATGTTAAAGAACAAAGAATGGAGCTACGAGGTCTATGATTTAATTCCAGCTTGATCCACTATCTGACGACTGGTCGGGCGCAGGTGCGGTCCAGTACTCCTTCACAAGAAACAAAATCTTCTCCCTTTCAAGAGGTCCGTTCTCATGATCTACTATTCTCCCTTCCCATTGCATCGCGTCTGTTATCTTCTTCACTTTGGTTAACACATCAATGTCGTCTCTGATGATCACGCTTCCCTTTGGTCTTAGAATCCTGTCCATTTCTAACAAGATATCTTCCATGTCACATTTGTCTTTGTACATACTGAACACCGAATCGGCATGGACGAAATCGTACGTCCTTGGGTAAGTTGACATCGCTTCACACCTGTTTTAAGAGTTAAAAGAAGTCGAAACAATCAATGAAAGCTTCCCAATAAAATAGAGGCGTATTCAGTTATTAGGAACCCGTACCAGTTTTGATACGTTCCGATTAACCCTCGCTCATAGATCACTCCAAGGGTGTTGACTGTAGCCTCCACGGGGACAACGTTCATGACCCAGACAGGATCATCGACTAAGGCTGAAGCGAAACCTCCAAGATGAGCGTTCATGTCAAGTAAGTTTCTGTATCTTCCGGTCTCCGCTAGCTGCTGGTCGAAGCTCTTGTAGTAAGACACTCTTCTCTGCCATGTCTCTGTGTTGCTGACAAAATCATCCTCAGTGATCCCTTGCAAGCTCCCACTTCTGATCCTCGGTGGAACAGCATTCAATCTCTCAGGCCATCTCGCCAACTTCCCACCCGCTACTTCTTTGATCTCAGATCCTGTAACTTCCGGTAATGGCGTCAAACACTCCTCGAGCTTAGTGTACCTAAAACCCCAAAACACAACGACAAATCATGACCAAATGAGATACACAAATCTTCCTTTCTTAGTAACCATCACTGGTCTACATTTGGAGATAATTACCAGGCCTGGTCGGGTTGTGTCCGGTGGCAGAACGGAGGGCGTCTTAGAGCAATCCGATTGCGCTTACAGTGAATATGGTTGGTGGGTTTCTGCCACACGGCAAGGTCTTCTCTCTGCACCAGTTTCTTCCAACACAAGCTCCTAGCGACCCTCTCGATCTGAGTCTGCTCTGAGTTTAGATCGTCTCTGGTTCTCTCCCAACCCTTCCAATGCTTCTGCCAGTTAACCGGCGGTCCCGACAGAATCCAATACCCGCCCGGTCTCAGTACCCTATCCACCTCTATCAGATAAGTCCCGTCTGCTCACAATAAACGGTGAAAACAAACATATATAAAAAGGGACTTCAAAAGGAGAGTGCCAGAGAATGCGACCAAGAGTTGTCAGTGTAAAATTACTGTATTGGCCCCACGGGATGAGACATCGAGAGCAATGAGCCATGTCGAAGGCTCTGGCCGGAAATGGGAGCCTAATGGAAGCTAAGACTCCGAGGATCGCAGGCACTCCTCTCTCAAGTGCGAACTGAACCTGAGCTTCGTGTGTGTCTCTTGGCGCAAATGACATCGTTACTATGTTCCTCGACATTAGATACGCCCCAAAACTCGCAACCTGTTATCATCATTAATTTAGACGGTCGATAGATTGACAGAATTCATGATCTTAAACGTTATAATTAAATGAGCCATTTACATCTATACGACAAAAGAGTTTTAAAAGTCGTGTGACCACTTTACTTCCATATGAAGTTTGAAACTATTGATGAAAAGAAGAAAACCCACATTTACTATCTAATGACTCTAGCCAGCATTTACTTGGCTGTATTACAATTTCAATAAAAAGGTTACAAAGTATTAATGTAAAAATAATAATGAAATGCAATGTAGAAAATTGTTTCTACCCATTAACATTTATAGGAAAAACAAAACAAGGAAAAGTTAGTAAATTTGTTTCTAGTTTTGATCCTATTAATTTTTATCTACTTGTGACTCCAGTGCTATTAATTTCCATATCAAGACAATCCTATCTGTCCTTCTCTCACTCTGCTGTGTCAGAAAAACAAATTCTGTCATAAATCGCAGCTGATTTTTTACGACCGAAATTCTGATTTTTTTAATTGAAATTTAAAACCAACAAATCTAAAAAAACTAATTTACTAAATCTAATCAGGTACCGCATGCGAGTTTGAAATAATTGTCTCTGATCTGACCTTAATCAATATTGAATAAGTGCGTATATATGTGTAGTACAATACACGTCTTTACATTAATCTATGAACAAAGGGAACAGCAATAGATAGTGTTCCAATGTAATTGCACAATCATCGATTAGTTTGACATATATCACTAGTTTACACGCTATTATACAGCTTGTTATCACTAATGAAACTAAAACCACTAGTTTAAAACCATTTATCAAATCAAATCATCATATAAAATCTCAAAACTATACACAAAAGGTATAAGATTTTCTTTTTCCAAAAATGTGAAGTATAAAGATGATTGATGAATTAAGAAAAAAATACAGAAAATAGCAAACGTAATTTATGACATCACAGGCATGGGATGAACATGAGGAGCCAAAGAAAAAAAAACACGGAGACATCGATCACATGAATGGTACAAAACGAATAAAAATGAAAACTTACCCCACAACCAGTATCAATGGCTGTCCGAATCGATCCATCCCTGAGATTTATCAACCGTCCGATCTCGTCGATGTAAGCATCAGCTCCACGTGGAAACATCGTACCACCACCTGGAAATAAAAACCTATCCTTCTCGTACCTTACCCAGTTCTGATTCTTCTTCTCCACCGTTAGTTCCGTGTGCGGTACGTTAGCGAACCACGCCTTGTCACGGCTTTCCGGCCACCTGAACGGTACTTTATAACCGTACGGAGCTGGAATCCGGCACCGGAGTATCTCTTCCTTTTTCGGACAGTGTCTCTCTCTGTAAATCAATCTCTCTCTTGGGAAACTCAAAGACCGCTTCACGAACTCGCACGGTGTATACTCCGAGAATTCGACGCCGCACGACGGGATTTTAACCACACGCGCCGTCATATCCGACGGAGGAGGGTCGGGTGATGTGTGACGGGAAGCGAATGTGAGGATCGGTGAGGTTTGGTGAGGGAACGTGCAAGGCACGGAAGTGAGGGATTCGCGTGAGATTCCTCCGCCGGAGTGTTGCCATATTCCGAAAAAGTAAGAGGCGGCGCAGAGAAACGCGACTAGAATCACGCGGTAGAGATTCGTTTGTTTTGCTCGCACTGATAACTTTGATAGCTTCGACGGCCACCGATCGTTCGCCATGACTGACTGGCCGAAGAAAGAAAATTAAAAAAAAAAAAAAATCCTTTTGATTTTCTTTTTTCTTTTTCTTGTTAGCATGTATGTAAATCTGAGATGAATGCTTTTGTTTATATAGTGGGATATGGCATGTGAGGCGACGTTACGAGTGAGCTTTTCCATATATCGCCCCACCTACGTTGATAGTATTAGATTTTTATTTTTATGGAACAAAATGCTAATTTTCGATTCATCTATTAAATTTCATGGGATGACAAAAAAACTTTAATTTAAAGAAATCAAAAGTTAAAATTTTAAAGAAATAAATTAATTTTTCCTAGATTTTAAGGTTTGGAATTTAGCCCTTAGAGTTCAATGGATTTACTTTAATTTTATAATTCATAATTTGAATTTTAAGTTTAAACTATTTTCTTGATTATATAATTCGTATCTTTCCTTTAGATTTAGTGTTTCTTGTCAGTCGTCGAATTCAAACCAAAATTTAGAATAATATTTGGGTATATAGAAATTTGGATTTCTTGCCATTTCAAGTTGTTCAAATATGGCCAACCATTATTGAAATCACAATGAAAGAACTTGAATTTTTAATCGCCAACTAACAGAATGGATCCAGGACGAGACTTGTGTTGCATCAGATGGTGAAAATAAATTAGTTTACAATAATCTCTTCTACTAATTATCATTTCCTTTGATCTCTTCTCCTTCGTAGCTATGGTCATTTACAATCAAGTTTGGTTTTCCTTTTAGGGCATCTCCAAAAACAACTTTAAATTTTTTTTTTTTTTAACGTCTTTATATTAAGATGAGCAAACATAATCATAATGTAGTACACTTGATATGATAGTAGGAACTAAAGCATAAAAATGAAACATGTTGATGTTAAAAGTTTGTTGCTTTGAGAGAAGATCAGCTGGTTGGTTTGCAGATCGTGGTACCCATTGAAACTTGACTTCTTCAAATTTCTTGCACCATTCCTTTATTTCCCATAACTAATTATAGGCTCCAAAATTGATCGTTTTCCCCGTAAGAAGGTTTACCAGCGATTGTGAATCACCTTCAAAAATTACTCGTCGATAACCTTTACACCAACTGTTTTGTAGAGCAAATAGTAAAGCTTGAAATTCACTTTCAAGAGCATTGTTTGCAGCCCAATGCTTTGCATGACCTGCACCTAGAAAAAAACCTTGTTCATCTCTGAATAACCAACCTGCATTATTTGTTCTTCTGCTTGAGACATAGGATCCATCATAGTTGCATTTAATCCATCCTTACGGGGGATGTTTCCATATCGATTGTTGACTCAATGGCGCCATATTTATTTGTTGCAGTTGATTTTGTCTTTTTGAGACTGAATCAAAAGTATCCTGCCATTCCTTTGCATCATCTTTTGCCCCTTGTATTAGTTGCTTCCATGGAATTGTTTTCCTCTGGTAGGTGAGTACATTACGGCTCTTCCATAATCTCCAAAGAATCCAAAAGCCGAATTGGTGGATGTGTAAAGGCATTGAACTTGGCCTCGTTAGTAGTATCTCCATTCTGTCTTCAAGAGATAATGCCGGATTTAGTATGGACAGAGTTGGGTATCCTGATGCTCTCCACGTCATTTGAGCATATTGGCATTCAAACAACATATGTTCTATGGTTTCTTCTCCATTTTGGCATCTCTGACATTGATAATTTCTTGTGATGTGTCTCCTTCGAAGACATTCTCCAATGGCCACAGCTTTTGAGAGGATATTCCAAGGAGCTGTCTGAAGTTTCCATATTTTAGTCTTAAGTGTGATGTCACCAGGAGGAGCGAGTGGTCTTGTAGTAGTGGATGAATGTGTTGCAACCCAATAAGCTGATTTTACTGTGTATAGACCAGTTTTGTTGTAATGCCATCCCAAAAAATCTTTTGTATTTCGAGAATTTACTCTCATGGAAAGGATGATGTTTGCATCTTCTTCAACAACCAGGCTTCGAATTCTTTCTTCATCCCACAGGTAATTATTGGTGATCCATTCATTGACAAAAAAATGTTCTGGAAATGGCTGCAGAGATCTTGGAGGTCTGGGTGGATTAGTAGGGAGCCAAGGGTCAATCCAGGCGCTTACTGTTTTCCCATTTTCGATGTTGAATCTTAATCCCTTCAATAATAGATCACGACCTTGTAGAAGAGATTTCCATATATAAGAGTTCTTCCTCCCTGCCTTCGCAGTTAAGACATTACTATCAGCAAAGTATCTTCCTTTGATGATTCTTGCCATTAAACAATGAGGATTTTGAAGAATTCTCCAAACTTGCTTTCCAAGTAAAGCTAGATTGAAGTTTTCAAAATCCCTGAAGCCTAATCCTCCCTCTTTTTTTGGTGTACATAGTCGGTTCCAAGAAAACCAATGCATTCCTTTTGTCTCGCCTCCTTTACCCCACCAAAATCTGGCTAAGATACCATTTATTTCCTCACAAATCCCTTTGGGAAGTTTGAACACGTTCATTGAGAACACTGGCATTGAGATAGCTACTGATTTAAGTAGTATCTTCTTACCTCCATGTGATAGAAATTTTTTATCCCAACCTTGTGTTTTAGCTTGAAACTTTTCCAAAATGTACTGAAAGAGATCTGCCTTTTTTCTCCCTACTATCTATGGAATTCCAAGGTATTTGCCTCCTCCACCATCATTGTAGATACCCAATAGACTACGCATTTGTGTATTCACATTATGATGAACTCGAGATCCAAATGTGATTGCAGATTTATTGGTATTTATTGCTTGACCTGAGGTTGCTTCATATAACGAGAGGACTCTTTTAATAGCTCTGCCTGATTTTGGATTAGCCAATGTAAAGAACAGAGAATCATCTGCAAATAGTAAATGATTCACTGCAGGGCTATGGTTACTAATTTTTAGCCCCAGGATCTTCCTGTTCTCCATTGCTTTCAACATCTGATGAGAAAGAACTTCTGCACATAGTATGAAGAGGTATGGGCTTAATGGATCTCCTTGCCTTATACCTCGTTTTGGTTGAATGAAACCCATAGGAGTACCGTTTATTTGCACTGAATAAGTGACAGATGACACACATGTCATGATCCATTGAATCCACTTCTGATCAAACCCCATTCTTTTCATTGTTTCCTCCAGGAATCTCCATTCTAATCTGTCATATGCCTTAGTAATGTCTGTCTTCAAGGCCATATACGATTTAGATTGCCGCTTTCTAGCCTTGAGAGAATGATATAATTCATGTGCGACAATGATATTGTCTGATATCATTCGACCCGGCACACATGCTGCTTGATTCTCTGCAACTATACCATTGAGGTGCGGCTTCAGTCTATTCACCAGGATTTTTGAGATGATTTTATAGCTTACATTACACAAAGCTATTGGTCGAAATTCTTTCATCTCTAAAGGTGGTGATACTTTTGGAATAAGACACAGATTAGTATGATTGTGTTGATGATCCAAAACTCCATGATCAAAAAACTGAGTGACTTCTTTAAGGAGATCCGGGTGTATATACTCCCAATACTTTTGGTAGAAAGCCGCAGAGAAACCATCTGGTCCAGGGGTTTTGTGAGCACCTATAGAGAAGACTGCTTCCTTTATTTCCGACAGAGTTACTGCTTTTGTGAGTTCAGTATTGGTCACCTCTGATACACGTTGTGGAAAGTTCAAGAAGATTTCTTGAATATTGGATTCAGAGGTACCTTGAGAAGCAAATAGACCTTTGAAATAATTCTCTGCAATCCTGCCAATAGCTGAATCTCCTCGACTAAGGAGACCGTTTTCATCTTGAATTGAACTTAGTCTGTTCTGGATCTTTCTTGTCTTTGTGACAGAGTGATAGAACTTAGTGTTTCTATCTCCTTCTTGAAGCCACTTAATACGGCTCTTCCTTTTCCAGAAAGTCTCTTCATCGAGGTAAGCTTGATGTAGATCTTTTTTGATATCTCTTCTTTGTTGTTGCGTGTATCTCCTAGATGATACTGCTTTATCTAGCTTGTACCTTAACAGAGATATTCTTTCTTTGGCATTACTGGAATGGTTTTGTTTCCATCTAGAAATATGTTGTCGACACCGAGCAATTCGTTGGGATAAAGTAAATCCCTCACTTGAGTTTGATTTCCAACCTCTTTTAATGGCTTCATCAAAGCCATCTTGCGATGATAATCGGTCGTCATACATGAATTTTCCTCGACGTTTTTGGGGAAGATTTCCTATGAAGCTGATTAATGGTCTGTGATCAGATTCATCAAAATCCAGAAAGTGTGTTTCAGAGTTTGGATACTTTGTGTGCCACTCTGCATTTGCCATAGCTCGGTCTAAACAGCTAAGAATGTAATGTTGTCCTCTTTGACCAGCCTAAGAGAATCGGTTTCCAACAGTTTTCAGATCGCTGAAGTCACAATGTCGTACCATTTGTCTGAAACCTCTGAAGGATGCTTCTGGTCTTACACATCCACCCTGTTTCTCTGCATTACTAAGTAGCTCATTGAAATCTCCCGTGATGAGCCAAGGATCTCTTCTGTTTATTGCCAATCTTTCCAACCTTTCCCATAGATTGTTTCTTAAATTTGGATCAGGATTACCATATACAAATGAAAAGTAAAAGCTGATTCCATTACTTTTGATGAAACAATCTACAAGATTTGGAGATTGGAAATAAACACTTAAATCTACTGAAAGTTTTCAGAAAATAGCTAACCCCCCACTTAAACCACACGGTGGAACTGATACATATTTGTCAAACCCCAAATCGCAACACAGATCTCTGATATAATTGTCTTGTTGCTTTGTCTCTGAAAGGCAAATGATGTCCGGGAGAAACTGATGATGAATCTCCTTGAGGCGTCGAACTGTAGAGTCATTGCCAATACCTCTACAGTTCCAAGCAGCTACTCTCATGGGGGAAGTGGTGGTTCAGGGCCCACCGCGCCTCCCATGGTCATGTTAGCGGCGGATGATTCTCCACCACTGCATTCACCAGCTTCTCTCACGTTCGCCTTTTTGAAGTCCTGCTCCTCCATGTTGTGCAATTTCCTCTTGCTAGGATGAGTCGCCATGTGTTCCTCCTCTAATGCAGGGAAATGCAGTATTGATCCATGTTCTGCAGTAGCAAGGTCATCATGAAGGAGAACGATACCTGAGTTAACATTTGGTGTAGCGCCAGAATTCCTGGTTTCTTCCAGGAGGTTGTCAGGTTGGTCATCTCCATCCATCATGAAGTCGACATCATCTTCAGGTTCTTCTTCTTCTCCTTGTAGGTTTTGATCCACCTCTTCCACTAGAGGTACATACCCATTCTGGTCTTCTTGTGCATCATGGTTTTGTTGATTTTCCTGCAGATCGTTTTCGTCAAGTTCTCTGATTTGTACACCTTGGTGTCTTCTTGGTGCATCTCCAGGACCGTGGTCATTATCATCATCATCATCATCCGAAACAATCACCCCTCCACCATTATGAATCAAGCAGTTACCAGAATCATGAGTCAGCATCCCACATACTTCGCAGAACCCTCTTAATCTCTCGTACCGGAATCGAAGCAAAGTGTTGACTCCTTGTGAGAACTGAAAATGTCTCTGGAAACGCAGAGGACGTGTGATGTCCCAGTTGACCCTCACACGCGCATACTCTCTGTGTGCTACAACTTCTTGGTTGTAATCAACTTCCATCAACATTCCAAAGGAACGTCCGATGTGAGCAATTACATCTTGTGTGGCAAACTGGAATGGGATTCCACGAATTTGGATCCAAAATGGAATGAAATCCAAACTCGCAATATCCACAAAAGGTGCCCAGCGCTGGAGTACAATAATTCTGTCTGCAAATGCCCACGGGCCTCTTCTCAGAACATTCTCCATTGTTTCTTCAGAGGGGAAAATGAACTGGAACCGATTTCCTTCAATGATTCTCCCAAAGATCAGACCTTCGAGGCTCCAAATTCTGGGCATGTTGGCGATGATGGAGCGTATGTTTTGGCGTCGTGGATTGGTTGCACGACCCCACAGAACAAAACGGTTATCATATGCAGCATGATGCAGAACATCGGCGGGCAAGGCGAATGGCTCATCTTCCACACCCAAATCAAGATCTTGGACCGCTTTTCGTAGGTTATCCGCCATTTTTTGTAGGAGAGAGTAGAATCTCAATGGAAATTGACTATTTATGGGAAATTGCAAAAGGATTTGTGAACAATTCCATTCTCGGATTCTGCTTTTATATTCTCTAGACATCACCGAAATGGATGGGAACTGCTCCTCACTTGAGATCGTGCCTTCCCAAGTGGATTTAACCGTCGCCAGACAAGAGAGTGGAGAAATGGATCCTATCTTATCGGCGGGAATCAAAGAAACCACCATCGGAGTGGTTGAAATCAATCGGAAAAGAAACCGTAAAAAAATCGCCTTAAAAGTCGCCATCAGTTTTATTTTTTACAACCTTAAATCTTTAAATATGAGGTTTTGTTCACTCCAAAAACAACATTAAAACCTCAATTTTTGAGGTTTTGAAACCTTATATTTGAGGTTTCACTGTTCAAAACCTCAAATTTGAGGTTTGCAGTTTTTATTTACATTTTAGTCCTTACAATTATATATTTCATAAATAATTACTTTATTTTTTATGTTTATCATTTTAATCCTAACAATTTTGTTTATTAAATTTATCTTATAATGTAATTTTTTATTTTATTATAAATTTTATAATGTAATTTTAGTAAATGATACTTTTAATATATTTTTTGTTATTTATAAAATTATATGATTTTTATTAATAATAATTAAAAGTAAAGACTATAATGTAATATTTTAAATTTTGTGATAGAAGATTTGAAGTTTTGCTTTTGGAGACAAACACCATCAATCTTTAAATTTGAAGTTTGACCAACCTCAAATTTGAAATCTTTTTTGGAGATGCTTTTAATAATGGTAGATGTTGGTCTGATTTAATTTCTTTTGTGTGCTAGCGCATTTTTTCAATAGGGCTTTGTTTCTGAAAGTTTTTAATTTCTCATGGATTGTGTTTTCAGATGTATCACCTCATCGATCGGCTTTACAAAAAAATAAATTCCCGCCGGCTGTTAATATTTTCATTTGGTTTCCACATTGATATTTGATAATTCAAATAAATTCAGCCTAGCCAACTATTCCAACAACGCGCTCCGGAGGCGCGTAGCACGTGAATGCTTTCGATGCGATTTATTACAACGTTGGACATTGGAATGTTGATCACTGACGTGTGTCTGTGTTATTTTGTTCCAAATAAAGAAGGGGAAAAATGATAAGTATTTGCCATAGCCAATAACGATTATCCTAAATCCTAATATGACAAAAATCTTGGAGACGCGTAAAATTATTACTGTATTTGAATTTGGAGAGAACCTCTATTTTACAAATTAAGAACTAAACTGTACTTCCATATTTTGTCCACTTAACCTAAGAAGCAGGTTTGCATTGATAATTTTAGCATCCCAAAGAAAGGAATAGATAATTAAGACAATGACCATTAGTGAATTTTTATTAGAGGGGTTCATCCTGAATTAAGAAATACTTTTTATTGAAATTCAAAAATACAAAAAAAATTCGCCCAATCACGTCATACCACCTAAATAAGAGCTGGAGTTTTCAGGTTTGTCCCGACGAACCAATCCTTCATAATTGAACTTTATTTCTTTTTTTTTTAAATTCAAAATATTTATGAACTCTAGCCATGAACCCCTAATGGACATGCTCTATTATACTTTTAATTTTTCCTTTTTAGCAGCAAGTAATATAATATAATTTAACGTAATTAGTCATGGACTTGTAGGCTTCACTTAGACGGAAAAAAGACAACTCTATTATATGAACTATGTTCCCATAAATGGATTATACTGTATGTTTTTATTATATTGTATGTTTTTTTTCTGGTGTCTTAATCTTATGATTATCGAATGACCTATCAATGTTGTGTGTCTGGTCAAGAGACATTGTTTTGGACCGCCAGATGATCGAATGGACTATGCAGTAATATTTTTATTAGGCTTACCCAATATATTGAAGGCCCAAGTCCAATAGCTTAAAATACATTTCCATTAAATATTGTTTAATCAAATTCTGATTCACCTTGCTTCGCCAGACGCCAGTCGCTACTAGTGCACTGAGAAAAGAAAAATGGGATTCATCGCATAATGAATTGTAATTGTAATAATATTTTAATAGCCGACAAATCTTAGATCTCCAATTTTTCCTTTTCTTTCATACTATAATAAACCCTAAAATTGCATCTGATCCGGTGCCGAAGAAGAAAAGAAAATTCGAGTGGTGAAGAATCAAAGCTAAGCTATGGGGCACCTGAATCTACCTGCGTCGAAGCGTAATCCGCGTCAATGGCGCCTCCTCGACATCGTAACCGCCGCGTTCTTTGGTATCGTCCTTCTCTTCTTCATCCTACTCTTTACTCCTCTTGGCGATTCCATGGCCGCGTCTGGTCGACAAACGCTGCTGCTCTCGACGGCGTCAGATCCGAGGCAACGGCAGCGACTGGTTACTTTGGTTGAGGCTGGTCAGCATCTGCAGCCGATCGAGTATTGTCCTGCGGAAGCTGTCGATCACATGCCTTGCGAGGATCCGAGGAGGAATAGCCAGCTTAGCCGAGAGATGAATTTCTATCGGGAGAGACATTGTCCGTTACCGGAGGAGACTCCTCTCTGCCTCATTCCTCCGCCTTCTGGATATAAAATTCCTGTTCCGTGGCCAGAAAGTCTTCACAAGGTATTGGATTCACGATGTTGGTACTGATTTTGTACTCCAGGATAGATTAATTGCCAACGAATGAACATAAACTCGAATTCTGAAGAAAAAAAAAACTTGGAGGATAGCCTAGTTGTTTTGGAATGCTATGAACTCAAAGTATAGTTCTTAAGGATATCCTAGACTTTTAAAATCTGGGTTGGTTTAAACTTGCAGATTTGGCATGCAAACATGCCATACAACAAAATTGCTGACCGCAAAGGTCACCAAGGATGGATGAAAAGGGAAGGTGAATACTTCACTTTCCCAGGTGGTGGCACGATGTTTCCTGGAGGAGCAGGCCAATACATTGAAAAACTTTCGCAGTATGTTCCGCTTAACGGAGGAACTCTCAGGACTGCCCTGGATATGGGATGCGGGGTAAGAATGATCATAGTCTTTTAAATAAAATAAAAAAATTACGTCTTGCTCTGTATTGTGACAGTTCGATTGTTAACCTTTGCAGGTAGCAAGTTTTGGAGGCACTCTACTATCTCAAGGCATTCTAGCTCTCTCGTTTGCTCCAAGAGATTCACATAAATCGCAAATTCAGTTCGCCTTGGAAAGAGGAGTGCCTGCATTTGTAGCCATGCTCGGCACTCGTAGACTCCCCTTTCCTGCATTTTCCTTTGACTTGGTGCACTGTTCCCGGTGCTTGATTCCTTTTACGGGTTACAGTGAGTCTTTTGTGTTATAGAACGCTTCGTATGTCGCCATTGTAGAAGCAATTATCCTTATTGTGCTTGGCGGTTTGTCTGCAGATGCAACTTACTTCATCGAAGTAGATCGGTTACTGCGCCCTGGAGGATATCTTGTAATCTCTGGCCCACCTGTACAATGGCCTAAACAAGACAAAGAATGGGCTGATCTTCAGGCGGTGGCTAGAGCTTTGTGCTATGAGCTGATTGCGGTTGACGGAAACACTGTCATCTGGAAGAAGCCTGTTGGAGATTCATGTCTAGCCACCCAAAATGAGTTTGGGCTTGAGTTGTGTGATGAGTCTGATCCGCCAAGTGATGCATGGTGAGTTTCCTCAGAATTATATTCCATATTTGTCGTCTAATTTTGTGGATGTGACTTTTTGAACTGTAATGAATTTATGTAAAAGACAAAATGAAAGTCTTTCTTTTTTCTCCATGTTTCAGGTATTATAAGTTGAAGAAGTGTGTTACTAGGCCATCCTCTGCCAAAGGAGAATATGCTTTGGGAACTATTGCCAAGTGGCCGGAAAGGCTTACTAAAGTTCCTTCTAGGGCCATTGTCATGAAAAACGGTTTGGATGTGTTTGAAGCAGATGCAAGGCGGTGGGCAAGACGAGTTGCTTATTACAGGGATTCTCTGAACTTGAAATTGAAGTCTCCAGCTGTCCGCAATGTCATGGACATGAATGCATTCTTTGGAGGCTTTGCCGCAGCCCTTGCATCTGATCCTGTGTGGGTTATGAATGTAATTCCAGCTCGAAAGCCATTAACTCTTGACGTGATTTATGACAGAGGTCTCATCGGCGTTTACCATGATTGGTTAGTCAATTTTGTGGTTTACATATTTGTACCAAAGAAAAGAATTAGATTTGTTATCTCTCTTGTTCTGTATCTTAGCTATTGCCAGCATCAAGTATCAAACTGCCTCCTACCCTACAATTCTCTTAGACTTATTTTATTTTTATTGGTTCTTGCAGGTGTGAACCTTTTTCAACATATCCCCGGACGTATGATTTCATCCATGTATCAGGCATTGAATCACTGATAAAACGACCAGGCTCAAGTAAATCGAGGTATTACTAACTTAAAACCATCCTCGGTGGTTAACACAGGTCCCTGTCTTATATACTTTACCTAAACTTGGTTATGTAATATGCATACAGGTGTAGCCTAGTAGATCTAATGGTAGAGATGGACAGAATATTACGTCCGGAAGGAAAGGTTTTGATCCGAGACTCTCCTGAGGTACTAGACAAAGTCGCACGAATGGCTCATGCTGTAAGATGGTCATCTTCAATACACGACAAAGAACCTGAATCCCATGGAAGAGAGAAGATCCTTGTTGCAACCAAATCTCTCTGGAAAATGCCATCAAACTCGCACTGAAGACACACACATAAAAAAAAAAAAGAGAGGAAGAAGCTCTTCGCAGCCTTGTAGGTACAGTCACTTTCTATCCAGCCTCCATCTGTCTGTCCTTAAGACACCATCCTGATGATATACTTTTTGGTGGTCGTGACATTGCTTCTTAATGTATCACAATCGTATAATGTCCTGATATTGTTAATTCTTGATCACACGTGGTTCTGTCAATTATTTTATAAGCGGGGTCTACTTCGTGACCTACATGAGTTAAGTCTGCATGTGACTCTGCGTATAGTTTTTGTAGTGGTGACCATATATTAGTTGCACATCCTGAATACTTATTTATGTATTGAACCGCAACTTTACTGACAATTCCTATGATTCAATGTTAGTAATACAAAACCAAAAAAAAATTGTTGTAGTTTTATTGACTTTGGGTGAGAAACAGACACAATAGAAGACTTCTCTATTTCAGTACTTGACTTCAGGTTGGAGAGACATTTTGGTAAAAAAACCTGAGAGAAAGAAGGCTCCAATTGAATTGGAAGAAGAAAAAAAAGAGGTGATGAAATTAAGGCAACAAGGGTTAGGCTTTATGTCCTCTTTCAAACCATATTTGCTGTCTCAATAAATGATCTTATGCTATAACGTCCAATAGAATCTAGTCGTTTTTATCTGTTTGAACGTAACATCGTCGGGACACTAGAGGATTTAATTAGATGTGACTCTTGGGTATATCATGTAAGTGTTGTAGAAATGTCTAGTCTTTTCATATCCAAAAGCTGTGTTCTGTATGCTATTATTTCAAAGGTCTTTGGGTTGTTTCTATGGTCAATAATGTTATATTTGACATTCTGATATCTTGTTATGTTAGCAATATAATGGAATAATAGTTCGTTTTCTCGTTGCCATGTTCATGTTTTATTTTTAAGGTTGAAATATCCTCATGGACAGAGTCGGGAGTCTGGTCTCTTTGATGTTAACATTCACATAACACTTCAAAGTTTGATCTCTTTCTGTAATATGGCTCTGGCAAAAAAACGGGTTTTCATTTTTTTTCTTCTGTAAGCTATATAATATTTACTTTATAATATTGTTTTGTGGAGTCGGATTCTACTCGAGCTATTATAGAAGTTTGATCCAGTTCTGGTAATTCAAGTTGAAAAGTTTTCAGTAATTACCAAATTTAACCCAGCAACGAAAATGACGTTTTTTTTATATCATTGAACAGGTAAAACTCTATATTTCCCCTTACTTTCAACCTTTATTCACCCACCACCAAACCAATTTCTTATAGAATAAGTGTGTCAGACCAGTAACAGAGGCCAGACGACTTTGTGTTGTGCAACAAGTCTTATGTGAAAAATAGATCATTGGTTTTTATTTATAAAAATGACTGCAAAAAAATGGAAAAAAAAAGACTTAGGCATACCTGCAATGATGATAATTTAGGAGAAGTCGTGAGATAGAAAGAAAAAAATAGGAGAAGTTGAGTGTGTTTGTATTGCGTGCTTGCTGGTCGGTTATTCTTTGGGAACCGACATTCCCATGTGCTTCAAACCGAACCAAACCAATATGATCCACCACTTCTTTTCCTCTTAATATTTTTCATTATTTTATCTTTTTTCATTTTTCATTTTTCTGTTCTGTGTGATGATCTATAATTTCGGTTCAATTAATTATGACTATCCAAGCACTAATCTCATGAATTGTATGGGAACAAATATTCCTAAAATTACACACTAGCATGACCACTATTCCTAAAACGCTATATGTGCAAGGAAGTACATTTTAGTCAGTGCCAAGTTTTCTCCATCATCAATCTAATAATTGTACTAATGATTTTTTCCAAGTTATCCCACCATTTAGGGCACACAATTTTGCTCAATAATGGAGCTTAGAGAGACTAATTATGGAATGTCTTTTTGGTTGACACTAGCTCGCTTCTTCATGTCGTTACTTTAAAAAATATAGATTCTTTCACAACTCAAAGATTCTACAGCCTATTTGATTATGATCTACGAGCATCGTATATCAAAGTTTAAAATTAAAAAGTGCATGTCAATAATTGAAAAATGCATCAGCATATATGGACTCATGACATTATGTGGGTTTACTAGACAAAAGTCTTTCATATAGTTCAGTTTTTTTGTTTTTTTGTTTGATATTTTCCGCGAATAAGAAAAGAGGGCGAGTACAGTGAAAAGGCGCGTGAGGTAGAAAAATTGTTAAAAATTGGAAAAAGTCAACTGACTTCTTCTAGTAAAGAGTCTCGTGCATTATTTGTGAGGTTTCAAAGAGTCCACATCTCTCATCGTAACGTTTTTCTCACTTTTTGTTTACTTTCTCTATTCCCCTTGATTAGTTCCGTATTCCGTTAATAACATTATTTTCCTTACATACATAGTTTCATTTAATAGAAATTAGTCTACGGTAAATTTGGGTTAATTTGAGTAAGACCGTTCAATTTATTGTTTTGCTATATTTTATTTTGAGTTTATATGTTTAAAAGGGTAATACTTACAAACATTACTGCATTAGCTATTTAAATTTGATACAGTTTTGGCTTGAGTTCACTCTTCTATATTTTCACAAATGTGACTTTATTAGCTTATATGCTATCTTTTTTTTAGCTTTTAAGAAAATAAACTACATATAGTTTTGGGTTTAGTTCACTTTTCTATCCAGAAAAAATAATTTATTTGAAAGATCTTAAAATAAAACATGTCATTAGTTGATGCAGATCTTGTTTTTATTTTATATGTAAATAGACAATTAGTTTAAGTAATAAAAAGTGAAAAAGTGAGGCCAGTTTTTATAGGATAGTTTTGGTCTTTTGGAGTTGAATTAGATTTGACAGATTTCACTTTATTAAAACTGGACACTTAAACTAAAAATGGTCAAAATGCATTTAAAAAAATAATAAGGAAAGGAAAAAAAAGAAGAAAACAAAATCTAAAAAAGCCATGACCATCACTCTCAATGTCTTCAAAATATAAAATACAAAAAAGAAAAGTGAAAAAGAGAGTCAATACTCAATATCAACATGCAAGTGTGAAAAAGAGAGAGAGAGCCTCTTCTTCATAGTTACCCCAAAGTTAGGGTTTCCCATCTTCATCTTCCCCATCACTCTCTGAAAGAGAATAAGAGAGAGAAAGAAAAAAAGAATCCATTAATTCTTAAGAGAGAGAGAGAGACTGAGAACGAAGAGCACAAGAGAGAAGTTTCCGCTTTCGTTCTCTTTCTCTCTCCTCCATTTCAGTAATAAACTTCTTTTAATTTTCTGGGTTTCTTCTTCTCCCTCATCATCATTTTTAGTTATTTCTAATTTCTTCCTTCTTTTTTGTTTTCCTGTGACTTAGTTCTCGATCCACTCATACTTTTTTCCGTGAAAAGTCTCGACCTTTATTCGCTTTCATTCTCTGGTTTCACTGTGTGTTTTATTTTTGATGAACTTCGGTAGTCTCTTCGACAATACGACCGGTGGTGCATCCACCGGAGCTAGAATCCTCTCCGGTTTAACTTATGGCAATCACACCACCACATCCACCGTAATACCCGGCGGTGCTATGGCTCAAGCGGCGGCGGCGGCGAGCCTCTTTTCTCCTCCTATTACTAAATCTGTTTACGCCTCCTCAGGCCTCTCTCTAGCTCTCGTACGACGTCGTATCCTCTTATATCATATCGTGTGTGTATAAAATAAAAGGAAAAAAAAAACCTAATTGTTTTGTTTATCCTGTAATATTCATTCGGACAGGAGCAACCGGAGAGAGGAATAAACCGTGGAGAAGCGTCGATGAGGAACAATAACGGAGGAGGCGATAATTTCGATGGAAGTGCGAACAGAAGAAGTCGAGAAGAGGAGCATGAGAGCAGATCTGGAAGTGATAACGTCGAAGGAATCTCCGGCGAAGATCAAGACGCCGACGATAAACCTCCGAGGAAAAAACGTTACCACCGACACACTCCTCAACAAATCCAAGAGCTCGAATCGTAATCCCCTCCCTCTCTCTCTCTTCTTATCGATCGATTTCATATATTCATCTCTTTCGTTCGACTTGATTAATTTCTGAGTTTGTTTCAGTATGTTCAAAGAGTGTCCGCATCCAGACGAGAAACAAAGATTGGAACTAAGTAAGAGGCTTTGCTTGGAGACAAGACAAGTCAAGTTCTGGTTCCAGAATCGTCGGACTCAGATGAAGGTTTAATTTTTCTTTTTTTTTGCTTTTGCTTTTTATGGAATTCTCCCAAAAATCGCATCTTTAGGATTTTTTTAGGTTTCAAAATTTGTAATCAATTTGTGTTCGCAGACTCAATTAGAGCGGCACGAGAACGCGTTACTGAGACAAGAGAACGATAAGCTAAGAGCTGAGAACATGTCGATTCGCGAAGCAATGAGGAATCCAATCTGCACCAATTGTGGTGGACCCGCCATGCTCGGCGATGTCTCTCTCGAAGAACACCATCTTCGTATCGAAAACGCTCGTTTAAAAGACGAGCTCGATCGCGTCTGTAACCTCACCGGTAAATTCCTCGGCCACCACCAACACCACAACTCCTCCCTCGAGCTCGCCGTCGGCACCAACAATGGCGGAGATTTCGCTTTCCCTCCTGATTTCGGTGGTGGTGGCGGTTGCTTACCGCAGACGCAGCAACAACAGCCGACGGGGATCAATGGGATCGACCAGAGATCAGTTCTGCTGGAGCTTGCTCTAACGGCCATGGATGAGCTTGTGAAGCTCGCTCACAGTGAAGAACCGTTATGGGTTAAAAGCTTAGACGGAGAGAGAGATGAGCTTAACGAAGAAGAGTACATGAGAACATTTTCGTCCACTAAACCAACCGGTTTAGTTACCGAGGCTTCTAAAATCTCCGGTATGGTCATCATCAATAGCTTAGCTCTCGTCGAGACCTTAATGGACTCCGTAAGTTTTCATTTCTTTTTTAAGTTTGTTTTTTTTTTTTTCGTCCTTACATTTTTTTCTTGCTCTCTTACTTTTATCATTTTCTTAACAGAATCGATGGACGGAGATGTTTCCGTGTAACGTTGCAAGAGCCGCAACCACCGACGTTATCTCCGGCGGAATGGCCGGAACAAGAAACGGTGCACTTCAATTGGTAATACGAAATCTTCTTAATCACATTCCGGTTTGAAATATTAGGTTTTTGCTAAATAAGAAAGAATTCGATCGAATCTACTACAGATGAATGCGGAGCTACAGGTTTTGTCTCCGTTGGTTCCGGTTCGAAATGTCAATTTCCTCCGGTTCTGTAAGCAGCACGCGGAAGGGGTATGGGCAGTGGTGGACGTTTCAATTGATACCGTCCGGGAAAACTCCGGTGTCTCTCCGGTCATAATCCGGCGACTTCCATCGGGCTGTGTAGTGCAAGATATGTCTAATGGATACTCAAAGGTAACTTTTTAATCTCAAAAGGTTACATTGATAACTCATAATTAAATCACAAACACATTTGGAATCTTTTTTTAGTGAAAATCGTTTATTATTTGGTGTTTGATAAATTCGATAAAAAAAATCGTAGAAATTAGGATCTCTAGGTTTTTAATTGGGTGATCACTAGACGAAGAAGCTCAAGCATCAATGAGTCTTGTTTTTTAGCCATTACTCGCTGCACCCACTTCACTGTCACTCTCATTTTTTTTATCTTACCTTTATAAGTTTCTTTTATACGAGTACCATTTTGATCTTTCACAATTTCTTTTCCAACCTTTTTTTTAATTGTTTGGCGTCCTTTTCTAATTTTCTTTCGTTTTTCTTCTAAAACTTTAAATTGTTTTTTTCTTTTGCTTTCAAACGTTACTATTTTTGAATAGTTTAATAGTAGTATGATTTTATGTCAGAATAGATAATTGAATAGGCTTTTTTCTTCCTCGAATTTTGATCCCCGAACCTTCCGAGATTGCTGAAATTTTATGGATCCGGATGCTTCTCTCTCTGTCGGATTCTCTGGATTAGATTTCAAGTTTTCGACAACTGGGTCTGTCTCCATAATCGAAATCCTTCTTATTTGTTTATATTTTGCTCTCTATTCTATGAAGCATCTGTCCAAAATTATTTTTGTGCGCATTTTTGAAAGAACACATTAATTTCATATGCATGTAGGAGAAAAGCTTCTAATCATCGTTTTAATAAACTAAATTTCCTATTTCGATTCCAATCTTCTATGCTGCCTCGTATCTCCCGCCTCTACTATTAATATCATTTGTCTTATTTTCTTCAATTTTATCCTATTATCTTCCAACTAAAATTAACACCATCATCTCATCTTATTATGGTGTTAATTATCCCGTCTAATAATTAAAAAGTAGTTGACCGGTTATGTTGGTTCGCTCGTTGATATGCTAAAACCTGGATTTGGTTTCTGGTTTTTTCAGGTCACGTGGGTGGAGCATGCAGAATACGACGAGAACCAAATCCACCACTTGTACCGGCCATTGATTCGGTCAGGTTTAGGTTTTGGGTCGCAAAGATGGGTCGCTACACTTCAGAGACAGTGCGAATGTCTCGCCATCCTCATGTCCTCCTCCGTTACATCTCCCGACAACACATGTTCGTTTCTTAGACACTTCTCAAATATATACCTGGTTACGAAAAAATCTTATCGTTGTTTTGATATACATGCAAAAAACAGCTATAACGCCTGGTGGTCGGAAAAGCATGCTCAAGTTAGCTCAACGTATGACGTTTAACTTCTGTTCGGGCATATCTGCGCCGTCAGTCCACAGTTGGAGCAAGCTCACGGTCGGAAATGTAGACCCGGACGTTCGAGTTATGACCCGGAAGAGTGGGGAGGATTCGGGTATTATTCTGAGTGCTGCCACGTCTGTGTGGCTTCCGGCTTCGCCACAGCGTCTGTTTGACTTCTTGCGGAACGAACGGATGAGATGCGAATGGGATATTCTATCTAACGGTGGTCCCATGCAGGAGATGGTCCACATCGCCAAAGGTCAAGATCAAGGCAACTCCGTTTCTCTGCTCCGCTCCAATGTAAGTTTTTTTTTTCTTACTCCTTTTAAACATTGCTATTTTTACCGGTTATTTGATCTAATTGGTTTAGTAACACCGGACCAATCTGATGGATAGAATAGTTAACCAATATGGTGTGTGTGCGTGTGATTGGTTCGGTATGTGTGGAATTGATGACTCAAGGGTTAAGGAAGATGGATTAGGTGATAGTGACGTTTTTGTCCCTGATTGTGGTGGTAGTATGACGGACAAAAGAGTGGATTGGGAAAGGACAATTTAGGAATTTGGGTGGATTCAGAAGCTGACACCATATAATTTTGATATTTTGTTTATTCAGGAGTAGAAAACAAAAGTGTCACAGCTTTTGTAAGTGTTTAAAAAGTCAAAATTAATAGGACAGTTTCCACCTTTTACTTATTGGTCTATATTTTTTTTGACTTTTTAACCTTTTTATTTTGACTTGTTTCCTCTTTTTCACCTTGAAGCGTTACTGTTTTGGTCATGTGTGGCAATTCTCGTAAATAAACGGTTGAGCTATGGGTTATTTTCTCAATTCTACATTTTTTATTTCTTTGTTCAATTTTGGCAGCCAATGAATGCGAACCAGAGCAGTATGCTAATTCTTCAGGAGACATGCATAGACGCATCGGGAGCGCTTGTAGTCTACGCGCCTGTTGATATTCCAGCCATGAATGTTGTGATGAACGGTGGAGAATCATCCTACGTGGCTCTCCTTCCCTCCGGTTTCGCTATTCTCCCTGACGGTGGCATTGACGGTGGCTCCGGCGACGGTGAGCAGCGACCGGTCGGTGGTGGGTCTCTCTTGACGGTGGCGTTTCAAATACTTGTTAACAATCTCCCAACGGCAAAACTGACGGTTGAGTCGGTAGAGACGGTCAATAACCTAATATCATGCACCGTTCAAAAGATTCGAGGCGCTCTTCAGTGCGAAAGCTAATCAATCAGCCTAAAGGCAGCGTGGCAGTTGGTGTGTTTGTTGTCTTTTTTATATTGTTTTGTGAATGTTGAAACATAATTATGGTTATTTTAGTTGTGTGGGAGGGGGTGTCGAGTCAAGAACGAACCGCGCCGGCTGCGAAATCCAACTCTTTTGTCACTGTGTTGGGACCAAACCGGGTCCAAGCTCGGTGGAGGAGTTGGTGGTTCGGGTATTGACTAGGGTTGGAAACCCCCTTTTATCTTTTTGTTTGTTTTTGTTTTGGTTGAGAGTATAATTATAGTAAGAATGTAAAAAACTCATGTAGCGAGAGTGAGCCGCACGCTCCCTCTGATGCGGAGGTGTGTGTTGTGGTTGCTTACGCGGACTGGGGTTAGTATGTGGTTGGACTTTGGATGGATATGGTCCGTTTCAATTTAAAAGCTGTCTCTCGTGGTGCATTAAATGTGTTTGCAGGCAAATATTCATTTAATGCAAAGTTTTTCCCTGTCCGTGGCTCCTTCCTTTGCATGATGGGCCTTACGTATCCCGCCATTTTCGTTGCGCCACGTCATCTCTTGACAGTCTGGTTTGGCTAGTTGCAGACGTTACGGCGTCGTTTTCTCTCTTGTCTCTCTCTTTCTTTCTTCCCCTCTTGTTATGTTGTGTGTTTACTCCTATTAACACCTTTAACAACTTAAAGTGAACTTATTAACAAGATGGACACATATTTGGTTATGGGAGACTTTAAAGCCCACAGGTAGCTATGGGCTGGCCTGTTATAGCTGTTATAGCTTAAATGGACGCATGATAGGTTAGGAGCATTACATTTTTTATCCTGAGCCCATTTTATAATTATCCTTTTTAGATGGCCCGCGTGTTTAGGGTTTTGATAAATTTAATGAGCTGAGTTAATTAATTTTATAAGACCCTCCTAGTAGGGTAATGTTTGAGTTAATAGTCGAGTTTCGAACATATAATAATATACTTGTCTATATGTTAATTAGTCTAAAAACAGTAACAAATATTATCATGAAATCTGGAAAAGAGGGTAGTAGTCAAAGTTTGGTCAAAGCATCCACCCCCGCATATTCCGCGTGCCTAGATGCAATCATTCATCTCAGGAACCCCATCTTGTTTAATCCCCTGGATCCGTAAATAAGACAAGCATCCAGGGGTATTTTGGTAAACGCAGGTGGTCGAAATCAGGCGGATTTATCCTGACCCGTCGGATGAGTTCCTGCGATTAATCAACGGTGAGGAGTCAAGGTTTGACCAAAAGAGTAGAGAGATAGAGAACGAGGCTGGCATGATTGGCTTTCGCCACGAGAGAGAGAGAGAAGCAAAGATTCCACCTGGTTGGGTCGTGGAGAGAGAGAAACATACAGAGAGGGAGGGAGAGAGAGAGAGATTTTACGATTTGAAGAATAGCTGTGTTCTTCTCCATAGTTGCTCATCACGGTGGAGGAGAGAGAGACAGATGCGAATTTGAATTTCTGAATCTGTTAATTTTTTTTTTCTTTTGGGTTCCTCTCTCTTTCTCTCTCCACATGAAGCTGTGGTGAAGTTTTTTTCTTGGAGATTTAGGGTTTCGAGTTCCTGTTGGTGGTGTTTGGTGGCGAAGCGAAGATGAACGTGATGCGTCGTCTCAAGAGCATTGCTTCGGGTCGGACCTCGATTTCTTCGGATCCTGTAAGTATGGACATTTGGTTTTTCCTGTCAAGATCACATAAACTTTATATTTTCGATTGCATGAAAGTAAATGCCTGCCTCAATTCACCCACATACTAACGGATTTAGATGCGATTTGATGTCGTTTATAGTATGTTACAAGTCAAAAATCGTGTTTTCTAGGGTTTTGAGATCTTAATTTAGCCATCTGACTCCTAGTCCTGGTGGAGAAGTAGATGCTTATGTTTGTTTTAGACGACTTGATATCTCTCCTGCGGTCTTAGATGTTCATGTTCCCATTGGTTGTATAGATGACTAGTGTGCTCTTGATTTTGATGATAGCATCACAATATGTTGTTGACCTGACCAATTTTCTTATCTTTTAGGGTGGGGACTATGGGCTGAAGAGAGCTAAGCTGGATCAAGACAACGAAAACTTGTGTGGTGATCCTATGCAGGTTGACCATAATAGTGCTTGTTTTGAGATGAAAATTGCAGACATGGTGTCACAAGAAAGTGTTGCCGGAACCTCAAATGTGCCTGCTGTGACAGAAAAGTCCGTCGATGATCAGCTTCCTGAAGTAATGATCGAAATGAGAATTAGAGACGAGCGCAATGCCAATCGCGAGGAGAAGGTGAGTTTCTTACCTGGCTTCTGATTATATGCCATCCTCATCTCCATTAGCCACTGCTCACATTTCCGTTGACTCGAACAGGATATGGAAACAACTATTGTCAACGGCAGCGGGACCGAAACGGGACAAGTCATTACAACCACAGTCGGTGGTAGAGATGGAAAGCCAAAGCAGGTGACTCATCTCACTTTTTCGTACTTGCCGTTTGGTTTGAGAAAAGCTAGTAATCATGATAGTCATTTCTTTTATAAAAAGATGGTTTCTTTCTTCACATCTATTCTCCTCTGCTCATTCTCTTGCGCGTATCCTTACTACTTTATTTTTCATTATTTGGTTTCAGACAATCTCATACATGGCCCAGAGAGTGGTTGGAACAGGCTCATTCGGAGTTGTGTTCCAGGTAGGTGGAAATTCCTCGCAGGAGCAATATTGATCCTTAAATTTTGTTTTTGGTTTCCAGAATTTGACCTTCTGTCTGATTTCTGGATAGGCCAAGTGCCTGGAAACGGGTGAACAAGTTGCAATTAAGAAGGTTCTGCAGGATAAAAGATACAAGAACAGAGAACTTCAGATAATGCGCTTGCAGGACCATCCCAATGTTGTGCGACTGAGGCATTCTTTCTTTTCAACAACTGACAAGGATGAGCTGTATCTCAACCTTGTCCTTGAGTATGTTCCCGAAACTGTATACAGAGCATCAAAGCACTATACCAAAATGAATCAGCATATGCCAATTATCTTTGTTCAGCTCTACACGTATCAGGTGAGATATTTACGCCCTCCAGTTAAATCGTTTTTAGCTATCTCTGTAGCATGAAGCTTCAGATACATGGAAGTCTTTTACTTACGCCTGTTTTGTTCTTGTTTTTTTCTGTTGCTTTGTGTCATATCAGATCTGCCGTGCGCTGAACTACTTACATCGTGTGGTTGGGGTGTGCCATCGTGACATCAAGCCACAAAATCTACTGGTAAAGTGTGAATTCTTTTGACTAGGCATTTTTTATTCATAAACTATTTCAATAATGCTCGAAGATGAAGCCATATGAACTGATGATACCTTGATTCTCTTGTGATGTGTTTTTAGGTCAATCCCCAAACCCATCAATTAAAAATATGCGATTTTGGAAGCGCAAAGATGTTGGTACGTTCTTTCTTGTTTGAAATGTTCTTGGAGTTGGGTTGGCATTTGAATGATGGCTAACACTCGCGTGCGTCTTCAGGTGCCAGGTGAACCTAACATATCCTATATATGCTCCCGGTACTACAGGGCCCCAGAACTTATATTCGGGGCAACAGAGTATACCAATGCCATTGACATGTGGTCTGGTGGTTGTGTTATGGCAGAACTTTTACTCGGCCAAGTGAGTATTGTATATTGTAAAGTTTGAGTTATTATTGTTTGATTAGTTACCCCTTGTAACTTTCAAATCACATTCAATCTGATTAGAACTGTTGGTATTCTACCTGTAGCCACTTTTTCCCGGTGAAAGTGGAATTGATCAGCTGGTGGAGATTATCAAGGTACTTATCGTGTTTCTTCACTTCTTTATTTATATTTTATGTTTCCTTATCTTATTTATCTGTACATCTACCAGATTCTTGGGACGCCTACAAGAGAAGAAATACGGTGTATGAATCCCAACTACACAGAGTTCAAGTTTCCGCAAATCAAAGCTCACCCGTGGCACAAGGTTTGTGAACTATTCACAGGGGCCTCTCTGGTGCACGTACATGATCGGATGAAATCTAATGTAGCTTAAAATTCTTCAGATTTTCCACAAGCGAATGCCACCTGAAGCGGTAGACCTCGTCTCAAGACTCCTCCAGTATTCACCAAACCTTCGTTGCACTGCAGTAAGACCTAGATCCTTTTGGACACCACAAAACAATAAAGGCGAACTTGGCTGATTTGGCATTTTCTAACTCGTATACTCTACCAAACCTTTTTATCCATTTTGATTAGTTGGAAGCTTGTGCACACCCCTTCTTCGATGACTTAAGGGATCCGAATGTTTCACTGCCAAATGGAAGACCACTGCCTCCATTGTTTAACTTCACTGCCCAAGGTCAGTCTATGAATTATCTTTAGTTAATTTTGCTGAGAATCGCGACATATGACTCTGGACAATGAGGGATTTGTGAAGGGTAAAGATAAATGTAGCAGTATCAGATTTAATGTCAAGTTTAGATGGATTGGGTCTACATAGCGTTCTGTCTCATTGATTAGTTGCCATGTATTTGACTATTCAGAACTTGCGGGTGCATCAACGGAGCTGCGACAGCGTCTAATTCCAGCGCATTGCCAGGGAACGGGAAGTAGCTCTTAGGATCATTCATAGTGTTTCCAAATTCAGCTTCCCTTCTCTCTCTCTCTCATTATTTACTGCAGTGTGTACATCAATTTTGAACCACTTGTGCTTCTAAGCTTTGCCCTCAGAGGAGAATATGGAAATCTGAACCCCGGGACTCGAGGAGATGTGAAGTAACTGAGCGTCGGTTCATGGAGCTTCTTTCTTCTGACTGGCTTTTCTCTCAATTTGCTCCCTTTTTTTCCCACCTTCACTTTCATTTTTTTTATTCACATATCTGACCCCCTTAAAATGTTTGATGTATCATTTTTTTTTTTTTTTTTATGTTTGTAATCAATCCATCAAGATGATGTCCCTTGCCCTAATATCGCAAGCTTGTTTTCAAATAAGATTCAGTTTTCTGTTCCAATATTGGTGGTTTGGTTAAAAGAATTCTAACTATCTTAATGGATGGATGTATTTCAAAATTATGTTAACATTAATAGTGATATCGTTAGCTAATTTTTTAAAATATAACCTTGAAACAACCTCAGAGATCGAATCGAATTATCTCTTTGCAACTCCAAAGCTTTTGGTATATGAACGTAACCTACCTAATACCAAGAGAAGATGAAGCGTTATGTCCTAACTGATGAATTTATGTCCCAGACTTTTTAGTATGATTAATAAATTTATTTTGGCCTAAAATTAATTATTAGAATGATTTCTATGTCGTGCATAGTTTTTGTTACGTTATAATAGACCTGTTTGATGGCAGCTTTTCAATGCCGTAAAGGTAGAGGCATATTGATAAAGTAAACTTATTTGTTAATGTTATTGTTAATATTGGCAGATGTTTAGTTCTCAATGTGGTGACAGACTTGTTACGGTGATAAGAAACACCTAACTATAAACTTCAAAAAAATATCCGATTTCACTCTCCCGTAGCCTCTCTTTCTCTCCAGTTTCTTACCTCTCCTACGCTACCTCTGCTTGTAATGGGTTGAAGTTAGATTCAGGAGTGTATCAAATATGGGATTCAGAATCAATTTGTACAAAAGGAAGTAATGACTTTAGATTATGCGATCTCTCACTAAGAATTCCAATTTTGCTTTTTACAACTTAGTCTTTGATATATTCATTAATTAAACCAAGACATGATTTGAGAAAACAATCAAGCTTGAGAGTTGAGAGTACAAGCAGATTTAATTAACTCAAAGACAGACTAAACAAACATTTAATGGCAGCAAATACAAACTTAGCGCTCATCAATTGCTTCAGCCATTCATTTTACAGGATGTGCTTTATGAATCAAAAGAAAACATCTCTTTTGGTTTCTGCAATAGAAAGGGTTTTAGTACATTCATTGCTCCTCAAAGCCAATAAAAGGAAGTAACTCCTTTGGTGCCTATAAAAAGAGGCAAAAGAAGAGCAAAACAACACACCCGTCATGGGGTTTAGATCTGCATCACTCTTGCGTGTTTTCCCATCCTTGTGCTCAAAAGATTAAACCCTTTATACTTGGTAAAGATGTTCTTTCATCTTCACCAAAAGAAAATAATCAATCTTGAACGGTATACATATATATCTTACTTCAGTTGGGAAGCTGAATTCCTCTTAGCTTCAAGGTTCGAGCCCTCTTTTAGTGCAATTTGAGATTCATTCTCCATTCCCAGGAAGGCAAGAGAAGCAGACTGGAGATAAGACGCGACATGCCACACGGGAGAGATTACTTGCGCTTGAATTGCATCATCTAAAGCTTCTTTCGGCATCTCACTCATTAAGTAACACAGACTTCGGCGTGCACAGACTGTTGGAGAGACCATTCCTCCATCAATGAACTGTGAAAATTTTGAAATAAGCAATGACATCATCAGGTTAACGCGCTCTGTGTTCCTATAAGTGTGTGTGTGTTCAAGTGCTTAAAAATAAAAATAAAAACAAGACCTGCGTGTAACACTCAATGGCCTCTCTAAAGTCTTTTTGCCTGAAAGCCATATCACCCTTCTTCTTCGAGTTCAAAGACTCTTGCATCTGGTCTGTCCACATTTGGAACGAGAGCTGCATCGGCAAAACATGTAATACAACACCATGAAGAACCAAACAGAACCGCAGACATTATGATCTATGCAAACCTTTCGGACAACATCAATTATTACCAGACACTATTAATTGAGTAACAGAGCCAAAGCAATTGATTTCTCGAACTTAAATCTGGAAAGATACCTCATTGGTGACACCCTCGTCGTCTTTGTATCCAAGTTTATCCAATATCTCAAGCATAGCGGTCAGATCCCTTCTTGAACAAGCCTCACCAAGAGGGGACAGAGGAGACACCGAACCACTGTGAGGTAGACCCATTAAAACATGGGATGGGACCTGAAGTGTTCAATACAGGGAAACATTTATCTGAGTCAGCATACATAGATATGGTGCCTGTTCTTTTTTAATGGCTTAAAATATGAAAAGGAACCTCAGTGTCCTTCTGAAGAGGCGTCAGGGCAGTGACCAAAGATTTTGGGTTTGGCCTCTCACGAGCTTCGTACTGCAGACAACGAGACGCCAGGCGTACTAGTTCTGTGCCATCGCTGTCAGAAAATTGCCCATCTAGGCAAGAATCAGTTAGCGTCTGGAGATTTCTGTCTCTAATCAGATCAAGGGCCTACATAAAACAGATTGAAAGAATCAATTTTCAACTCCATGTAAAAGCTGCAGTCTCATATGCAAACAAACAACTTGTTCTGGCTAAAATACTTACATGGCTCGGAGGTATATGTTTTCCACTGAGGAGATCAAGAAGAAGAGTGCCAAAGCTGTATATCACACTCTCTGGAGTAATTCTCCCTGTAAACACACGCAAAAAAAAACAGAAAGTGCAGCTTAATCTTCTCAATCATATGAATCTTGAAGAAAAAAATGAATTTGATGATGTACCAGTTCGTAGATATTCAGGAGGGGTGAAAGCAAGATTTGTGCTGTAACTTTTTCCATCCCGGCTATTCTTCATCAAGCCAAAAGTAGAAAGTCTTGGATTGCATTCCTTAAAAGGCCCTCAAGGAAGTCAGAGAGGGAAGGAATAGCAAAGATATATGGACACATTTTCCAGAAGTAGCAAAGATATATGGACACATTTTCCAGAAGAGCTATAGTTGATTAGATTGCGTCAATAGTACCTCGTCGAATAAAACCCGGTAAGCATTGAGGTCGTGATACAGAGTACGGCCTTTGTTGGTGCAGTATTCAAGAGCTTGTGCTAGATATAAAACAACACGGAGCCTCATTGTCCATTTCATTGGTTGTGTTTCCCCTGGTTGCATACAAGTACACTTAGTTTCTAGGGGAATGATATCCAAACAACTTAGTTTCTAGGAGAATAATATCCAAACAAGATTATTAACTCAAACGCTATATACATATAGGGATCAAAAACGAGTCTTACAATGAAAAAGGTGTTTGGCTAGAGTTTCATTGGGCATAAATTCTGCCACAAGCAACCTCTCGTCACCTTCGCAGCAACAGCCGAGTAAATTGGCCATTCTCTCACTCCGCAGCTGGCCAACCGACCTGGCTTCCTCCTGCACAAGGAAGAACATATCCCCAAAATTAAGAATTTACATATACACAAGAGAAGAGAATGAAACAAAGTAGAGATTCAAAAGATATAAGTGGTACCAGGAATTGTCGTGCATCAGGCCACGCCATTCTGGTGAAACGCTTGACTGCAATCTTCTTCTGGTTCTCCAGTTTACCTTTATAGACGACATTGGGAGCCTTTTCTCCATGCTCAGATACAATATACTCCACAGCAAAACCAGAAGTAGCCGACTTAAGCTGTTCTAGTGTGTACTCCCGGAAACCAGGCACATCGGTGATCTCACTATTCTCTCCATTTTCTGCATTAACACACCACACAAAAGAAAGAAAGAAAGAAGAGCACCAATCAGACCATGCCTAAGCTTCATATATCCCAAGTGGAAGTCATTAAGCTCAACTAACCAACATCAGGAGCTTCAAGAACAGCAGTCTTGTGTGATGAATTCCGACAACAACGACCAAGGTTAGAGCATTGACCTCCCATCTAAGCAAACGCGATGATAACGCTCAAACTATTCAAAGACTCGGCTCTTCTTCTTCTTCGAGTCTTGAAAATTGAAAGGTTTCTTCGATCAGAAGATGTCAAGAGCTGCAATGAATTACAGGAAACGATGAATGAACCATTGTAAATCGAATCACAAGAATCCGTTTCTCATTCATTCAGTGAAGTAGTGATACTCACACCAGGGAAAAAAAAGTAATAAAAAAAAGTTGAAAAGGACCGGATTTGGTAAGAAAAAAAGGTCGTACCTTGTCAACTCGCTGCGACGCTAGTGAGTCAACTCGACTCGTTACACTAAATCACCAGCAAATTAAAACTCAACACCACCACCTAGTAGAAGAAGTAACTCAAAATCGAACGGAAAATTTGGGGAAAAAATGAGTTGAAAGATGAGATAAAAAAACCCTAATTTCTGCGCACTTCATCTACATGGAGCCAATCAACTGGATAATAAAATAAAAGGAGAAAATCTATAATCGCCACTAGTAGCTGCGATTCAAAACCCGCAAACTGTTTTTGGATCCACGAACTTGATATTTTAGGTTCCTCGATATAATCAAAACGCTCGAGGAGGAAGCAATAAAAAACAAAACCAGGACAAGCAAATCCACGTGGTTACATTAAATTAAAATAACAAATATATATCTATTAAAAAAGGAACCGAAATCGAGACCGTATCTCAAACGAATCGACATGAACGTATGTGATTCATGTGAAGAAGAGCATAAACAAACTGAAATTGTCGAAACCCACAGGATAATATTTTAGATACAAGTAGATCAGATCACAAGTTTATATTTATACACACAGACAAAGAGTCAAGTGTATACGTGCATCTACTACTATACACATCTGTAAATTCAGAGAAAGAAAGATAGAATAAGCCAAAAATAATTTACCGACAAGTTGATCAACTATTTTAATGGTGAGAGAAGGCAACAAAGAATCTGGCCATTACTATACCAAAAAAATATCCTAAAAATAAAAATTATTTAATAAATTGTTGTTGTCGTACAGATTTGGAGATTTTTTTTTTCTTTATGAATTATCAAGAAAAATGGCACCGCCTGTTAAAGCTATTCATAGATAGAAGGAGGGAGAAATGCTTCTTTTCCCGTTGGCTCCATACCGTAATCACTACTCTTTCTAACGGGGTTTTATAATTAGAACCGTTATTAATCAAGGAGGGAACTAACAAGCGACGTGTCAAGGCTCATGGGCATTTTATGGGCCTCAGCTTTTATGGATCTGGTTCAGCTAAAATCAAACCGGGTTTAAGTTGGTTGTCGATTTAATTAGGATTGGAAGCGATGGTTTAGCTTTGGTTGCTAATTGGAGCTGGTTTAAAAGTGTTTGTTAGGATCTAAACCGACTCTGTTTCTTCCTCTTCTCCTTCTGTTTAAAAGCTCCATCATATATGAGTAATGATTGATTGTGAGTTTTTCATTGTGGATTTTTCTGAAGAATTTTAGGATTCATGCATTGTGGATCTGAAATTTTTAATTTGAAGCGTACAATTTTATATCCTCTGTTCTAACATTGCGAGTGGTGAAAGCAAGTGATTCGATCATTGACAGGGTTTCAATCTTGTTTGTTGATTCGAGGAACGAGTTCATGGATGCAATATTCTCAAAAATATACATTTTATGGATGCAGATAGATAGAAAGATAGATAGAAAGATAGATAGATAGATAGATACAAGTTCAAAGAAGAAGATGAAGATTTATCTACATACATGTATGTTGTATTCTCTTTGAATTCTGTGTAAGGAGATTCAGAGCATAGAGTCTGTCATTGCCGGGAGTCGCCGGAAAAAGTTGAGTGGAGCGGAGGGAATTCGGTGTCGGAGCTTAGGGTGTCTCATGAAGTAGTAACCGGAGAGGAGAGCCAAGAGTTTAAAAGGGGTAATGTAGAGAGCCATGGCAAGGATGAAACAGAACGTCACGAAAATTGCGGTGGCGCGTGGATCACGCCAGCTCAGAAGCGCCTGCACGCGCTCTCCCTGTGCCGCTATGTCTCCAACCACCGTCTGTATCTTTCCCGCCACAATTCTCAGCCGGTCATACCTTTGAGAAACAGAGGAAAACTATCATCAACCAACCAAAGACCAACTCTGTTTTTTGTTTTTTTCCTTTTTGGTTTTAGTAATATCTTGCTAATTTCTTACCTCATTTTCACAATGTCCGGAGCCTTTACGGTCGGGAAGATATCAAACTCTTCGTCGAGCTCATCAGCATTCACACTCTCTGCATAAGATAGTTTGGTGTCCATATGAGGAGGAAACCTTGGCTTAAACCTGTAGTTCCACAGCCCAATCACAGCCATATACAGAAACACAGTCGGCAAAATCATCTCCGGGAACATCACAAGCATTGTGTACAACACGTGAACCAGAGCCGTCGTCACCGGCGTCCTCCAGGTGCACACTTGAGCCATCCACTTCCAAACAGACATGACGCCAGAGAAAACGGTCGTGAACCTGAAGAAGTTGGCTTTGCTTCGCCTCATGCTGAACAGATTATTCGTAAAATCTGTCATATACTCGACCACTTCACGTCTAAGCGGTGGCTCGGACCGGCCTAAACGAGCCACGATTATTTTGAAAGCCTGCCCTCTAAGCCCTTCTTGTTGGCTTACAGATAAAGGTTGTATGTAATGCATTTTAGGCAAGAGAGGTTTTGTGTATTTCATCAGCATATTGGAGACCGATGTGCATGTGAACCTCACGGCTAAGTGAAGCTCTCCTCTTTTCTTAAGACCAGAAGGTTGCAGAACAAGTAAAGGGTAAGCGTGCGTGTAGACACGCCCTGTCTGAAGAGTCGAGAGCCTGATTCTTACTTTCCCAATCGTCTGATCTCTGTTGTTTCCTCCTCCGTTATTGATCCCAGCTGAGAAATGAGCGTTGTCAAAGACGCAGATGGTTAAAACCGTCGCGGGATCAAAAACCTCCCATGTGTACTGCTCGTTGTACTTTGGACTCAAGCTGTTGATTACGGTTCTTGATCGAACCCACTTGTGACCGTATTTGGCTACAACGTACGTGTCCGAAGTGCCTTTCCCGTCACGAGTTTTCATCGGATGGAGCCCGTTTGCGTTAAGTATACCGAGCTCCAAGACTCCGATTGCTGATTTCCAGAGCGGTCTCGCCGTTGGCCTGAGATCGCTGCTGTAGTAAGTGGACTCATCAAAAACGTGGTAGCCTCCATCAAGAACCGCAGCTAAATGTAGCCTGCTTGCGAATTTCACTTTCTTGGCTTTCTCATCATCCATAGCGTCTGAGATGGAGTCTTCAAGATGAAACCAGCGTCCAAGAAGAGGTCTATCATTTATACGTCTCTCAATAGAAGCCAGTGGAATCACAGCTTTTCCAACTGGCTCATCTCTGTTAGGTGCAGAGTGGTCTTCGACTGAGACGACCATGTGTTCCTCAAAAGGCTCAGCGACGACAAACATGAACTCCTCGTCCCATTTTGGATGAATGCTTCTCTGAGAAACTCTCGTCTTCCACATCTGATTACCGACCTGGATTCTCACAAAGGCCTCAGGATGACGTGATTTGTCGGACACGATGATCACGTCCTGAGCCTCTATTACTTTGACCCTTAAGTACCATAGCCGAGGAGAATGGTACACTTTGGAGCGCAGGTTAGCTGATACGATGTTTGAGCTGTCTGAATATGGCAATGAGTCTGAGAAAATCGCGTCACCAAAAGTTTCATCAGCTTGAGTACCGTACCAAACAGCAAGCATGATCTCTGATTTCTTCTTCTCCCCTCTCTTGTTCTCCAACCTGTACCACTCTGGAGCTAAAGGACTATCCGGAGGAACACGAGACTGAACCTCATGGAGATCGAACCGAACAATCCCGACAAAATCATCGAGGACGACGTCTTTATCCTTGACCACAACTTCAAGAATGTTCCACTGAAGATTGTCTTTAGCAAAGGCAAAGACTTGGTTCCACTCAGGATCCGAGTTCTTGTCGAAATGCGTGGTAACGCCTTTGAAGTTTCCGATTTTCACTTCAACATAAGGGTCTAGGCTTCCCGTAAGGTCTCTGGTGGGAAGATCACGGGCCTTGACGACTCTCACAAAGAGGAATCTCATCTCCTCAACGAGATCATATGTGCCGCTTGATGGCCTTTCACTACCACGAACCACTCTTCCTCCAACGATGCGTCCCCCTCCAAGAAACGGGCTCGTCTCTTTCACAGAGAAATCCGGTGGCAGCTGGTGCGAGGATGGACCTGGACCGTTGACTTGAACTACTCTTGGAGGCATCGGCGCAGCTCTCATCTCGTGAACGCCGTAATTCATCTTCGGCTGTGAAGGGGGAACGTTATGAAACGTACGTGCTCTAGGCTTATGCTCTGTTCTCTCATGATCAGCAGCCATGTTAGCATCATGATCAGAGCCTGTGATTATAGACTTTACAGGGTCTTTCCTCGGACTTGGGATATAAGAAGCTCGAGGAGATTCTGGAACCGTGGTTGAGGGAACAGAAGGTGTAATAGAAGGGTCGTCTGTGATGAAGACTCTCAAGGCAAGCTCTCCACGAGCTCGAGAGAAAACGCTGCGTTTCTCTAAAGGGTAATTGAAAGGAGCTGCTTCAGAGCGAGGAACAAAGGATGTTCCATTGACTCGAACTTTGCCAAGAAAGGGCTTAGCTTCGGATTCGTTGTTCTGGTAGCTGTAGACATGGGCTTCGAGTGTGCGGGTTGACAGTACGGAAGGATTCGAGACAACGAAGTAGAAACACTCGTGCCAGATGGGATTCGGGTCGTTGTGTTTGGTGGTTGTGCGGAATATCTGGTTATCGAACTTGAGCTCCACGAAAGGGCTACATGAGTCTTGCTTTTCTCTGTGAAACAGACCATGTGCGCTTATGACTTCAACTCCTAGCTTTATATTGCTCATTCCAGCCTTCTTTAAAAAATGAAGAAACACCTTAATGATCAGAGAATAAAAGGAAAGACCTTATCAACAAAGCTTTAATTTGAGTTATATGACATGAAATCAACCATGGATTTCTGCATCAAAATATGATTCAATCCAACCCACAAAAAGGGATTTCAAGTGAGATTAGAAGAGGTGAAGAACAGATACGGATATTTTGCAGTAACAACTTACAAAAACAGGATTAAAATAACCAAAAGAGAAAAGAAAATGTGCACGTACCTTTGACAAGTTTTTGTTTTCTGTTTCTTGTCCTTCAAAACAAACAGTGGACAAGAACCAAAAGACATGAGTCGGTCTTTAAAGATCAATCACCTGTCTTAATCAAACCACTAATGAATAAAAAATCTTAGTTTCTTATAAAATACGGCAAAGAAAACACAAGTGTATAAAATTTAAGTGTTCTGTTTTACTCTACGGTAGTTACTATTTTGGTCGTACCTCTGTTTCCCTGGAAATTGCCAGGTTGCTTTGTTTGCCGCCGTCCGATCTTGACACGCGTCCGTTTACAGTAGGGGAGCAGAGAACTGATTTAGGCCCATTTAGGGCCTACAACTACGAAACATCCCAGAACCAATGGGATGAACTATGGAGCGTTGACCCCAACCCAAAGTTAAGACGTTTTTCTAATTGTTTTACTCAGTTATTAATGTCAGCTAACGTACTTCTTGGGTTTTTATCAGAGGTTCTTTTCAATATGAATATAGTATATAATGTGTATATATTATATTATCTAATTTTTCAGTTAAACAACCATATATGTAACATAATTATTAATTTTGAACAGCTAGCTATGGTTAGTGCCAAAAATTAGGTACCTTTGGAATATATAAAAATAAATTTGGAAAAATACGTTAGAAAAGGCCAAATAAAAGTCAAAATAAGTACGTATATGTATAGAGATACGTTCAGAAAAGACAAAGCGTCTATTAATAGAGTAGTAGTCTAAAAACTCAAGAAAGACTATGAAGTTTCTCATTAACAATGAAATCTCGTTTTCTCTGAAGGAGACGTATCACTTTCACATTACGTCTCTACTATGCATACGTACAAACAATTATTTTTTGAGTCAACAAGGTTTTGCATTTTTAAATGCATGCCGTCAATTGTTAAACACTCACTATTTCACAAAATTTGGGATATTTAATGTGTTGGTGTATATTTTTATGAATAACAGAAAGAAGAGATTTTAGCAACAAGAAAAAAAAACAAAAAAGGATGTTAGCTATACAAATATATCACAATTTGAACGTCCTTACTTGAACAGTATCTGTTCTATCTACTAAGCCCTTCCAAACATACTTTTATCAACAAAAATTGGAAGTCCACACTCCAAAGAGTTATAATGCCATTATGAGATTGGAAAAAACTAAAGGAGAGAAGTGGAAGCAATATGGAGTTTTCTATCATAAAAAAATTCATCAGTTATAATGGCATTAGTTAACAAACAAAGATGCTTAACAAGTAACACTAAGCTATCGAAAAGCAATTATTCGAAAAGGTTGGGCCTCTCTCTTTAAGATCCAGTGTATTTATAGATTCAATGCATGTTTGATACTTTATATCATAGAAGAAGATAAAGTCAGAGATCCACATAAAAAGAAACAAAACTAGCAAGAGCCTGAGACCAATCATGATAAAAGAGAGAGGGTCAAAATAGCAAGAAAGAAAAAAAACAGAAAAATAAATGAAAAACAAGTTCATCATGAAAACCTCAACGCTCCAATGATCTCCCGACCAAAGTTCAGCTCAAATGCAAACACAAATGAATATATAGATATATACGAACGAGTAATATATATATATATATATATATATAATAAAAAGAGATGAACATTTGAAAAATATGGGCACGAAACCACAACGTGACAGCATCAAAGTCTTCTATCTTAAGACGTGATCAGCCTAAAGACCAATGAAAATACCACTTTGTGTTTTCTTTCTCAACCTAAAAACCCCCTCACAACCCTCCCCACTTTTTCCCCTTCATTTCTCCAATCGTCAACCTCTGGTTTGGATTTCGATTTCTCAAACGAGAACATGGTAAGTTCATAACATTTAATCTTCTAATTTGTATATGTAGATGATGCATGGCTTACGTCTATGTTCTGAATTTACATCCACCAAATTAATATGTGAAATCTAACAGCACCATATTCACATGGGTGGGATTCACATGTTATTTAGGTTGGACGTATATAATTAGTAACATGAAGAGAGTTCATATGTATAGATTGACTTGGTGTGGATATAGTCAGCCTTTTGACCATCTGTATAGAGTGATATGCTATGTCTTCTTATAAGTTTTATGGTATTTGGTTAGGACGAAGGTTCATGTAATAAATAATATGAGTACATGTGTGATGTGTGCAGGCTAATTCAGCATCTGGGATGAATGTAAGTGATGAATGCAAGCTCAAGTTTTTGGAGTTGAAAGCAAAGAGGACATATAGGTTCATCGTGTTCAAGATTGATGAGAATGCTCAGCAAGTTCAGATAGAAAAGCTTGGGAATCCCGAAGAAACTTACGACGATTTCACAAACTCTATCCCAGAGAATGAATGCCGATACGCAGTCTATGATTTTGATTTCACCACCGAGGACAATTGCCAGAAGAGCAAGATCTTTTTCATCTCGTGGTAACACATTAATTAATTCTCTCCTTTTGTGTTTTGTATGATCAGAAAACTCTTTTATGTTTGTATAACTATAATTAATGTGTTCATGATCAGGTCACCTGATACATCAAGAGTGCGGAGTAAGATGTTGTATGCAAGCTCAAAAGACAGGTTCAAGAGAGAATTGGATGGGATTCAAGTTGAATTGCAAGCAACTGATCCTAGCGAGATGAGCCTCGACATCATCAATGAAAGAGCTCTCTGAAAAATAATCATCAATATTCGAGAATGATCAGCTGCATGCATCCCTATTCATTCCTATATATTGTTTTCGTGTGTTAAGGTTTTATATCTTATAAAAAAATCCCATTTCCTGAATATGTCTGCTTTTCCTTCCCGGCTAAGTACATTTTGTGTGGAATTAATGTCTTATGTTGTTTTGCGTTTTCACAACCCAAAAAAATAGTTTTTACTTCAATCTGCTGCTTTCTTTCACAGAGCTCTGAAAGTGAAAAGTTTCCCCCATTAACTTATTCTAGGCGATCAGAAGATTTAAAATGTGGTAAAGTTGTTGAGGACAGTGAGTTGACGATATTCGTTATGCATGTAAGAGAAACCAAGCAAATATAGAGTAGGAGTAAAATAGAAGAACTTATGATTCATCATCGGTATCATGATTCATGATTAATAATATAATATGTCATTTGATGATGCTATGTATAATATGCTATTAATACTATATATCTTATATCAATGCTATTATTAATCTATAAAGATAGATATTGAACGCCATAGTGGTTGCTTTAGCATAAATCGACATATGCCTTTCTTTTCTTAATATGGATTCCATTTTTCAAATTAAAACTACAATATGATATCATCTCTCTCGCCCCAAAAAAAAGAAAAAGAAAAAGAAGAAGGAAGGATAAGAAACTGATTAGACCTTCAGAAATTTTGAGTTATAATAAGATATAATTGGGGTGAACAATGGAGTTATTATAACGAATGCTAACGAATTAAAATTGCATTTTAAGCTATAATTTTTTTAACTACATATCTTTTTAGCTTTCTTACACCAAATGTATATCGATTTCAACTTTTCTGTTTTAACGATTTTTTGAATAACAAGATAGTTAAACTCATTCCAGAATTTGTTTTTTTCTTTTGCATCCTTTTCAGAGTTTCAGAAGTATCCAACACATGTTTTGTATGGGGCTTCTAATTGTATGTGTCAAGTAAAATTATAAAAATGACAAAATAAGAGCAATCAAATGAACACGTACGTAATGCTCGCCAATTTTATCAAGATTCGGCTATTTTGCAAGCTGTAATAAATATTCCTGGTGACATATATCGAATCAAAAAAAAAACAAATAAAAAGACAAACACAGAAAGAAACCACTAAAACCAATGTTGATTTTCAAATATTCCCAGAAGAAAAAACGACACGAATACATTAATCACTGAAACCTACCATTTCGCTTTTTTGCATTCGAACATCTCTATATCTTTATAAAACAGACCAAAATGTGCATTTAATCTGCAATTATAACTTGAAGCTCTAAGCTCTTTATTTAATAACATGGAGTCGGGTATCCCCAACCAAAGAGGTAATCATATAACCAATGTTCAGTATTGTTTTAGTTTCATGTTATCTTATGAAAATCAGATAACTCATTAAAGCTATTTAATTTTTGGGTAAAATATAACATTTATGACGTAGGAGAAGCACAGTTATCAGTCATCAAGGCGTGGAAGGAACAAAAGATAACAAAGGTCATCAACAAGTAAGAAACCCTTTTTCAAGGGTTCTGCTTTTCCTAATAGCACAGCTGTGACGATTTTCTGATTGCAGGACTCAGAAGAAGCTACTTGAGATTTCAGGATGGGAGAAAAAGAAAACAACAAAGATCGAGTCTGAACTCAATAAGATACAGGTGATTCCACAACAAAGACTCTTGTTCTACTTAAAAGTTATATGATCAAAAACACGAATCCATCAAATGAAAGAATACGGCTGCATCTAAAAAACAAAGAAACAAACAAAAAAAGATTGTTGTTTTCTGCAGCGGAAGATGGACATGAAGAAAATGGAGAAAGCAGAGAAACTAAGGAGCAAGAAAGCAGCAGTTCATGCAAAAGCACAAGATAAAAAGGAAAAGGTTCAAACCAGGCGCGCTCAAGAGATTCTCGATGCAGAAGAAGAAGCTTCTAGGTTTCAAGCCATGGGACAGGTTCCCAACAAGTCATCTTTCAGCTGCTTCTGATATCAGCGGTAACCCGTGTTACAGATTATCACATATATCCTCTCTCCTATGTATATGATCCATTATCTTTTGTATGTGTGTTTTTGCTTGTGTTGGTCATGGACCAAGAGTGCCATAATCATTGTTCACAAATCAAAACCCTGAACTAATCAACCTTATTGAAAACATGGATCATACAAGAATACAATCTGCAACCTAGGTGAATAGATAAAGAAAATTATCATCTTAGGGTCTCAAAGACTTATTATTGAAGTTGGAAAGCTGAAAACTGGACATGAAGAGTCACGAAACCCGAGCATGAGGAAAAAAGGAGAAGCTAGAAGTTAGGAAGTCTGAAGAGAGAATACCAAAACACAGAGAGAACCCATAAGTTATCTTCAGATTTGATCTATGGTTGATAACATTGTAATATTGAAGATAAGTTCAATGTATGTACGAGTTTTACACGTCAAAGTTTATCACCCATAGGTCCCATACAATGTAAAATTTTTTTAACACAAAATAAATACGCTAAAAATAACATCGAAATCTAGAGATTTTTTTTCCTACTTCACTTCATAGTTTGGTAACTGAAAATTATGTCCACCTCAGATTAATATCAGAGGGGTGTCATCATGTAGGATAATGATAACTAGTGATTTAGTTATCACTAGAGTTATAGACGGAGCGATCAGAATGTATTATGGACAAGAGTGAAACACTATGAACTCACGCCGCCGTTAAAATGGTGGTGCGAGAAAACTTAGAAAACATAATAGTTTGGTGGTATTATTTATTTATTTTTGGTAAACCTTTGTAGAACAGTTTATGCCGCTCGCTATATGATCTTTCATAGTTTCGAGTGAAGATAAAACACTCTAGTCGATATATCTTCTAAACTCTAAATGACCGGTAATTAAAGCGAGATCTGGCCATGATGCAAAATATCACAATACTGAAACCACTGACCAGTCTAAGACAAAGAAAGAAACATAGCATCAAACGACTTGTTACAACTAAATAAAAGACTTCACTTCGACAACTACCCGGTATTTCAAACAATCTATGCCCTTGTCTATATGTAATTGATCTTTAAAAATAGAGGAAAGCCAAAGACGCACAAAATAACATTTCAGAGGTCGAATGTGAAGACTTTTTGGGTTATGGTCGTCCTGCAATGGCTAGATAAAGACAGACAACTGCAACCCATTGCTTCAACCAACCTGAAACATCAACAAATCCAAATAATCTTTTAAGGGTCTTTCTTTACACGGGAGCAAACCTATATCAAAAGATATTGGCCTATATGCATTAACCAAATGAACTTTAAATATGGCCCCGAATTATATGACATGGTCATAGATGCGATAGTTAATTAGATCTTTCCGACAACACAATGTATTGTATTAAGAAATTATCCTCGAGAATCTGGAGTTTACATGAAGTACCGGACTCCAAAAGTAGGAACAATTCAAGCCTTGTCTGTAAGTTGATATTACTTACCAATTTATTACTGACACCTAACAGCAGACTAAAGCGGTCAACCCTTAGTTATTGGCAATATATTGCCTGATCGATATGCGGAGGAATTTGCTTGATCTCCGTTCCAAGCTCTTGCTCAATCCGGTACCTACAAAAAAAGTAAGACTAAGGTTAAGAACCGCAGTAGGCAACAGGACCTAAAACCAGTTACGAGATTAGAAGACATACAGGTTGAAGCGGTCCTCATAGGTGATAAGATTCACAGCTAAACCAAGATGGCCAAACCTTCCTGATCGACCAACCTGAACAGCAATCGGGTATCCAAATCAGATGGCCATCAATCAATATGTAGACATGTAGTACAACGTAGACAGTTGATTTTCAGCTTACCCTGTGGAGATAAGTTTCTGCATTCTTTGGGAAATCAAAGTTAATCACCACATTGACTGCTTGAATGTCAATTCCACGTGTGAAGAGGTCTGCAGCAATCATCATCAAATCATTAATTATTCAGGTGAAGGTCTTAACTCATTTCCAAAAGTCAAAATAGTAAAGCCAGTGTAACTTGATCCTCGAAGGCCTTCACTAAAGCCATTTTTGAGTACATAACTGAGCATTTTATTCATTGTGGTCCTGCAATAACAATAACAATACTTAGACATACCAGTACACACAAGATTCCGGCATGCACCATTGCGAAAGTCATGGAACACTCTGTTTCGGTGGTCTTGAAGCATCTTTGCATGGATGTAAAAGCACGAATACCCAAGTTCTGTAATTTTCTTAGCTAAGAGCTCCACACGGTTCACAGAATTGCAGAATATGATCGATTGGTTAATTTGCAGCTGAAGATGAAGAAGAAGAAGGAGAGTAAATGCCAGCTAAGGAAAGAAATAAATCAACCAATACTTAGTTCAGGTCTAACCTTGGAGAATAGTGTATTCAGGCAATGAATTTTCTGACGTTCTTCAACGAAAGCATAGAACTGGGTGATACCCTTGAGCGTAAGTTCATCCATGAGATTGATAATATAAGGATTCGTCAGAAATCTATCCTTGAAATCCTTGACAGTGACAGGGAACGTGGCTGAGAACATCAAAATCTGACGATTTTGCGGAAGAAAGCTGATCAAGTGTTCCACTGAAGGTTGGAACTCTTGTGATAAAAGCTTATCAGCCTGGAGAACAGATTCATGTTTAAATTAGATTCAACGAAACCATGACAGTATTGCTACAGCTTGCAAACAGTGGAAACAAATAGTTAGGTAAGAAGAAACTTAACAGCAAAAATACAAAGAAAGCATACCTCATCCATAACGAGCACGGAACAATCTTTTAAAACACATACACCTTTCTTGGCAAGATCCAGAATTCTCCCAGGAGTTCCCACAAGTAAATGGACAGGCTGATACAAACGCATGATATCATCTTTCAGACTGGTGCCTCCGGTGGTCACCATGACTTGAATCTTCAAATGCTTCCCAAGCTCCTTACACACTTGTGATGTCTGAAGGGCTAACTCTCGAGTTGGAACAATTATCACAGCTGCAAACAAGACAGGTATAAGCGAAAAAACTATATTAGAAAGAAAAAAATGGTAACTCCTTAAGGAAAACATTGCAGGCCACATGAAAAATCAATAGCTAGTAGATGGCAGAATTTCAAATTGATTTGTTCGCATCCTATCATATCCAAGAATCAACTGATAACATGGTCCAGAGAACAGTTACCTTGAATAACGTTGTTATCTTGGTCAATTTTTTCCAAGACAGGAATACAAAAGGCGGCTGTCTTCCCAGTCCCGTTCTTTGCTCGGGCAAGGATATCTCTACCAGTTAAGGCAATGGGAATACTCTCTTCTTGAATAGGAGAAGGTCTTTCAAAACCCTTCTCGTATATTCCCATGAGAAGTTCCCGCTTCAAAAAATAATCTTCAAACTCGTTTCCCTTTGTGGCTGTCACATCCTGAATATAATAACAAGTGAAAAATGATGCTACTGTCATCCCACGCAAACCCAAAATTGAATCGGTCTAACAAATAGATTCTGACGCAGTTTTGTAATAGAAACATAACACAAGAGCTTCTTTGCCATGGTTAAAAGGTAGAAAAGTAACATCAACAATAATGGGTTTACGTATTAAGCAATCAAATAAGCAAAACACCTTTCTGCAGAACACAACAACCTCTGAGACAGATGAAGAATCAGTCTATATACGGTTCCTTAATGTGCAAGGAAAAAGTAAACAAGGGCGAAATCATATTTTATCCTCCTTCGTCCAAATTCTGAATCTTACCTCTGTTCTGTAGCGAGTATCAGGTGCAGGTAGCTTTAGCCTCGCTTTCCAGTCTTCCGAACTGACGAGCAAAGAAAAAAGCATAATGAATATAACACAGGCCTCTCTAACTTCAAGACAAAGAGCTTGATCACACGAACAAACATGAAACGCGCACTAAACAGCTCAATGCCATTCGCTTTAACTCAATTAGAAAGATTGAAAGCAATCACATCCAAGATGTCTAAAACTTGAACAAGCAACATCAAGAGAAAACAGAAGGTACTAACTTTGTGTCGATAGCTTCGGACTGAACAGTTTTCTCAACTTCTACAACTGCATCGCCGTTACTGTTACCGGCGGAGATCTGGGGTCTTCGAAGCCATTGTTGTTGTTGTTGTTGTTGGTATTGATGTTGTTGATGCGGCTGCGAAGTCGCTTGCTGAAACTGTTGTTGGTGATTCTGCTGCGCGTAACCGCCGCGCTGAACGTACTGTGGCGGCGGCTGTTGTTGATAAGTAGGCCGTGATTGGAAATTAGGGTTAGGGTTAAAGGCTCCACGGCCAGCGCCAATCCCAGGAGGATACCTTCCTCGGTTGTTGTTGTTGTTGTTGTTCATCACGAGCTTTTCTTCTCGATCTCTAAAACGCTAATAGAACCAAACTCTGCCTACGGAGGGATCTGTACAGCAAGAGACTACAACGTGTAGGGTTTCCTACGGTAACACAAAACCTAAGGACAATGACGAGCTATTGACAAAATCGCGATTGAATTACACAAAAAAAAAGAGAAGCTATTCTGGAGAAATCTAGGGTTTGGAGACCACAAAATCGGGGGTAAAGAGTAGCAGATCTGGAAAATAAAAGTCCAAAATCAAGCGAGAATGATAAATAGAGAAGAAATGTCGAAAGAGGTCCACGCGAGGAAGGAGAGAGGATAATCACTATTGAGAAGAAGGTTCTCGCTTGAAACGAGAGAGAGACAGCGCGTTGGTAGAGAAATCTCTCTCTGTCACTTAAAATATTATTATAACAACAGTTTTGTGATTTGGTCTTCCTTTCTTTGGCACACGGTCAGGGGCGGGCTGGTGGGAGACGGAGAGGGGAGAGAAGATACTCGGCCTTGGGCTTTGAGGGTTTCAATTTTTTTCTTTTTTCTGAAATTCATAAAATTGCCCAGTATTTCCTTCCTTTTATAGATTCACTGACCACTGCCTTTTTTTTTTTTTTACAAATTCATCCATTACTTCATTTTCTACAGAATCACCCCTTACATTTTAAAAAAATATTAATACATTAAGATATTAGATGACTTCCGGCACTATAGCATGTATATATATATTATATACTAACTATGAAGTTCCCTCACTCTCCAATCTAGTGGCGGACCCAGAAATTTTTTTAACTTGTGTCAGAAAATAATTATAATATTAATAATTAATATTTTATTAAATATAAAAAACTTTACAAAATTATTATACCCTATAAAACTATTCTACGATCTTTCATATCCTGAAATATTTTAATAATATACTTATTTGTAATAGTCTAGAATACATATGTCTCGACAAAATAAATTAAATAATCATTCAAAAACTGATTTCTATATCCGATTGCGTTCATATGCACGATCGAAAATATCTCTCCACAATTGCAGTAACAACAGACAAAAAAAAAGACTACATAACAATTGAAATAAAGACATATTCCATGATTTTTTTTTAGCATTTTTTTGTTTGAACATTAGACTTATTTAATGAAAAATGAGATATATATATATATAGTATTATAAAGACTTAATTATGCCATAATTTTATTGATATGAGTCTCTTAATAATACTATTCCATTGTGTCTTATTTAATGAATAATGAAAAGTATATATAGAATTGCAAAGATTTAATTATGCTTATAAACTACCAGAGACACTTAAATTTTTCTTTTAATTATGTATAAAAAGACCTAATTTATAATAGGTGAGTTTTAGTTAAATATTTAATGTACTTTACCAAAAATAGAATTTAAGTGATGACACAGCATCGTGTGTCAAATTTGATAAGGGAAACAAAAAGGTGAGCTAATTAAGTTAATTACAAATTTGTGACCGTAAAAAGAAAAACAAAAGCAAAATTATACTGTGTCAATTGAGACAGTATATTTATGTGTAGATCCACCTCTGCTCCAATCCATAACATATTGTGAGATTTAAGAAACATCAGAAGAAACATCATTAAGTGGTATTAATATTTCATCATTTTGTTTCATTTAGATATGAAGACTTCCACGTTTTCAAATATATGGATTTTGACAAGATCTGATCGAGAAGTGAACAATTCGTATTTGATAATATACCATAAAAACATGAAAGCATTTTTCAGGAGAAACTTCATCAAATTAGTAAAATCGTTTGTAATCATCAAAATGGATGGAATCTATATTGTGAAACTAATCCTGAAAAAAATTTTCAAAAAAAAAGAAATCAGCAAAAGACTTTCAAGTTTCAAACATGGAACATGTAGCGAAAATGTAAACCAATTTTGTTTTTACTAACAAAGCCATAATTAAAATAAAAAATCGTGTGATTGAAAATGGTAATAGACATAAATACCCTTATTGTTTTGTTAAAATCACAAAATAACCTTCAAAATCTCGCATAATCTCCGCAGTCGCATAGCTCTCGCCGAATCCCCTGAGAAACCTCTTCTTCCGCCTTCTCCTTAGCGATTTCGAGCTCTTATAATCGTCGCCGTCTTCGTTTATCTCCGTCACGGTGAGTTTTCTCGTTGTCTGAATCCTCTTAAAACCCAAAAGGATATTTATTTTAGCTTTTCAAGTGAAATGTATCTGCCCAAAATGACTTGCATTTGAACTCTTTTATAATCCTTTTCATTAGCTAAACCTTCCCCTGAGCTCTAAAGCCCTAAGTTCGGAGCCACGACGAGCAGACAGCTGTTCTGTTTGGCCGGTAAGAGAATGGCGTCGATGATGTTTACCGATTGCTCCTCTTCCACCACGTCGCGTCTCATCCTTTCGAACCGCCGCAGCGGCTCTATTCTCCTCCGTCAGTGCGTCGGCCAACTCCGCCTAAGGACCACTCCGTCTGGCCGTGGTTTCTCTCTCTCCATTCGCTCCTCTTCTTCTCCGTCTCCTGCCACTTTAGGTATAACACACTCAACCTGATTGCGCTTTACACAGACATTTTGGAAATTCCAGTATTGTTCTTGTCTGAGAAAATTGAGTTATTGTTCTAGATTTTCTTTTCAATTATTCTCTTCTTTGATCGGAATCATAAGATTGCTTTTCTCGACAGTTGATGGAAAGGCTGTGGCAAAAACCATTAGAGATGAGATCACAGTCGAGGTTTCAAGAATGAATGAATCAATCGGTGTGGTTCCTGGTTTAGCAGTAATACTTGTTGGAGACAGAAAAGATTCCGCAACTTATGTGAGGAACAAGAAGAAAGCTTGTGAATCTGTTGGAATCAAATCGATCGAAGTTCGTCTTCCTGAAGATTCCTCAGAAGAAGATGTTTTGAAATCTGTCTCAGGCTTCAACGATGATCCTTCTGTCCATGGAATCCTTGTTCAGCTGCCTCTACCATCGGTATTTTCCCCCACTCAACCAAAGTCTCTACCTTTGATCATATTCATAACTAAAAAAACAAATAGACAGTGATTTACAACATAGTTTTGTTTTGGGGATATGTTATGTAAATGCAGCATATGGATGAGCAGAACATACTGAATGCAGTTAGTATAGAGAAAGACGTTGATGGATTTCACCCACTAAATATTGGAAGGCTTGCCATGCGGGGAAGAGAACCCTTATTTGTTCCGTGTACTCCAAAGGGATGCATTGAGTTGTTGCACAGATACAACTTTGAGATCAAAGGCAAAAGAGCCGTCGTTATCGGAAGGAGTAACATTGTTGGTATGCCTGCTGCTCTGCTACTGCAGGTAATGATGATACCTTTTAAAGACTAATGCCAATTATTTGTTTTTTGGTTCACTGGGGACATTTGTACAATTTTTGGTCTGTGTTTTGTACATGTAGAGGGAGGATGCAACCGTTACCATCATCCATTCAAGAACCAAAAACCCTGAAGAAATCACACGACAAGCTGATATCATAATCTCAGCTGTTGGGCAGCCAAACATGGTTAGAGGAAGCTGGATAAAACCGGGCGCAATCATCATCGATGTTGGGATTAATCCTGTCGACGTAAGTTAACAATTTGGAGATTTATAGTAAATGCAGTTATAATGGATAAAATCAGTCCAGTGTGTGACATTCATGTACTATGAACTGCAGGATCCAAATGCTCCACGCGGCTATCGCTTGGTTGGAGACGTTTGTTATGAGGAGGCTTGCACAGTTGCATCAGCCATCACGCCCGTTCCTGGTGGTGTAGGACCAATGACCATAGCCATGCTTCTATCCAATACCTTAACATCGGCTAAGAGAATTCACAACTTCCAGTGACGTTAGAAGAAGATTGATGGCCTTTTTTTTGGAATGAACAAGTCCTACTTTTTATTCGGATCCAATCGTTTGCTTTGGACTTTCATAAAATGTCCCTTTTTGTTGTATGAAAACCAAACATATGTATGTAGTTTAAATCGGGATAAATCCGACCGTATTTTGTCTTTCCCAATCCCTTAATAATACCTGTTTTACATTTATTTATTATTTTTGTTTTGTCAAGTTTTTTCAGATATTTATCTAACTGCACAAAAATCGGCGTAGATGGATTAGGGCACGTCCGTGGCAAGGAAGAAACAGTATATTTGCTTCTTCTACAAGGAACATAAATATCGCTTGAGGCTTGAGCGTCGTTGGTTCCTACTATTCTTCAGGTTCTTTCCGATCTTCATTGTCTTATTCTCTCTGTTTGGTTTTGTTTAATTGTCTGGAAACAATTCTACTTAAACCCTAAGTTGGAAGCCACGACCGAGTAGCAGTCTATAATGGCATCGTTGATGTTTGCCGATTGTTCCTCCTCCACGACGTCGCGTATCATCCATCCAAACATCCGCAACGGTTCTTTCCTGCCCCGGCGGTGCATCGACCAACTCCGATTACAGACCACCACTTCTGGTCGTGGCTGCGCTCTCTCCATTCGCAGCTCTTCTTCTCCCACTCCTGGTTAGACGACTAAACCTTAGCACGAAATTTCAGTCATCCTCTTGATCAGTAATCGGAATCATGATTTTTTCTTCTTTTCTCTTCAGTTGTTTCCACGTTAATTGATGGATCGGCTGTGGCAAAACCGATTAGGGATGAGATCAGAATACAAGTTTCAAGAATGAAGGAAACAATCGGCGTGGTTCCTGGTTTAGCAGTAATCCTTGTCGGGGACATGAAAGATTCCGCAAGATATGTGAGGAACAAGAAGAAAGCTTGTGAATCTGTTGGAATCAAATCATTGGTAGTTCGTCTACCTGAAGATTCCTCAGAAAAAGATGTATTGAAATCTGTCTCAGGCTTCAACGATGATCCATTCTGTCCATGGAATCCTTGTTCAGCTGCCTCTACCATCGGTAAACAAAAAAAAAAAAGTCTCTACCTTTATGTATAACTTAAAAAATAATAATAGACAGCATGAATAGTTAGTTTTTGGGATGTTGTGTATATATGCAGCACATGGATGAACAGAACATACTGAATGCGGTTCGGATAGAGAAAGACGTTGATGGATTTCACCCACTAAACATGGGACAGCTTGCCATGCGGGAAAGAGAGCCCTTATTCATTCCGTGTACTCCAAAAGGATGCATCGAGTTGCTTCACAGTTACAACGTTGAGATCAGAGGAAAGAGAGCTGTTGTTCTCGGAAGGAGTAACATCGTTGGTATGCCTGCTGCTCTCTTACTCCAGGTACTCATGATACCTACCTGTGAAAAAAGATTCCATTTTTCTGGTTGCGACATGTGATGATAACACTATAACTAGTTACAATCTTTGGTCTTTGTCCATGTAATAGAGGGAGGATGCAACCGTTAGCATTATCCACTCAAAAACCAAGAACCCTGAAGAAATCACACGACAAGCTGATATCATAATCGCAGCCGTTGGGCAACCAAACATGGTAAGAGGAAGCTGGATTAAACCAGGTGCAGTCGTCCTCGATGTTGGGACTACCGATGTCGACGTAAGTAAACAATTTTGACATTACGGCAATGGAGGGATAATGGATTAAAAACCAATCAATCATGTATGTGACATTCATATATTATGAACTGCAGGATCCAGATTCTCGAAGCGGCTATCGCTTGGTCGGAGACGTTTGTTACGAGGAGGCTTGCAAAGTTGCATCAGCTGTCTCACCTGTTCCTGGTGGTGTAGGACCAATGACCATAGCCATGCTTCTATCCAACACCTTGACATCGGCTAAAAGAATTCACAACTTCCACTGAAGATTGCTGGCCTTTTTGGAATAGACAAACAATCATCTTCTGGTTTTTGAAGCCAATGGTTTGTTCTGGTTTTTGAAAAAGCGAAGTCGGAGGATAGAAAGTTGTCTTTTAACAATTTCTTTACTTCTTCTCGGGTCTGTCCGTTCTTATTATTTGATCTAGTTTACACTTATCCAGAAAATGAATACATCCCCATTGAAAGGGTGGTGAGTCCCATGTTACAAATTCTAAAACTTTTCTCCTCTATGCTTCAAACATCCTACAAAAACATATTCAAGAGAGCACAAATCAATCAGCAACAGGTTCGACGGAGATCTATCCCGGCTTCAAAATAATCTATCCCAGCTTCGTTCTTCTCTCCCTTCTTCCTGAGTATCGAAATCTGTTCAAGGAAACAACAAGAGACCCAATGATCCTAAACTTAGTTTTCAAGCTCCACCTTTAAAGCTGACATTTTATTCTTTTGGGTATCTAAATCAAGGCAATACCTTTGGCTTCTTTATAGAGTTCCCATAGTATCCTATTCCAAATGATAGTGACGAATAAGCAGCAGCCATCTCGATAGCATTCAGCTCTGGTTTACTTCCAGGGACCTTTAGAATTAAATCATAATGATTAAAGCAAGATTCACAACCTACAAAAAGAAGAAGCAAGACTTTATTAAATCTTGTGCTTACAGCTACAGAAGCATCTGCCTGAACCACTAAAATTCCAGCAGTTTTGTCAGTAATTCCACATTCTGAGCCCTCTTGTTGCATCACGGAACGTAAAACCTTCATGGCCGCAGATGCTGGACCAGCCTGTGAACTAAGAGCATAAGAAACCCCTTCTTAGCTTGGATACAAAAGTGCAAAGCCACGCCAAAAAAAGAGCATAACCATTAAGAAAGGCTTGGGGATGTATACAGGGACAGTGAAGTACAACATTCCCTAGCTGCAAATCCTCTCATAAGATACTCTCCAGCTCCAGACACACAACATCCAACTAGAAATGGAGTTCCAAATGGTCCTTTAGAGGAAGCCCAGCAACCAGAACCATAAGTTGCTGCTAAACCTACGCGGCCGCTAATCTGAAATGCAATATCAGAAAACATGATAATCAGTTTTTCTTTCAGAAGACAAGAACTAGGATTTAATTGTTATTACCTTCATTGCAATACCACCACTTGAGGACCCACAAGCAATATGTCCTTCACTGTCAACACAAATAACGCCAACAGTATCCATGATCTTATCCTCATCTACTGCTGCGCAAGGTAATTGTTTCCCCTCACATGTTTCATCCTTGTCAATTTCCCTGGGCTGTTCTTCAGAAGAAGAAAGGTTATTCTCTGCCTCTACCTCAGAAAGCATAGTCTTGAACTTTCTCCACTGATTTCTTGCTCTCTCTGTAACCAGCCACTGTTTCAACATAAGATACTTAAAACATAATTCTCAGGGTATCAAACAACCAAGTGATTGACAGTAAGGCAAGAGAATGTGGGATTCTCAACCTGATCAGCTTCTGGGACACTTTCAGGCAAAAGAACATCTTTGGATTTGGCCCAACGTCGAGCTCCTTCACCAACCAACATCCTGGCGAGGTAGATCAGAAAGTTCAATGCTTGACGAAACAGATTCCATGCTGGGTTGTGATATCAGAACCAAGAAAGGCAATTCATTACATTGGAGGTATACGGCCTAATAGGGCTGAGCCACTCATCTGCTCCTTCAACAACAAAGCAGCAATCTTGATGGCATTTCTGACACCTGATCTACAGTTCATCGTCCAAAATCGTCAGAAATTCCATAAAATACTGTAAATCGATACACAAACTACAATGAGGAAGGTTGAGATAAGGGGTTTCAAAGTACCTGGAACTGCTCCAACGCCTCCAAACATCCCTGAATGGCCATCCATAAGACTAGCATCACATTCCACATGACCATCTTCTGTCAAATTAGAGCCTCTACCAGCATTTGTGCTCGGGTCGTCCTAATTTAACATGGGAATCGCTATAACAGTCAAGAAGCAGCTATGGCGAACACTAGAGTGTTTCTTCTTCTTCAACCAAGGAAAAAGGTCGAACAAGTACCTCGAGGACTTCAATGGCGGCTGAAACAGCATCTATGCACCCACCAGAATCCTAAATTCAACAAATAAAGCAAAGATCGCACGTCAAGGTATGGTATTCTGTATCATTCAGTCCATCGTACGTATGTAATTTAGATATTCGTATGCATTTGTCGTGATATCTATCTTTGATTCGAAAAAGAAATTGATTGTGTAAAGATAATCCAAAGAGAACCTGGCGAAGAATAGTTGAAGCGGCTAGGCAAGCGCGTCTCATAACGGATCTAAGAGCTTTCTCGCTAGCCGCCGCGTGATATCCGGCACCGACGTGAACCGCCACGAAAAAGCGTCGACTTTTATCTGCTCCGTCGCAAGCCATGGTTTTTCAGGCGAAACCCCTTTGGAATCGGTAGTTTTAACGCGAACGTGAAAACTCTGCACACCGTTCTTGAATCAGAGAGCCAAACTGAATTACAGAGGCAAACATCGTGCCGTTTTCAGAGATCCAATGCGTTGATAAATATTGTGAACATCATGCGGTTTTTTAATTCTTCTTTTTTTTACTGGAGACAAGTAAAACACCCTCAGCATTCGGGTAAATTACAGAAAATTGCCATCATTTCAGCCTCTGACTGACTAAACTCTTGAAGAAGAAGGGCAACGAGTCTCATCGTCTTTCTTTGCAATCCTTCTGACTTTGCCAAGGTAAGCCGATCTCTGGTCAACAGAATCATGATGCTATTTGAATACTCAATTCACAGAATCTGTCATCAATGTCGTTGGTGTTTAGCTGTTAGGCGGACTAGGGTTTGTTTGTGTTTACAGCATTGAATTTTTATGTTACTGATCGATCTGTGCATCTTCATGATTCGATTTAGGAAAAAGGAATTGGTGTTTGGTGGAACAGATCGATCCGATCTAATGGGAGGAGCTGAGCATGGACATGGAGGAGAAGGTGGCGATTTCAGAGCCAAAGTTTGGAGTATGTCTGGTGGGCCTTACTGTAGGCCCAAACATTGGCGTCGGAACACCGCCATAGCTATGTTCGGCGTTTTCCTTGTCTGCATCCCCATCGCCATGAAGTCTGCTGAGCTCGAGGTATTCTTCATTTCTTTATGAGTGAAAAGGGGAATGGCTTGGAGTTTGATCCTGGAAAGTATAATTTTTTTTCATTAGTATTTGGGTATATGGGAAGATAATTTTGTATTATCTTTGAGAAACTTCTGTAGCTTATCAGTTAATTGCTGCCTTGTCCTGCAAATTTGGATGTTTCTGATCATACAGTCTGTGTGAATCTATTGTAAAATATAGCTTTTGGTTTATATGTTTCATAAGCAGGCAGTCCCCAAGAACATTTTTAATCTGCTTCAGTGAAATTAACAACCTTTTCCTTCCTAATTCCATCTGTTATTTCATAAATTCTTAGTCATTGCCAATGATTCGTCGGGCATCAACTGTATCCGTGACCATATAAAGTGTAGAACATTCGTAAATGGTAACCTCTTTGTGACCATATAAAGTGTAGAACATTCGTAAATGGTAACCTCTTTGTGACATGATTTTGTCTTGCACCCTTTAATTCTCTTTGAGCTCTTCAAACCCTGTTTCCCATCGCCATGTTACTTTGCATCCTATCTTTGTTTGTGTAACAGCTCTGGAAGATTTTCTTGGTTAATTTTCTGTAGTTAGACTGAGAAATCTAATCTTCTAAACTCCTGCAACTTTAGTACTCCAAATATGGTTAAAGAGTGGTTTGGATGCAGATGATCGAGGACTTACATTTCTTATGTTTTCCGAATCAAAATAATGCTTGACTTGAGGCCCTTGTGATAAGAATTTAGCACTGATATTGTTAGGTGTTGTGTATGCTACTCTATTGTTTCCACTTTCTTGCTTGATGATCACGATTTGAGAAAAGCCTTGTTTTGATTTCAGCAAAGGCCACACATGCCTGTACGCCCAATTCCTTCACAGATATGGTGTAAGAACTTTGGAACCAAGGATGATTACGAGAAGGAGCATTAAAGCGTTTTCCTTGCTTTGAAGAAAACTCTTTTGCTTGGTCTCTTATTTGCAGACAATGTGAGCATGAAAAAAAAGAAAAAAAAAACCTTCCTAGATCTGTCGTTCATCTTTCATATTACTGTGAACATAATAATTTGTCTTTGCCCTTGCCATGTACAACACATGGAATCTTCCCAAATTCAGGAATTTTCATGTTATTCCAAAACTCAATTAATCAGCAGTATATATATGGGTCGGTTTTATCTTAAGGCAGAATCCATCTGGATTTTGAAACATCATTATGCGATTTTACTTTGACCTACTTTGGAATTAGTTAGTGCTTTAGGAATCTACGTTTAAAGGTACGCGACTCGGTTCATGGTATACCAAAATGCCTAATAGCTCGAATTTGCATTGATGTTCAATGAATGATCTTATTCTTATTCAGAACATCAAATGCAAATTCGACCTATTAGGCATTTTAGTATATCATCAATCAGTGATCTTATTCTTATCATGTCAACAAAAAAAATGATCTTATTCTTGTATTCGTTGTAGCATTTCGTTCTACAGAAGCCAAGTGTTTCTAGGTCATCCTAAAACAAGGACACAATACATCTTTCATCAAGAAAAACAGAAGCACTTTTATATACACGTTTTTCAAATGAGTAATATTACTCGTACTTTTGACTGTGATGGATTTGGAGGTTGTCGAGAAAACACCAAATACGTAAATCTTAAATGGTAGATGTTTAATTATTGTTTTTGCTGTGACAAGAAAAAAACAAAAAAAAATCATTATCGGAACCGAAGGCACTTTATTTAGAGATGAACGGTAGAAAATAAAAGAAGAAACAGTGGTTAGAGTTAAAAGCTGACGGTTTCAAGTCGCCGCAGCGAATAGTTTTTAAAGGATGGTTTTCTCTTACCGTTCTCGAATCTCAATTTTATTCTTTCCTTTCCTTTTCTTTAATTAATTTATTTATGTAGGACTACGTAATATTTTTTACCAGAGGCACACGTATGGGTACAAGCGGAAATACGACAACACGGAAACACGTGTCAATGATCTAACGGTGATTTGGTCAATGGTTTTTCACCTCTAATCTTCATCCCCCCAATTTACCAGGAAAATGATTCAGCACCGTCCACGTGGCAATCTGATTCCCGTCTATATTCACATTTCCGTTTATACCCCTATTGCCCGTTTGCCTTCGGGCAACTTCAATTTGTTTCCCATTCTCGTTTTTTGACTTTACCAAATTTCTTTGCTCCTTTGAATTTAGAGAAATGGAAAATTATGAAAAATAAAAAAGAATTGGAAAGTAAATATAGAAGAAAAATGTGAACATTGAAATAAATGCCTTGTATTCATTATTGTCTGACCCTTTCGCATCTCTCTAAATAATAAATCTCCGGGCAGCTCTCAGACATCTTCCCTCTTCCTCAGACAGCTTCCTCTTACTCTCTCTTTCAAAGCTGGAGGAAGAACATTCGATTCATTTTCTTCACACTGGAAGAGGAAGAAGAAGAGATCAAAGCACAGCGTGTGTACAAAATATTTGACTACTTTTTTTACTCCATAAAACCCATAGATTTTTCCCATATTTCTCTCTCAGTTTTTAGTCCTTGGTTCTTGTTCAATTTCGTGTTGAACTCGTCATACCATTGAATTGCGGCTTGCGATTCTGCAGTGTGTTGGTCGGATCTTGAGAGTGATTTTCGGGACCGATGATGTGGAGGAACATTGCTGGCTTCTCCAAGGCGGCGGCTGCGGCGGCCGCCAGAACCCGCGGATCTCGGCGCTGCTTGTCGACGGCGATTCCTGGTCCTTGCATCGTTCACAAGCGTGGTGCCGATATTCTTCACGATCCATGGTTCAATAAGGTTGTCTACTCTCTTCACGATCCATGGTTCAATAAGGTTGCTCTGATTTTAGGGTTGTTTGATTAACTCATAATGCTGATGCTTGAAACTTTAGGGAAGTGAGTTATTCACACTAAGAAATTTTGTCAGCTCGGCGACGAGACTGATTATGCTCTCCCTGATGCTTTTGGATTAGATTTTAAAGGTGTTTGCTTCTTCTGAAATTGATGTCTGTGTTGCAGGACACAGGTTTTCCTTTGACTGAGAGGGATAGATTGGGGCTACGAGGCTTGCTTCCTCCTCGTGTTATCTCCTTTGAACAGCAATATGACCGTTTCAGTAAGTCATACAGACCTTTGGATCCATTTGCATAAATGTTATGTTTTTCAGAGATGTTGATTATGGTTTCTGAGACTTTGGTGTAAATATAAATTTGGCAGTTGAGTCCTTTCGGTCCCTTGAGAGGAATACAAAAGGGCAGCCAGAAAACGTTGTTTCATTAGCCAAATGGAGGATTCTGAATAGATTGCATGACCGTAACGAGACTTTGTACTACCGAGTGAGTTTGGCGCATAGCTAGCGATCATGTTTTCTTGTCTGTTTACTGCCCGACGTGACACACATAACTCTTGTTCTCTTCAGGTCCTTATTGATAACATCAAAGATTTTGCCCCAATCATATACACACCCACTGTTGGACTGGTTTGTCAGAACTATTCGGGTTTGTATAGAAGACCTCGAGGAATGTACTTCAGTGCGAAAGACAAAGGAGAGATGATGTCTATGATATATAATTGGCCAGCTCAGAAGGTAGATATGATTGTGATCACAGATGGTAGCCGTATTCTTGGCTTAGGAGACCTTGGAGTCCAGGGTATTGGGATTCCTATTGGAAAGCTCGACATGTACGTTGCTGCAGCAGGAATCAATCCACAGAGAGTATGTCCATCTCAAACATGACCTTTTTGTGTCTTTTTTACGGTACAAAAACACGTTTTTCATCTCCTTATTCGAAATTATCCTCTTGTTCTTCTGCAGGTTTTGCCAATTATGTTGGATGTGGGCACGAATAATGAAAAGCTCCTACAGAATCCTCTCTGTAAGCGACTTTGATTAGTCGATATGATGTAATTTTACCAATCTGTTTCCCTTAATACCTCATCCATGTATCTTCTTTATTTCGTAGATTTAGGACTCAGGCAACCTAGGTTGGAAGGAGAGGAGTACCTTGAGATCATTGATGAATTTATGGAAGCTGTATACACGCGTTGGCCTAAGGCTGTCGTACAGGTATATCTCTTTGCTTCTACTTTGGATTTACCTTTTGGTGGTAATGATGACTAAATGTTTTTTCCATCATAATAGTTCGAAGATTTCCAAGCCAAATGGGCTTTTGGAACTTTGGAAAGATATCGGAAGAAGTTTTGCATGTTCAATGATGATGTCCAGGTATGTTCTTATCATTGAAATTCAGCTACTTTTACTTTATAGTTACTCTATGTATTCTTTTTTTGTTTTTTCAATAACAAGGTTGGCTTATGATTTCTCAGGGAACTGCTGGTGTTGCTCTCGCTGGACTATTGGGAACTGTAAGAGCCCAAGGTCGGCCTTTATCCGACTTTGTGAACCAAAAGATTGTTGTGGTGGGAGCTGGAAGGTACTTGGATATTCTCTTACCAACCTTATACTAATGTATTTATATTTCTGGAGTAACTTACTTCTCATCTTCGTATTGTATATTTTATTCTATTACTTTCAGTGCGGGGCTCGGTGTAACTAAGACGGCAGTCCAAGCAGTTGCAAGAATGGCAGGCATCAGCGAGATTGCTGCAACGAAAAACTTTTACCTGATCGACAAAGATGTAAGTTACTATTCTCCCCTCTTTGACTTCATCTGAATGGGTTTTTCATGCTTGATAATAAATAACTATGCTTGCGTGTTCCACTTCCACGGGTCAGTTGACTTTGAACTGTCATCTGAATAGATGTTGTTTTAAGCTATCCACTAAGAGCTGACCTAGAAGAAGTCACATTTTTTTTAAAAAGCTATCCATTTGCAAATCTTTTTTGGACTGGTCAGCATATTGTTTTCTTCATCTGCTTGCCCCATAAGATCTTGAATATAATTAATCTAATGAAAACGACTGATTGGGCTTAAGGGTCTTGTCACCACGGAGAGGACAAAACTTGACCCAGGAGCTGTACCTTTTGCCAAAAATCCAGCTGAGATACGTGAGGGAGCAAGTATTGTGGAAGTGGTAAGACCTAAGCCTTTCTGTGTTCTTGACTTGCCCAGTTATAGGACTTACTGTTACTGTCCATGAAAGTTAGACATAATAATATTGTCTTGTACAAATTTGTTCAGGTGAAGACTGTTAGGCCACATGTTCTTCTTGGTTTATCTGGAGTTGGTGGCATCTTCAACGAAGAAGTAGGTGACTTTTTCTATAAACATATAGCTTCATGATATATTAATTAACAGTTTTACTTATCTGGTTTACTGGTTTCAATTATGCAAAGGTTCTCAAGGCAATGCGAGAATCTGATTCATGCAAGCCGGCCATTTTTGCTATGTCGAATCCCACCTTGAATGGTTTGTGTCTAAATTTTTCTAAAATAGTAGAAAATTTCGTTGGAAGATCTGCTCTGAACATTTTTTTCTGTGTGACAGCTGAGTGCACTGCTGCTGATGCATTTAAGCACGCTGGAGAAAACATAGTATTTGGAAGCGGAAGCCCATTTGAAAACGTTGAACTTGGTATGTTATAATGGAATTCATATATGGCTTCTGTGACTAATTGCTAAGAAACTAAAAATATTTCATTTTGTTTTCCCACTTGTAGAGAATGGTAAAGTTGGGCATGTGAATCAGGCCAACAACATGTACCTATTCCCCGGGTTCGTTTTCTTTCTTGAAAAATGCTTCACTGATTTACATTCAAATCCATAAATTGAGCATAATCAACTGTGCTTTCTATCGTTTCCAGGATCGGGTTAGGGACTCTTCTCTCTGGTGCACGTGTTGTAACTGATGGAATGCTGCTAGCAGCTTCTGAATGGTAAGATTGCGTTTGGTTCTCTTCTATTTCCAAAACCATAAAAAACAAAATATTGGAGAGGCTGACGAATTATATATGTTCAAAAAATGCACACAGCCTTGCGTCCTACATGACTGACGAAGAAGTGCAAAAAGGCATCCTTTACCCTTCAATCAACAAGTATTTCCTCTGATTCCCTCACATCCGTTGATTTCATTTATTCACCTAAAACGGTTGTATATTAAGTGATTGGTTTTTGAACAAAAATGCAGCATCCGACATATAACAGCTGAGGTCGGGGCCGCTGTTCTACGAGCTGCGGTTTCTGAAGACATTGTAGAAGGACATGGCGATGTTGGTCCCAAAGATCTCAGTCACATGTCTAAGGTATCATATAACTGAGATTTGTATTAAACATGACTAAGGTACTAGAAAGTTGAATCTAATTGCATCTTTGTTTTTTGATTCATTCAACAGGAGGAGACAGTGAATTACATCACACGCAACATGTGGTTCCCAATCTACAGCCCTCTCGTGCACGAGAAATAGACAGTGACTGACTCTTTGAACTCTTTCGGCTTTCATAGAAAGCCTAAAGACAAAAACAAAAAAACAACATATCTTCCTTCTTTTATTTGCGATCTGCAACATTCTTTCTTCTTTTCTCAATATTTGCTACATATAAAATCTATGATATGATTAAAAACAATGTCAACACAGTTCTTAAGAACAAGAACAGGGGTTGTTCTAGGTCGTCTGTCCCTTGTCGTTTTTGACATTTTTCCCCTAATATCCTACGATTATGTCTGAAAAGATTGTAACTTTATATACTTTTTTGGCGATGATGACGATATCTTCAAATTCTTCATCTCCCCATTGCTTTTTAATCTGCTTTATTGGATGGAGTGTTTTTGATTTACTAGCTAAATACAACAATTTGGTGAATGAAGAAAAGAGTAAAAATTTAATGAATTAGGAAAACATCGGCGAGTGGGAAAGCCATGGAGAAGACGAAAGTGGTGATTGTGGGAGGTACAGGCTACTTGGGTCAGTATATCCTTCAAGCTTTCGCCGGCAACAATGGCGGAGACCGATACGACGTCGCTTTCACTCACCACTCTTCTCCCCTTCCCCGCATCTTGCTCGACGCTTTCCCTCACTTCCCCGCGTTTCCTCTCGATCTCAAATCCGGTCTAGGCTTCGATTCCATTACCCAGGACTTTGGTCAGGTTTCAATTTATCGCCGACTCTGTAATCTCTAGCTCGATTCGTATGACATGTTCGTAGAATCGGATCAATGATCGGAATTTCTTGTTAACAAAAGAACCAGTGTATTAGAGACTCTCTGGTCTTAAAAAAAATCGACATTTGTTTGTTCCATTAAATTACAGCCTGATGTGGTCGTGAATTGTGCTGCTCTGTCTGTTCCTCGAGTTTGCGAGCAAGATCCAGATTCCGCCATGTCCATCAACGTGCCTTCTTCTCTTGTAAACTGGTTATCAACTTTTGAGAGAAACAAAACCTTGTTGATTCATCTCTCTACTGATCAAGGTAAGTCGATATCATAGACTTCAAGGAGGTGACACCCCTTCCTTCTGTGTTTTGACTAGGTTTCTTGTCTCAATATCAGTTTATCAAGGTGTCAAGTCTTACTACAAGGAAGAAGACGAGACTGTTGCGGTCAACGTTTACGGGAAATCCAAAGTCGCAGCAGAGCGTCTCATCAAAGATAAATGTCAAAACTTTGCGATATTGAGAAGTAGTATCATCTTTGGTCCTCAAACTGTATCACCACTCCCCAAGAATCTCCCAATTCAGGTGCCTCTCAACACAACTTCGCAAAACATATCTATATTCATTTCAGATCATTGTATTGGCCATGAAAATTGGTTTTTCTTTGATGTCTTAGTGGATGGATAGCATCTTGAAGAAGGGTGAAAAGGTAGAGTTCTTCTACGACGAGTTTCGTTGTCCCATTTACGTAAAGGATCTCGTGAGTATCACTTTGAGATTGGTAGAAAGATGGGTCGTCTCAGGTACCTTGAGTCTTCTCTCTGCATCATTGAACTGAAAATGTAGAATCATAACATGGTTGTTGCTTTCAGATGAAAAACAGATGCGAATAGTTTTGAATGCTGGTGGACCAGACAGGCTATCTCGTGTTCAAATGGCGGAAGTGGTTGCAGAAGTCAGAGGACACGATCATTCCTTAATCAAACATGTGTCTGCATCATCGGTATGTGCAAGGCTTTGCTCACCAATCGCTTGTTGAATGTTGCGGATGAGTCACTTACTGTTTCTGACCAGGTTGATCGAGGAGTGGTTTCGCCATCGGATATATCTATGGACATAACTAAACTGATTCAGACTCTTGAGATCTCTCCAACATCTTTCAAAGACGGTGTTAGCTTAACGCTCGAGTCTGAATCTCTTTACCATATTCTCCCATGATATTATTCTTGTTCCCTTTTTAATTTTATTTTATGAATGAAATTTCGGTTTTGGAAAAGCATTGGAAAACCGAATCTAAGATAGAAACGGTTAAGTATCATTATCGATATTTTTTTCCATCAACAAATCACACTCATTATACCGGATTTAAACCTGTATAAATGGTAATACTGAAAAAATAATGATCTAAGGAAATGATGTTGAGCTTGATTTGAACTTTAATCTTAGGTGAAGATCCGCGTGTATACGCGAATTTATATATTATTTAGATTTTTTAAGTTGTATTTAATATAATAAGATAAATTTCGTATGTATTTAGTGTCTAGGAGTTAAGTTTTGATTGGTAAGAAATATACTTCAACAAATATAACCTAATTCAAGATAAATGATTGGTTATTCGATAAGTGACAAAATGTTTTTACTATTTAAAGTAATGTGATTTGTTATAACTTTTTCTTCTATTTCCTGAGTATTTCTGTTTATTCAATCTTTTTGTAAACTTCCCATAATAGTTTTTTTACTCTCTTTTACTTAAAATTTTTAAATGTAAAGCACTTTTCGTTTACTCTAAATTCAAAGCTGATGTGTCATAAGGAGAAAAGCTGATATGTCAAGTTTGTGAGACACAACCCACTCTTTATATAATAGACTAGGTGAAGATCCGTGTGTACACACGGGCTTGTATACTTTATAAATTTATAATTTGTGTTGTATAATATGATAGATTCTTTATTTAAACTTTAGAAATATTTTACTTGTATGAAAAACATCTTAACAAATACAACCTAATTCGATATAGAAGCGGTCATTTGATAAAATGTATGAATTGATATATGTTGAAATTATTTGTTCGTATTTATTTTTATTATAATGTAAACACATTTTTAAATTTTCTGTAGTTTTTACTCTAAATTTCCAGTTAGTTTCGGTTGTAATCAACCACATATTAAAAACTAAAAAGAAAATAATTAATGTTTTCTAGCTTAAATTATATGATCACTTAATTGGAAGTTTTATATTATGCACATGAAATTTAGATTATCAGCTTAAATTGCAGGAAATTTTCTAACTTTTTTTATATGTTAACAGTTAGCACACACAAAAAAAAACACTTACATCCATGCAAGCTACACATCGCCATATCACATTTAAGAAAGTACAAATACTTTTCTATAACTTCTAAAATTATGTAAGGATCTAGTCTTACCAATCGTTATTTCATAAACTTTGCACCCCAAGAATCGAGCGTAGAAAGAATTATTGCCTTATGGGAACTACATTCTATTTCTGTCTAAATATGAAATTGTTTAATAACACACTGCCTAAATTATGTTATAACAAAATACTTAGATAATGAATACAAAATGTGATCATACTGTGATCCTAACTCCTAAGTCTTGTCTCCCATGAGAGCGGCTGAACAACCTCCAATTAACACTCATGAGGAATAGAAGATGATAAAACAATTACAAATTATGCAGACTAGAAAATCATCCGATCATAACAAATTTATCGATCATTTATGGTCATCACACTTTTAAAAAATTACTCTTTTGATATTCTTTCCCGAGAAAACTTTTTGTCCCCTCACTCCTTCTAAATCATTTTCTGCTTTCTCTATAACCTCCTCTTTGTTGTCTTTATTACGTCTCCCCCATAACATTTGTAAGTTGTAACCCAAACAATAAGAAAAGAATGAGGTTAAACCATACCATTAATTCATCATAATGGCAACAAACATGCATAGTGATATCAACATTCGTCTTTACCATTTTTTATATTTTCTCATTTTAGAGAGAACACAATTCGTTAAAATGTTTCAGGTTATTTAGATACGCAAACCCACTTTCTACCAATAATATCAAGTCATTTAATCCTTCATAAACTCCTAACTGAATTTTCGTGCGACCTTCCTTTTCCAATATTTTTTTTTTCCTCAAATCTTCTCCATATCTGAAGATAGCAATCACCACCTCTTGAAGTCATAGCCATGACCATAGTTACTTCCTTCACTTACAAACTCGTATAATCCCAGTAAAATTTCAAAACTCGGTTTTAAGCTTTGCCATTAAAATCCGATTGAAATTCTGACTGCTGAATCAAAGAGGAATTTGGCAGTAGTAAAGACATGAAATGAGTTCTAAGACTCATAAATGTCTTAATTATTATTTAAAATTTAAAATATCAGATTTTTTTTGTTAAAGTTGATGTGTCACATAAAGAAATGCTGATGTGTCAAGATTGTGAGACGCAACTCAACTTTTATATAATAGATTACTTCCGTTGAATCCCGGTTCCATTTTTAACTCAGAGCAGTAGAGCACGTTCATCAACAATTACAAGTGTGAACCAGCCGTCTTTGACTTGGAGAGTGAACCTTGATGAGGTTTTTATATGAGAAGAAACGGCATACAGTTTGAGTACACAATGGGCTTGTCAATGACTGGGCCTAGCCCATTAGTCACAACAAACTCGCCGTTTTTTACTCGATTATATTTAAACGCTAATAAAAAACGGCACGTAGTCTGAACACGCAAGTTTGTTGATTCGTCGTTCTCTCGACATGGCGGAAGAAAAAAAAGGAATGTTTGGACAATCCTGCGACCAGCCTGTAACAATGACCTGAAAAACCAACGAAGAGAAGAATACATTGACAGAATATTCTCCTTGTCACGCAAACCCTCTATACTATTTATTTCCTTTAAAGTTTCTTTTGCCCTTTCTCGACGCCTTTTACATCTGCCAACGCAAGGATTCTCTTCTGGATTGGAATCCTCAAGGTATGTCTTCATGTTCGATTCAATTTGGAGACTCTTCTGATAATTTGTTTAGTAATTTTGGATTTGCTCTTTCTTTTTTTCCTCCTGATTTTATATGTGTTCCTTTAAGCGCTTGGACCGCGTAGGCTCTGTGAAAGATTGTTTGAATTCGCAGAAAATAAGATTTGTAGTAGGGAAAATTCTCCTTATTGGGAAGATACGATAATCAGATCAACTAAATGATAAGAATTTTTTGGTTTTAGGTTTTTATTTTGCTAAGTATAATTACTAAACTTGATGCTAGAAGCTGGTTCTCTATCAACACAAAAGTGAAACCTGTTTCATCTGCGGTTAATAGGTTTATTGGAGGTTGACTATGTTTTTAATTTCTAAATTCCATAACGGGCGTAAAGTGATTTTGGTGGAGTTGGATGAGAATATGCAATTCTAAAGTTTATATTTTTGAAACTATTTACAGATCTTTCAGCAGTACAGATTAAGTTTGAGATGATATGACGAAACAAGAGCAGCACATTGCGATATTTACCACAGCTAGTCTTCCATGGCTGACGGGAACTGCTGTGAATCCTCTGTTCCGTGCTGCCTACCTTGCAAAAGACGGGGAAAGGCGGGTCACTTTGGTGATTCCTTGGCTGACTGTGAAACACCAACTGCTTGTCTACCCTAACAGCATCACCTTTAGTTCCCCATCAGACCATGAAGCTTATGTTCGTCGGTGGCTTGAAGAAAGAGTCTCGTTTCCTTTAGGCTTTGAGATACGTTTCTATCCAGGAAAGGTACGACTCAGTTTGCCTCTTTGTCAAGAATCTTTTTTGGGTATCAAAAGCATACTAGTTCGTGTCAAAGACTCCTTCTTTTCACTTTCTCCTGTTATATAGAGTTGAGTTCTTCCCATTTCTATTCCGCTTTCCTTTACCATCACATCATTCTTGATCTTAGTTCTCAGCGGATACGTGTTATCTTTCTTTATTACACCTATATGCGTACTTTCTGTTAATATGCTATGAGATCGTTCCAGCCACATGTATTTGTAGATTGGTGGTTTACTTGTAGATAGAGATCTTTTATGGGTTTCCATATTCTGCCATGAATTTTAATGAATTATTCTCTCTCTTTTTGAATGTGAATTATTTGGCATCCGTAAATATTAAATCCATGTTAAATGCTGCATTTACCTCACTTTAGCTTAGATTACATCTGGTTTTGTGTTGAGCTTTCTTCAGATTCTTCATATGACGTAACTTTTGCGTAGCACTCTTTAACTGTGCCATACCTTCCTCAGCAATTCAAACTATCTTATTGCAGTTTGCCACAGACAAAAGAAGTATTCTTCCTGTCGGGGATATATCGGATACCATCCCTGATGAAGAGGCAGACATAGCTGTCCTTGAGGAGCCTGAGCATCTCACATGGTTTCATCATGGCAAAAAATGGAAAACTAAGTTCAACTACGTCATAGGGATCGTACACACAAACTACTTGGAATACGTAAAGAGAGAGAAACAGGGCCGTCTTAAAGCTTTTCTCCTCAAGTATTTAAACAGTTGGGTTGTTGGCATTTACTGCCACAAGGTAAACTTCTTTACAGACACTAGTAGAAATGATGGAGTGATTGCTCAATTATGTGAATATATTGGCATTTTAGTATGATTATCCAATGACGGGATGTAATTTGGGATCAAGGAAGTTTTGGATGATGACCGGCCATTTTGATGTGATGTTACTCATGCAGGTAATCAGATTATCTGCTGCGACTCAAGAATACCCCAAATCTATAGTCTGCAACGTTCATGGTGTCAACCCTAAATTTCTCGAGATTGGTTTGACAAAACTAGAACAGCAGAAGCTCCAGGAGCAGGCCTTCACTAAAGGCGCATACTACATTGGTAAGATGGTCTGGAGCAAAGGGTACAAGGAGCTTCTAAAACTACTTAAGAAACACCAAACTGAACTCAGTGAGTTAGAGGTTGATTTATACGGTAGCGGAGAGGACTCTGAAGAGATCAAAGAAGCAGCCCAAAAACTCGACCTCAAGGTTAATGTTTACCCAGGACGTGATCACGCCGACTCAGTATTTCATAAGTAAGTCTCGAGTTTAGGAACCTCAACTATGCATCATTCTTGTAGCATAGATCAATTTCCTTGCAGTGTATTGGATTCTATTTATAAAACTGAAAATAAATTTGTGTCTTGCATTTCAGCTATAAAGTTTTCCTCAACCCCAGCACGACAGATGTGGTCTGCACAACTACTGCAGAGGCCTTGGCGATGGGAAAAAATGTAGTATGCGCAGATCACACATCAAACGAGTTCTTTAAACAGTTCCCAAACTGCAGAGTGTATGAGGATGGGAATGGTTTTGTTAGAGCCACACTCAAGGCTCTTGGGGAACAACCATCACAATTAACAGAGCAACAGAGACATGAACTATCGTGGGAAGCTGCTACGCAACGGTTTATAAAAGTCTCGGATCTTAACCGGTTATCAAGAGCTGATTCCAACTTATCAAAGAGAAGTGCGTTTGCGTCGTCTTCTATAAGTGTGGGGAAAAACTTGGAGGACATGTCTGCGTATATTCATTTCCTGGCGTCTGGATATGAAGCTTCAAGAACAGCTTTTGGTGCGATCCCTGGAAGCTTGCAGCCCGATGAAGAGTTGTGCAGAGATCTTGGCTTGTCTCTCAAGACTCCTTCCCGGAATAGTCTTAAGGAAGATTGATCCGTTGACTGTTGAATCATTATTTGTGTGTGTTTTTTTTTTCTTTATTTTTTCTCTGTATAATTAATGTAATCATTCTATAGCTTGTTGTAATATTGATGGTTTACATTATTAACATGAAGATTAGGTTACATGTATCGGTTTGCTCTGATTTTGTTTTCATCTACAAGACTACAACTCACATTAGCACACAGTCTTTGGTTAAAACTAACATTTAAATTTTCACCAAGGTTTAGACTTGTGGCTTTTTCATAATTTGGATGCAAAACTGAGTTTAGATGACAGTTAGCAACCAAAAAGAAAATGTTAAGGGTTAAAAATAAGGAGCCCTAAATCAGAAGAAGTGAAGTGATAGATTGAAACGACGCGTATTCAAATTTGTAACGGCTGGTTCCTTTTCAATGGTTTTCTTGATCGCTGGTACTCTTGAGTAGGAAAAGAAGCCCTAATGTTTTTGTTTTCTAATTTAATTAATACTCAATTATCTCTGTAAATGGAAGTACGAAGTTTTCTTCCTTGTTTGGGTAGAGGAAATCAAAAGATGAAATGCGCCAAATTGTAAAACCACAAAAAGAAACTTCGAAACGACGCAAACGATAGCTTTCGATGGTCAAGGCTATACGACCACGTGAAATTTCCTTCCATTCTGATAGCCAAAAACATTTTTGTTAAATAGTATATTCTTGTCCTTCCAAAAACCACCAAATGACGATAATCTCTAATTAAGACGATAGTTTTTCTTCTCAGGTTCGGTCGAGAGCATTTGAAGATATGGCTACGACAACAAGGACAAGATCCAGCAGAAAGAAAGAGACTCAGAAAGCAATCCTATTGCCTGACTTGTGGTTCACTCATCATAGTCAAACCGGTCCAACTGTTAAGTCGGTATATTATATCTTCATAGTTACCTCTACTGAATTGACGACTTAATGTATATTGTGTTATATAATGCATTTACTTATCTCTTCATTAATTGCATGTAATTGAGTGTTTGATTTTGTGCCTTGATGACGCTGGAAATTTGAGTATTGTTATTTAGATTGTGTTGATTATTTAATTTGTAGCCTTTTGAGATTCAGTTTGTTACACAACAAATAACGTTCACGGATTATGCGATATGATGATGTCTACTCAACTAGGACGTCGACAAATACTGTTAGATTCATGAAATATGTATTGTAGATTTTTTTTTTTTGGTTATTTAGTGTGACAGATTCTGATTCTTGACTCATGATGTTTTTATCTTGGGCCATGTATGATGGCATGAGATCTGATGTTGAATCATATGCATATATAACCTGAAATACAATGATATATAGTATTTCTTGACTTTTGTGGTGCCAATTCCCACACAATATTTCAACCGATGAATTGTAAGAATGCTGAATCGTGTGAGTAACTCGTGTGCTTTTAGTGATACATATACTAATTGATGTCTACTGAGTTATGTGAATGTGATTCTCTTCTTAAGAAAAGACAGTGCAGTACAAGGGTTTTTATTGTTGTCTTGATTGAGATGTTAGTACAGTTCATTAAAAAGCTACCAACAAATTCATGTACAAGGCAACACAGAGGGATGATGTATATATACTTTTGTGCCTGGTAGTAATAGCTTCTAGCCTTCTACTATATTTGTTCTAAGTTAAGTTGATTAATCTTGTTGACTACTAGTAGATTCTAGTCGTTCAGAATTCTTTTCGAATTATTTATTGAAACTGTCTCATATTATTTTTTCTTGACTTCAGGGTGTGTAAACCTATATCATTTCTTACCTTATGAGTTTTTGTTTCTTGTTACAGTACTATTTCAATTTAAGAACAAGACAGACGTTTTATTCCAAAGCAGCATTATACACACACTTTCGTAAAATGGTGGCTCAGGTATAAAACAATCTCGTGAAAAATAAAATATATTCTTCTTTATTTATCGATCAAAGATGCGCATCGATATATTATATTATAATTTATTCAGTATTTCACTAAATTTGTACTTCACATGATGTTTGTTCGAAGAGAGAAAGAGTTGAGGAAGAAAAAGATCACATGTGTTCAAGGTGCAAGGAGATTGGACACAACTGCTTGTCATGTCCTTATCCAATCATCCATAAGATTGTAAGTAATCACAATAATATTTCTTCCATGAATCTTCGTTCTATTTAATTATACATTTCACATATGAATAGATAGATAAAATAGAGATATATTGTTTTTTTGTTGGGGTCAGAATACAAAGATCATAGTTTATGAATTTGCAGAACCCTTTTGCGGGAAGGAGGATTCGTAGGTGCAGTCGATGTCACTGGCTCGGCCATAACGTTCGTACCTGTCCTCGAGCCGTCTAATATATTCAACAACACCTTGGAAGAACTATCTTATCTGTCTGTCTTCTTTATACTTTTTTAATATTATTAAAAAAATTAATATTCTAAAGAAAAATCATTTCAGAATAATTTTTCGGAAAACAATCAATTTATTGAGAAGTTTATAAAATTTCATGTTGATGCATGTAATAAAACTCAATAAAAATAGTCAAATTAAGACTGTTTTAAAAATCAACGAATGAAATATTTTTTAAAGTTTTTTCATCTTATCAATTGTTTTTTTTTTCTTAATTATTAGAAACTATTTTGGATTTTTCAAATTTTCAAATAATTAATAGAATCTTTTTCCTTCGACAAAAAGTGGTTTTATATATTAAAAAGAGTTAACATAATCCAAGTACAAATTGGGTGCGAAAACAAAAAAATCCCAGTACAAATAATTGGATAGGCCACTTTGGTGGAAACATTTGAATAAAAAACAATTAATAGAATCTTACATAAATAAACTGCAAAAGAAAATCAGAGAAAAAATTACAGCAATTTTTTTTATTTTTAAAAACGTGTTAATTTGGGAGAGTAAATCTCTGGATTGATTTTGTTATACTATAATCTCGTGTGATATGTACTACAAAGATTTGGGTAGCCGTTACTTGTCAACGACAACAGAAATCTCACGTCAAAGATTTTGCTGGGAATAGTTTCTTTTTCTTTTCTCCTCTTGAATCTCCATTTGCGTCATAGTTTAAGAGAAATATGTAGTTATATTTGTGATAGTATACCGTAACTAATTAAGGTTTTAGGGTTTTGTCTATTTTCTTTTTGAGGAATAATGACAGAATCTAACGATTTGAATCGATTCAAGTATGATATCCACACCCAAGGGTTAGTAACTTTTGTAATTGACTCTGTTTGAGGGTTTGTTCTTCTTCAAATTCCTTTTCTTGACATTAGTTCCTGCATTTTGTGATTTTTGTGACAAAATGTGATGGTATAATTAATTTTGGGAGTTTAAGAAAACTGTGATCTAATTGGATGTTGTTATGTGGTTAGTGATGAGGCATAGATTGTGTGTTGTTATAGAGTAATGGAGATTATAAGAAAATTGTGATCAATTTAGGTGTGCCATATATGATTAGTAATGTGGGCTCGATCGTGTGATGGTAAGATTGGTGGAGGTTAATTATGATGTATAATTATGGGGGAATCGTCTAAGAACAATATATGTTTAGTTAACGATGTTGAGCTCGATGATTATTGATGTGATGTTCGCTTAAAGGTGCAGAAGCAGAAGAGTGAATGGTCCTACGAGAAGATCAAGTAAAGGAGGATGGACTCCTGAGCAGGTAAGCTCAATTGTGTTCTGGTCTGTCTTTTTCAAGGAACTGATCAGTTTCATATGTGAAAGTCTCTCTGAGAGATTGAAATCTTCTTTCCTTCATTTTTGTTGTTGTTCTAATGTCTGCAGGACAAACTCTTGATAAATGCTGTGCAGAGGTATGAGGGGAAGAATTGGAAAAAAATTGGTAAATGATATTTTGATTATTGGCTTTTTGTCGTCTTCAAATTATAATGTTGCAAAAAAGAAGCTCTTGTATGTTACCAATAGATTGTTTCTCTTGTCTTTTGGTAATTAGCTGAATGTGTTCCTGGGAGCTGGGAAGAAGACAAGAGGAACGATATCAAGTGTCAACACCGTTGGCGAAAGGTTCTTGATCCAAACCTCAACAAAGGACCTTGGACAAAAGAGGTAACTTTTCAGTGAGATGATGATCCCCTTCCTTATTGATCTTTGCTAGCTATTTCATTGATTATATCATATTCTCTTGTTATATATTTTAGGAAGATGACCTATTAAGTGAATTGGTCAAGGTCTTTCTGGAGAATGATAAGCCTAAATGGTCCAAAATTTCAAAGCAACTCCCTGGTCGCATTGGCAAACAATGCCGTGAAAGGTTTTTTTTTTTTTTTTTGTGGACATTTTGTTTATCAATTGGCATCGGTCCTCATAATTAAGGTGCTTGTTTACGTTTAGGTGGCATAATCATTTAAATCCGAATATAATAAAAACAATGTGGACTAGAGAAGAGGAATTGATTCTCGTCCAAGCACAAAGGGGACAAGGCAATAAGTGGGCCGAGATTGCCAAGCTCTTGCCTGGAAGGTTTGTCCTTGAAAACTGAGATTAATTTTTTTGTTCAAATTAATGAGTTGATCTTGATATTTTGTTTGCTTTTATTAGCTTCTCTAATATCTTTTTGTTATGGAAACTCACAGGACAGAAAATAGTATAAATAACCACTGGAATTGCTCACTTAAGAAGAGACTGGAACAGTTTCCTAACAGCACTTTCTCTGGTTCAGGGCCTTGTGGTTCTGATGAGTCTAACTTTATCAATCAGAGCAACATTGTAACATCCCGACTTTTGGTTAACCAAATATCGGATGTTACCAGTTCCTAATTTTGGTTTTATTAAATTAAACCATCTCTATTCCCTTTTCTTTTTATTTCCTTTTTAATTAGGCTTTTCCTAATTTCTTTCTAAGAGCCCATTAAGCCTAGCCCATCTATTTAACCTCTATATAAATACCTAATTAAATCCCTAAAACTCTCATTAAGCTCCTAATCAAACCTAGCCACCTTTTTCCTCTCTCTTTCTCTCCTCTCTGCGCCGAGCTGCTTCCTTTCTCTCTCTCTGCGTTTTTTTCTTCTTCTTTCTCTCTCTTGGCCACGTCTCTCTCTCCTTGCCGCGGCCGCCGCCATCCTCCAAGCCTCTCTCGCCGTCGAAGCTTCCTTGCCTCACTGTGATGTCTGCGCCGCCTCCTTCTCCTTTGGGTGAGATGGGAGCTGATTCTGATGGATCTCCTCTTAGATCTCCTTCTCCTCTGCCTCCTCCTCCAGTTTCTCAGCCTTCTAAGCCAAGGTGAGGGCTCTGTGGCTTCATCCTCTCTTACATATGCATGGTTGTCTTTTAAGTGACCTTTTCTTAGATCAGGCTTAGATCTGCTTGTTAGGGTTGTTAGAATTGTTTAGGGCCTGGATCTATGTTGCCTGTTTGTTGATGATTGCTGGTTGCTGGTGGAATGAGATAATTAACCTGAACTTGGATCTAAACTTATTGGACTTTAAAATATTGATTGTGTGATGTTAACCTGATTATTGTTCCTTTTGTTACAATTGGTATCACCGAACGTGCATCTTAATAATGGAAGGACCTTTAAGAAATGGATGATTCTTTGAAATAGATGATTGTGCATATAGATCTCTGATAGGACCCCTGGCTCCCAGAGGCGGGAGTCAGTGTTGTTTGTTGGCTATCACTGTCGTGTGAGGCACGGCTAGAGCCATCGCTGGAGTGGATTAGCGATCCACTGTTTATTGAGCCGTCCAAAGGGACCGCTGGGTACAGCTTTCTGGTGAGACCGCTATGAGCAGCCGTCTGAGTGACCGTTAGTGTCATAGCCTGTCTCGGTGATTGCTGTGGATCAGTCTGTGTGACTGGCAGAGTGATCCTGACTAATGGGTATGGTAATAGGCCAGCCATTGGATGGGATTATTCTGGTTGCCTTTCCGGGTGAGGCATGGGGGCCCATGTGGCAGCCCACTACTGCCGCGTCCAGGGACCCGTTTCTTGTGTAGTTGTTTGTAGGGTTACCCTTGAATGCTGTGTGATTGATTGCTAGGAATGAGTTGTCTATATATATAAGTAAATATATCTATATATGTGTTGCTTGAGCTTGCTTTAAGATTAGATCTCTTAAAACCAATTTATGCTAGTTTGATGATGTTGTGGGCCTCCTTAAGGTCCACCCTCACTGAGTAATCCCAATTACTCACCCCTCCTCTCCCCTTGTCTTTCAGGTTTAATAGAGAGATCAGCCTAAGTCTGTGTTGTTGATTGTTACCTGGGCGTTTTCCTGGCGATCCTGTGTGCTCACCAGATCGGACATCCTACCGGATGCGGTTCGATGGCCGACCTAACATACCCGGTTCCCCGCTCTCTTAGGAGCCTGAGATAAGGATGTTACAAACATGGTACCCGAAAGTTACAAACCATTTCAAATCATCAAGGAAGCTGCCAAGAGTCCTCAAAGGGATTTAACTTCATCCACAAGCTTTCCTAGAGGGGAAGAAGAAACAATCTCATCATCAGTAGAATCTGCAGATTGGTCTAGACGCAGTAGAAAGGCTGAAATCTCTCATTGGACGACGCCTTCTAAAAGTCATCATCACATGAACTTATGGGCAATTCCACAGTTAGCAACTCCCTCTCCTGTGAAAATCTCGGAGAATACTCCAGATATAACTCCACAGAGCAGCAAAGAGAGTGTGTACGCACAAGAAGTGAAGGAGATTAGAGAGAGGTTTCGAATGGCTGCGAGTACTTTCAAGAACACACCTTCGATTATCTCCAGAAGAAGCTCACCAGCCTCGGGTTTGAAACGGAGCAGACAGGAAGACGACTCACCGTTTCAAACAGATGCTCCAAGTCACCTATCAAGTGAGGAAGAAGAACATTCAGTTTCAAATTCTCCTTCTTCCAACTCCATAATTGTGAAATCCTCTGGTTCAAAACCCTTGGAGAGGCGCTTGGAGTTTGATTTCCTTTGACATGAAGGTGCATTAACTTCGATTTCTTTTTTAGTTTCCATACTCAAGAACTCAGCAAACCATGCACGGTTTCGCATTATTTTCTTGATGTACAAGTATACATAGGTTTTTTATGTTTGGTCTCGCTTTTTGTCTGTTTTATCCACCATATTTTAGGCTTTGATCGGTTAGTAGTATACATTAGTTTGGGTTCATACTACTACAATAAATAAATAAAAAATGAAAACATAGCTAAAGAAAATTGAAAACCTGTTGCAAATATATATCGTTATGATTCTATCTGTTACAAGAAAAATAATAAAAAGTTAATAGTTTTTTTAATAAATAATAATAATAGCATAAAAATTAGGAGGAAATATCCAAGCTTCTTCTCTACTAGGCACGGTAACTTCTCATCACCTTCCTAATTTCCTAATCCTAGCTAACTGAAAAAGTAAAAAAGTAAAAAGACCTTTATAAATAGGGATATACAAGTTCCTTCTAATTAGAAAGAAAGAAAAAAAAAAAAACAATGTCTCGTGAAAGACTTCTCTCCGATTCAGTAGAAAGCAAGAAAGCAATATCTCGTGAAAGCATAAATGCCTCTGCTCCTTCAACGTTAAGCAAAAAGCCTCGTAAACTCGAAATCTCGGCCATATCGGCGGAGGGTCTCGTCGACGGTGGAAAACCGATGAAGAAGAAGGCATTCGTCGACTTCGAAATCGCCGGGAATAGGGCAGTGAGAACGAGTGTGGACGAGGTGGGTGGGGATTATCCGACGTGGAAAGAGAAGCTAGAGACGGAGTTTTGGTCGCCGGAGAAGAAAGAAGAGAGATTCATGTACGTAAGGGTTTATTGCCAAATCTCCGACAACAAGGATAAGCACGTGGGAACGGCACGTGTGCCGGTGAAGGATTTCACGGGAGAATATGCTCCGGAGGGGTTTATGCAGTGTCTGAGTTACAGGTTGTGGGACGATCTTGGAAAAAGAAACGGCATTGTCAATTTCTCGGCGAGGATCTTGCCCGACTCTAATAAAGGCGGTTTGCCTCCGTTTTGGTTAAGGTCGTAGTTAGTTTAGGGGTTTTATAAGTCGATATTTATTAAGTACCCTGCCTATTATTTGGTTTATTAATTATTATCGTTGTTTTTATCTGGTTTTGTGTTATGAAACTGAGCATATCATTTGAACAGAAGGAATATGAAATGTCGTCAATGCATGTTTGTAACAAAAGCTTTTCGACATAAAAACAAAAACAGGAAAAAGGATCAAAACAAAAGCAACAGATAATTTTTTTGGGGATTAGGTTTCGTTATTAAATTTTTGTCTATACAGTAGTAGTCTAATTAATTAATTATATAATCTCAGTCGATCGTTGTAGTCATGTGAGTAAATAAAATTATCAAAATAAAACGACTGGCGGAATATGTTAATGTCCCGAGAGACTTGAATAATGTATTTTCTTCATTATTGCTTCTAAAGAATGAAAGGGATGAAATATAACCAATGAAGAGCTAAATAACATGGGTTTTGTCAGCTATTTGTGTATTTGCGGATCAAAAGGAGGGTACTCCTATATATATATATCATCCCATAATATTCGGAAACAATTCACTTTTCGAGCAATTTGGGAAAACAACAATCTGACATTGCAAAAAAATGAAGATGTAGCTAGGCATGTGCAAAGGTGTTAGTTACACTCTTACTTGACTCTTTTTTTCAGTAACTAGTCTTAGTCTCCATAGTAGTACTTCCACAGAATATATGTTGATAGCAAAAAGATCAAATGTTGTGAATAACCCAGAGAATGAATCGGTTAAGAGTCAAGAATGTACATGCCGAATCAATCTAGAATCACATATTAACAAATCAGGACATATATCGCTTAAGAGGAAACTACTATGGAGAGAGCCTAAACATTCCCACAATGAAGAAAAATAGATACGGGTCAGTTGAGTCTCCGCCTAGTGAAAGCAGGGTGAATGGTTCCGTCAAAGGAATCGATTTTATGGATACCCTCTATACACTCTCGCACTCGCTTCACAACTTTTGGTATATTCGCAGCATTCCTCGACATTCTTTCCTTGAGCTCAACCATTTTCTCTGCAGAGTCTTGCTCTTGACTTCCCATCACAACTTTAGCTACCTCTGTTTCTGCAATTAAAAAGAAAAAAGCCCCTCAGATTGGTTGATAACAGAAGAAGAAGACAAGATCAGTGCAGGCTCTTGTGTTTCTCTACAATACCATCAACACTTGTTATCATTCATTTTAATGGGATCCCACAAATGTTGCAACTGATACATGACCATGTAAAAGTAAAACACACAAACATCATAATGCAGACAAATCCAATTTAGGCAATGTATATATACAGAATCTAATCAGTTAAAGCATGATTATGCAGCACAACCAAAACGCGCCCATATGGTTTGGTTTGCTCATTTTAGATTTTTATCTCAATGAAAGCCAAAAAAACAAAACGATTTTCAACGAAAAGTCCAAAATTTCGATTTGCTTGATAATCCCTCCCTCTACCAAAAGAGATACTCCAGTAGGGTGATATTCCAATTCGATTTCGCATAAATCAAAATGGAAAAAACGAAGGAACCTGCGATAGTGAGGCGTGACGGGGGCAGAGGACCCGACCCGGAACCGATGTTGCGTAAAACGGGTCTATGAGACGAAATCGCAGAATCAAGAGTGTTCCTGAGATGATCCGGTAGGGTTTGCCTGTAGTCGGAGATCTTCTTGGCCATCTGCCTCACATCTGACTCCAATTTCTCCAGATCTCCTTCATCGAGGTCAACCTCAGGTTCCGTCTCGGGATCTAGGGCCATTAAATTTTTGAAAAAATTCCGCCTGAGAATTTCGAAATGGTGAAAGGTTCACTAGACCGACGCCGAGGGTTTTTCAAATTTGAGGAGGAGCGTCTACGAGAAAACCTCTTCGAATGTGAAATGTTGCGAGAAAAAAAAAAAACGTTACGAGCTCAAACGTCCCCTAAAACGGCGTCGTTTGCTATCAGCTTCAGCTCAAAATGAATTTTAAAGCCGTCAATTAATTCCCAATTTTCTATTTTCTCTTTTACGTCTCATTGTCGAGCAAATATCACACAGTTTGCAACATACAAACATATAAGTACAAAATATAAGACCCTTTCTCGACTGGAGTGGGAAAAAAAAAATTTCTGAATCGAAAAAAAGCATTAGAATGTGACCGCGAGGTGTAAATAGATGCAAAAAAAACTCTCTCGCAATGAATCCAATGGTGTGTGCGTGTGTGTGTGTGTGTCACTCAGAGCTTGGCGCCGAAGACGGGCTTAATAGTCTCAGCTTCTTTTAGCAAAGCTTCTTGGGTCAAAGATACCACCAGCTGCACACGAGTTATCAACAAAATACATACATACTCTCTTTATGCTTTAAACAAAGGGAGCGTGAGAAGAAGTAGACTCTAGGTTCTTCATTTCTTCAATAGTTATATGTATTTAATTGGGGTTTTAAAAGGGATGCTGCAACAACGTACCTCTCCCTTTCTGTTGAACATTTCGCCAGTGGCAAAACCGCGACTCTGGGACGCCGTTGGACTCACACTCTGCATACGTGCAATGTTGTTACTTGCAACTTACTATATTTGTCTCGCCTCAAAGTTTTTGTGATTATTAATTCAGATCTTTGACAGTTACACTAAAATGTACTTGTTTACCCTGTAAATGTAAAACACAACCAATGCAATTCCCAAGTGACAGAGATATGAACCAGATGTATAGCAGTTAAACAAGCAAGTTTTTCTGATCTAGTGGTTATGTCACGCCGGGTTTGATACCCGGCTATGGCATCTCCATATGAATATACGGTTCTCAAAAACAACTAAACACTGTGCAAATTGTTTTTTTTTAAGGCAATTTGAATTTGAATTTCAGTTTACCTAAACAAGCATTCGGATTTCTACCAGTAATAACTACTCCTTCTTCAGAAAGAAATGAAGATGGACTTTTCTTACCACAAAGAGCAGCCAATCATCAGCTCTTAGAGGTCGGTGGAACCACATCCTGCAAAAGCAATTAAGAAGAGACTGAAACAATCACTTGATGCATTGTTTTCGTAGATTGTAAAATTGTAGATATGTAATTTATGTGTGTGCCTACGTGTAATATATATATATATGAATTACGTGGTTTGTACAGAATAATGGCAAACACACACTAGGCCCAAAGAAAAGAAAAAGCTTACGAATGGTCCAGGCTAAGAGCAGCTGCACTCATGCCCTTTCTACGGTGGGGGTTTAAACTGATACAGGCGAATATCAGATCTGAAGCAAATGCTACCACGCACCTGTGTGACAATCGCGTGCACAATACAGTCAGTTTCCTAAGTATAATCAACAGGTTTCCGGAAAGATCACAGTAGATATATGTCCCAATAAAACCCCCAAGTTGTCAATGCCAAAAATAATCTGGCTTTTAATAGTCTGGATTACACTTTTTTTTTTTTTTTTTGTCTGGATTACACTTTAAACTTCAAAATATATCAATTGGTGATAATAAAATACCGTTCATCGGTGAACTGCTTAGAGTTTTCAAATGTTAGCACTACATTCAAATTTTTCTAGATCATATGAATAATTACCAAGCTTTTTAGGCTATTTTCAGTTTTATACCACTGAAGTAGAGTTGCTCACCGGTGCAAAGCTTGATCATCAGAAAGCTCTCCCTTTGCTCTAAACCAGTATTTTAATCTGCAAGATGACTTAAAGAAAGAAGTGGTTAGTTTTTATGAGTTACCACATCGACATTTAGTATTAGTTAAGCAATATAATATTGATTTATCAGGAGTTAGACAGCTATGTTAACCTTGGAGGAGACTTTGTCTGTTCTGTAGAATAATTTGGCTCACAAAATCGAATATCTATGGGCCATGGAGCAATATTTTCAGTTGCAACTTTGTTTCGGTAATCCCTGAAATAAAGAAAGAAACAATTAAAAAGTGATTCACTCTTTGCTCTTGGAATAATTGGCCTGGCACAATACTTCTACGTACCTAGGTAGCAGAGGGTCAGTCATACGACGTTCAAGCATCTCGTCTCTTGATACAAGCTGCAAAAGATAGCGATGAAAATGACAATCATCTAACATTCGTTATAAGCCTCAATAGTAGTAGAAATGATTTACAGTTTCAGGAGCTGGCACATGAGGCATGGTTGACTCCTGGTGAATAAAACCCTGTTGCTCTCTCTGTAAAACCAAGGAAAAGAAGAAGTTACAAGGTGCTTTCCCTGTTGTGTAAAAGCGTGAAAAGCTTTTCTCTCATGATGACATACAGTACGAGAAGCATGGATATTCATAATGAAATGTATTTTCTAGAATATAACATGAAACCTGAAATGACGCAAACAAGGTGAATATTGTTTTTCCTTTCTGTCTTGCATCTACTCTTCGGGTAGCAAAGTTGTTGCCATCACGTAAGCGATTAACTTCATATATGATGGGAACTGCAAGGGTTAATAATTTGCAAAGTGTGAAATTCGGAGAAAACAGCAGGAACGCTTTTCAGTAAGGAGGAAAAGCAATAGCTTGCTTTTCAAAAGCACATTGAGATAATGTCCTTACTATTTAAATCTCCAACAAGAAGGAAATAGGAGTGTAAATTATGGACTATCTTCATAGATTCAACAGTATTTGATGCTGCGGCAAGTGCCTGCGAAGTGTAGGCAGTTGTGTCACAGTGAGTGCTAGTTATTTCTTATTTTCCTGATATGAATAGCACATAACAAGCTATACATGCAAATAAACCAGATAAAATACAGCCTTACATTACATGAGAAAATTTCATACCTGTCCAACTAATTGCCCTCCAAAAACCTTTCCAAAGGTTGGAGCATTGGGTAGAGTGAACCCCCGGAATACATTCAACTATCAAAAAAAAAAAAAGAGAATTCTCAAATTTCATTTACCAGCAGGCAGAGAAAGGATGTTATATAGAAACAATGTTCAGATAATCCTGATTCCACAGATTATATTAATCTCATTTATAAGTAATTCACATATATGATGTCAAGCTAACATAGATATGTATAAATGTGATAAGAAACTATGTTCAGATATTCCTGATTTCCACGGAGTGGTAAAAGTGAATGGATGCAAACTGAGCCTAAGAACTGAAATTGGACAAAATGAAGGGGCGATTGGTGGAGAATTCGTACATCTAATGGATCCAGACACAATATGCGTTCCACAAGACAGCGTGAGTCAAGTTCCTTATCTGAATCACAGATTGACTTTGTCTCAAGCAAACCACAATGAACAGACATCAACAGAAAGCAGGTGAGCTGCAAAGAAGAGGCATAAAAACAGAACCCATGAGCTCAAGGCCGTCAAAAGGGAAAAAATAGATAATGTTCAGCAAATACCTCTGATACAGCGACAACATCTGCTGAGTACACATTCCCAAAAATACCTGTACGTAGGATAAAAAAAGCGAATTAAATCGGGGAGCGAAACAAGACTAATAAACAGACTGAAACTGAAGAATGGTTAGTATTTAACAAGAGAATCATCCTCTAACCACGGCCGAAGAAATCAAATCGTTTCAAGAGGAACTCCGAACTGTTTTCCTCTCCGGGTGATCCAAGAACCTGAGCCTGAAAATAATCAAACAAAACCGTTGAAATAGGGTTTGTCCATCTTCGTAAGACTATTAACACACAAGCAACTTCAAACACGAACCTGTCCTTGTAAGAGAAAATAAACGCCCTCCACAACCTCATCTTCACGAACCACGTAATCCCCTCTTTCTGCGAAGCACATAACACCAAAATATCACATTGCAGACAAACATAAGCACTGCTTAATAAACACGCACGGATTACATACAAATCAACAAAACCCAATCAAATCGACTTCGCGGGAACTCGATAAGAACAAAATCAAAATCACAGGAATCTTAGAGATCACTCACTGACCATAACGCTTCAACACAACGACTTGGGCGATTCGCTTCAGAGAAGAACTAGGCAACCGCTGTAACAAGCGCACGTTCCCAAGGAACTCGACAACTGTAAACCAAAAGCATCCATTTTTTATTTAAATCATCCGAAATTGTTGGGGAAAAACAGAACAGATTCAAGAACTCTTCAGTTCAACATCGATTGTTTCTCTCGCTCATCCGGAATTCGAACAAAGTGGTAATAAGATGTCGAAAAAATACCTGATTCAGTGTTCATGGAGAATTTAGTAGAAAACGTCGTTTAACGTTGAAAAAAATGGCCTGCTTAAGTCAATTGTTCAACATTTAATTATGGAAGGAGTTAATTATCGTGTACCCTTCGCCCTTGCGTACAGTTTCTGCAACACCACTCGTTTTCTCAATTTTTTGTGATGCAATAACTACGCTTTTTTACTTTCAGGGAAAAAAATGTAAGTAATGGAAAAACGTGTTAATCATGTCCCATGAGTGTTGGCTAAAAGCTACCAAAAGGACAAATTTGATGGGCCTAATTTCAAAGCCTAACTACTTTTCGGTTTAAGGGACCCAATACGCTGTCATCACTTGGGCCAGATCTAACCCAAACCCGACCCGACCGTGGATTTTCATGAAATCCTCGTCACCTTATTGCACGTCTCTTCGCTGTTGGCGAGGAAGCTAATTGGAATCTTCCGAGCATCTATGGTGAGTAGTAGATTCTCTCACAAGTCGTTTCGGTCTGTAACCACAACCACCAACTGGGTTTGACTTTGACTTCTCGTAATCCTACTTATCTCTTTTATTTCGATTTGTCTTCTTCAGCGCCAAAACATTAGATTGTAATCACTTGATGTTGTTTAACTTTTTGTTTTTCCAGTTACTCGTGATCATTCCAGCCTGATCCAACCAGCTTATGATTCTGTCTCTGTTCTTAGAGCCCCTTGAGCCACACTGATCAATCTCCGGTCAGTGGGTGGTTCTGGTGGAAAATTCCGATCCCATTGCCAGAAAATTCTCCGATTCAACTGTACATCTTACCTGTTCTTCCTTATTTAATCTGGAAAAACCTAACTTCCGGGCAGTATATAATGCTTGATTGCTTCATAGGTTCCCATGTCAATACTATGTTGTGTTCCCGTACTTGAATGTGTATATTGCCTGGGTTGTGCCCATTGGTTGTGGAAGAAATGTCTATACTCAGCAGGTCACGAGAGCGAGAATTGGGGTTTAGCCACATCAGATGAGTTTGAGCCCATCCCTAGGCTCTGCCGCTTGATCTTAGCCGTCTATGAGGAGGATCTCCATAACCCTATGTGGGCACCTCCTGGTGGTTACGGGATTGACCCACATCACGTTGTCCTCAAGAAAGACTATGACCAGACTCAAGGTCGTGTCACGCCTTACATGATCTACTTGGATCACCAAAATGGCCATGTAGTGTTGGCTATTAGGGGTCTTAACTTGGCTAAGGAGAGTGATTACGCTGTTCTGCTTGATAACAAACTTGGCCAGACTAAGTTTGATGGAGGTTATGTACACAACGGGCTGTTGAAGGCGGCCATGTGGGTTTTTGAGGAGGAGCATGAGGTTTTAAAGAAACTACTCGACGAAAACCCGGGTTATTCCCTGACGTTTGTTGGGCACTCGCTAGGTGCAGGGGTTGTGTCTTTGCTGGTCTTGTTTGTGGTTCAGAACCGGGATAGGTTAGGGAACATAGAGAGAAAGAGGATAAGATGCTTTGCTATTGCTCCTCCAAGGTGCATGTCTCTCCATCTAGCAGTGACATATGCCGATGTCATAAACTCTGTTGTTCTACAGGTAAGATGATTATATGAATTGACCTCCATTGACACGCCTAGGTGCTTCTTCTGATCCAGTTTTATTATGTGCAAACCAGGATGATTTCTTACCTCGGACAACTACAGCTCTGGAGGATGTCTTCAAGTCAATCATCTGGTAAGTAAACAGTAGGAATATTAAATTTAATAGCCTCAGGTGTAGAAAGAGAAAAGGACAAGAATCTCATGGTCTTGTTTACATCTTAAACCATCAGCTTGCCATGCGTATTATGCCTCACATGTTTGAAAGATACATTCACGTTCGAGGAGAAAAAGCTTAAAGATACCAGGCGGCTATATGCCCCTGGTAGGTTATACCACATTGTTGTGCGCAAGCCCTTGAGGTATTTATATTTTGATACTCATGTGCTTCGAAATCGTTTCTTCAGCTCAAAGACGAGTTGTCAAAGTGAAAACCATATGCCCTTGGTGCAGATTGGGAAGATTTCCTCCGGTTGTGAGAACAGCTGTCCCAGTTGATGGGAGATTTGAGCAGATAGTTCTCTCCTGTAATGCAACAGCAGATCACGCCATCATCTGGATTCAAAGGGAATCACAGATAGCTCTCGATGTGAGTACCTTGAAATGTGTTTTTAGGCTTCTTGGGACCGCTTCAGCTTTTGGAGATCTTGAGTTCTGACAAAACCACTTTCTGTGTGGTGAACTTTTTCAGTTAATGCTGGAAGAGGACCGAGTAATGCAGATTCCGGTGGAGCAGAGAATTGTGCGCCAGAAATCGATTGTTGAGGATCATGACGAAGAATACAGAGCGGCTATAATGAAGGCGGCTTCTCTGAACATCCCCATGTCTCCATCACCGTCGTATGGAACATTCCATGATCCAGAAGAAGGAGAAAGCTCTGCAGGATCAGGCGTCGAAGGATCCCCGTCTCCGTGGTCCTTCAAAGGAATGAGAAGAAATTGGAATCGATTCATAGATCGATATTTTCCTGTGGATGACAACAGTGGACATATGATCTTCAAGAAAGAGGAATCTTCAGCTTTGTTGTGTAGGTAAGAGCATGAATTCTTGTTATAGGTGTACATGTAGAATGTAGATTCCTAGAATCATAGAGGCAAATTAGATGAAAAATCATTATTGAGAGATTGAGAATTTATTTTCTTCACTAAATCCGAGATGTGAAGCATCATCTCTTTTTCTTCACAAAAATAATTTTTGTTCGGTTGCTTTCTAGCAATTGCTTGTGAAATCTCAGTGGACATAACATTAATGTTGTTATATATATATACACTATCCATTTTACAAGTTCACTTATTTTTAAGTCACAACTACAAACTTGAATTGGTAAAGGCAGGCCAAGATGTTATTTTCATAATCCACGCACTCATCTATTAGTGCTAGTGTTTTTTAGTAGCATGACTAACTTTATGTATATTCATTCGGATTTGGCCTCTTGGGTTCTTGGAACCAAACCAAGATCCGGAACAGCTTCACCTGCAAGTGACAGTAACGCAACGTTACAAACCCTTGAGGAGAGACTATAAATTCCACTATGAGAATATAAAACAAAAGCTATACCATGCATTCGTTTGACGAATCTCTCGAACTCTATGAAGTTTTGAGACTGCATCAGAGTTGGGTTAAGCCTCAGGTAAGTGAAACAAGAAAGGTGGCGACCATCAGGATCGTCAAGGGGCTTTGCGTTTTCAAGAATCTTGTTGTAACCTTCTCTGTCATAACAAGGAAGAGCATTCTCACTAGCAACAGGTATACCAGCATCCCAAGCAGCATTCAGGACCTGAAAAGATTAAACATGACAGCAAAAGTTTGAACTCAAATGTTTGGGCCTAAACGAGTTAAAGCCAATCACTTCTATGAGTTGAGGAAGTTCTTACCTGCCAAACTAGACCTTCTGGGTCGGCCAGTGCCTCTGGGAAATCCTCATGTTGAGCAAGTGTTCTTAACTCCACGCATGTGAAGTTAAGAGCAGCATCGTGTTTCTTCAGCATCGCAGCTATTGGACCGTAGCCATCACGGTTTGAGGGGTTATAGAAGCCAGCAGTTAGTTCAGCAGCATGACTAGCTGTTTTATACCACCAGTGTATACCCGAGAGCTGGTCTCCAAAAATGGCATGCAAAAGAATTCTATTAGCAAGAGCCGGAAAATATGGTGAAATGTAGTGCACTTGCTTAACTAATAGAGCTTTGTTCACCTTTGCAGCGATGCAATTTCCTTCGAAAGCCAAATTTGCCATAGAAAGAACACGATCACCATGGTCAATCAGAACTCTCGAGTACCAATTAAGAAAGAATCTGCCATAGTAGCTGTCGTAGTCACCACCGTCGCGAAAGAATCCAGTCCCATGTGGTGTTGAATTATAAGACTCGGTGTTATCCGGTCCTCTACCCCAAAAGCTGTGCCCTCTTACCTCTGCAGCCTCCTTTAAGCTCTTCATCAAATATTTATCATAACACTGCTCAGAGAGGAGACAGCACAGCAGAGAAGATAAATCGGTGAGTAAACTAATAAAGTATTGGTCTGAATAGCAATGGAAGACAGAATGTAATTTTGTATATGCTTATGATCCATCAAGAAAGAGTACCTGGAATTCACCAATACCAGGATATTTCCATCCATGTTCTTCAGGGTATGAAGGATATCTCAGCTCCCCACATGGTCCTAGTCCGACTTCAATTTCTGTGATGATTTTATCCTCAAAGAATTCATCAAATTCCACACGAAAGCTTCGCATGTAGTCAAAGTAAACCTACAATATTAAGAAAGATCCCTCATTACAAAGTGATTTGCATGTGGTCTTCCAAGAGAAGTCCTATTATAACTTAAACTAAATATGCTAGTTGCTACAGATTCTTTGACCATATAGTAGAATCGATACCTCCAGAGCAGTCCTTCCTCTTAAAACCCGTTGCTTGTCAAGTCCCCAAGTAAGGCATTCAGAGTTACGCCTGCCTGCTCTGTCAGTGAAGTATATGTCGGGATTGCTTTGACCTATTTCTCTCACCCACTCGGGCAATTGTATATGCACATCATCTCCAACATTGCCTCCACATTCGTGGAAGGACATAACAACCTGAAGTCAACATAAGTCAAGAACATGGAAACCGTTCATCTCAGTGTACGAATCATTCCACTAAACTGAGTTGAGGAGACTCAAAGTAAGTGTTATTCGAAACATCACAACGAAAAACTTGGAGAGCAAAATGATGAATGGATGCTTCTGTACCATCGACCATAAACAAATAGGGAAGAGAAACTTCAGGAATGCATGATCAATACCTGTATCTTAAGTCCAAGCTCGCGTATCATCTGAAAAAGTTTCTTGTAGCCACTCCAATTATACACCTGTGGCGTATGAGCCTCCACAATTCCCCACCAGCAGTCGACCATAACACCATCAACATTAACCGACTTTAGGGTTCTTAACTGATCCATAAGCTCTTCCGGTTCAACCACTTCCGAGTTCATATCAATGACTCCCAACTATCATTCAACAGTGGACTCAGCAGAAATCAACCAAAACAAATCTCTAGAAAAAAAAACAAAAATTCCCAAAACTCACTTACTGGTAGCATAACATATACGGGAACACATGGTGTGCCGGCAAAATCACGCTCTTCAAATTGCAGAAATTGCTCATCAACCTAGCAAATGAAGAGTGATCCATCAGAGATTTCACAAAACGAGTGAACTCTAATACGATCGCATCACGGAAAAAGTAATTCTACACTTACGAGCTGATCAGTAGAATCATCCATGGGAGCTTCAATTGGAGCTTTATCCTCAATACTCACTCCTCTCTGTTTCACCTTGGCAAAAACCAAGGGCCTAGCACCAGAAAATGTAGAAACACCACGCCAATCTCCAACACTAAACGGTAACGAGCTCCGAGCCGATACTCTCGCCGGAGCGCCAAGCTTCACGCTCGCTGGAATTACAGTATGAGCCAACGTAATCGAAGAAACCTCTCCCATCACTATTAAATTCTCTCAATTCTGTAGCAAAAGTTGTTCCAATATTCAAATTTTCTGGGAAGCAAGACGAGATATGGCATAGAAAATCAAACCCCACGTGAAGGTGTCAATGCTTTTTCGTGGATCCAAGAACCATTGGTTAAAATCAAATTTTGAAAGGAACAAAAAGTTTCAGGATTCACTCAGATCCGTTTGAGTACGTACAAAGAGTTTTGTAGTGTACCTCTTTACATCGCACACGTGGCCGTACGTAAGGTTACCTTTCCACGTCGGACAACTCGCGCGCGTGGGAAGTTTATGAATGGGCTTTTGAGAAACTTCTATTTGGCCCATTAACCTCAGGTCTGTATCAGAAAGCTCTAATGCTTTTAAGAGTATTTTATATTCGTCTCCATTAAATCTCCAATAACTATTCTGTTTTTCCTTTAATCCATGTATAATATTACCCATTGGAATAAACAGTTATTGTATTGTATTATAAAAGTTTTTTTGGTCCGGGATATTATAAAATTCATTGTACTTGCACGAGTGTATATGCAATTGCCTAAGCCTATATATATATATATATTGTAAATTTGATATAAACGATGTAAAATTATACTACTATTATCTGACGACGTGCATTATAGTGGAAAGAATTGTATGTCAGTTGTGTCGCGTCTGTAATCAATGCTCTATGTAGCTGCGTCTTACAAAATCATTGAAGCTTTAAATTTTTTGAATTTCACTATTTTATCGTTGCAACACTCTCGTAACTCGTAACTACTAAATTTTGGTCGAACTACTATGATTTGATTTATTTCACCTTTCTCTTTTGCGGTGGTTTCCTTGAATACAATTTGATTTAGGATCAGATTGGTTAGATTTGTATATATAGACATTTCGTCTTCTTTTTTATAGACATTTCTTTTGTCAAAGAGTTTTTAGACTTTGTAGACCATAATTTTAATCTATTAGTACGAAAAATGTCTAGAGCCAAAAAAAAAAAAAGTCTAGAGCCCCTAAAATTTCAAATAATTTTTTAAAAATACAAAATATAAACACGCAATAGACTTACAGTGGTTAAGCAAACTTATGTTAGAAAGAGATAATTTATAGAAATAAACACAAAGTTTTGTCGTTATGGAAATAAATGTGCATGCAACCACAAGTTGTGCGTTACTAAATAATGTGGGCTTCGTGGATCGGACATGGATCAATTATTATTTTCACGAGTTTATTGTCTTCATTTCAATCTCTCTCCAGCTCTTTTATTGCCTTACTTAAATTCAATTATTTTTTTACTGACACTTGTTATTTACGTACTTCGGACAAAACAGTACTGTGAAGGTATTTAAATAAATCGCTATTTGATGTTCCGCGATAGATAATCCATCCAACTTTAACAGTGCTGCGTATGTGTTTCTACTTTTAAATAATTTTTTACGTATTAGTACTATCTATTATGGAATTATTCGGATAAAATGAGCATTTATATCTTGTAGTCATAGAAATCGGAATCTTCAATATCGAAATAGTATATTCCATTTTCTTCCAACTACGCATAAGTACATTCTGTTTGTCATACACTTATTACTTAAGATCGATTGATAAAAAAGTAAGTATTTACATTGATGAGAACCAAACAAGAATTTCCGTTTTTTTTTTAAAACAAAAATCTCTGTTAAAGTATGTTCCATGTCCACATAACAAAAAGATAAAAAAATATAAATAAAATGTGTAAGACAGTAAAACCCTGACGTGGTGTATTATTTCATACTCAAAACTTAAATGGATACATAACACGCGCCTTTTTTAGACCTTGAATAACCTATACTACTATTATACATTTTTCCAAACACATGATCCTACCATAACCAAAAAGGTCGAGATCTTACAAGAAGTTTTTAGGTTAATTAATATTCCATAAATCATATATCCTTTTTTAACTATGAAATATATAATTGTTGTGGTATAGTGAAAAGTAAAAAAAAAAAAATTATCAGTAGATGATTACAATCAAAAAGGCCAAACTAAAAAGACTATGCACACATGCTTAGAAACAATAATACCATTAACAAATGGAAAGAAAGCTAAACACTTTTAGTGTAGATTCCTGAATGATAAATTTTGAAGTCAATACTGTCTTTTATGTGCAATGTATGATTGATATTAGACGTTCTTAACAATTGTAAATGCAAATAGTTGGATCTATTTCTAACCGTCATTCTTCAAAAATTGAGATATTATATCAGAGATCATTTCTATTTGATTTTGGTTATCTCTTTAATCCAGAAACTCGGATCTTCAACATTATTATTGATCGCACTATCGAGAACAAAGTCTTCTCTTACATATTAAATTTATCCGGCTTTTTGCTTCAGAACTCTTTCAAACGCAATCATAAAGGGGCATCAACTCTTATCGCTCTCCTTACAAATCCTTCCTTCTAACTATTCACAAATTTTCTTCGATGAGATTTTTTTTTCCTTTTTCAAGATTCTTTTGGTTCATAATCGTTCTATCTATTTTTTTATTAAATTGAAAATCGTTATTCAATATGTATATATATATATAAAAATATGTATGGTCTTATTAGTAAAACAAGTTTTAGGTTTGATAAAAACTAAAACAAGTTTAACTAAGACAATATATCTTCTTAAAAACTGAAAATTTATGAATCTCTAGCTTAGTCACTAAGACATCAAATTCTATCATTTTAGCTTTTTATATAAGTTTTATTATAGAAAGAAATAAGATATTCATGAACCGCGCACATAATCATATAGTAAGCATACAATAGTTTTTGACAAATAACTATCACAGTATAGAAAAATCACTAGATAATGCATTTTTCTTTTGTCATTTTTTTCAGCATCACTTTATTTAGAGAATCTTACCTGGGGTTGCACCAAATAGAATCCAACACTATTACCATAAGTATTGTATAAAGACGAGTAGCTTCCAAAAACCAAGATCATGACTCAAGTCAACCTCTCTCTCCTCTCTCTCCTCTCTCTCTCCTCCTCTCTTTCTCATCATTCAGACATACACAGTACTCAACTTTAAAGTCTCTTAAGTCTCTTTCCATCAGGACCAAGCTGAGAAAGAGAAAGCAATAAAGACGTAAAAAAAGAAAAGAGGAAGATAAAGCTTCAATACCAAAACCTCTTTAATAAATTTTGCCTTTTCGTTGTCTCCTTCTTTATTTCTTAGGTTCAGTTTGGTTCTGGAGTGTTAAACTCAGTACTTGTTCGACATTTACTTAAGTCTACGACAATGGCTGATGGTGTAGAAGCAGCAAGAGGAAGAAGCAAAAAGCAAAACAGCATATTAAGAAAACAACTTGCTATAGCTGTAAGAAGTGTTCAATGGAGCTACGGAATTTTCTGGTCCTCTTCATCTACTCAATCTGGGTAAGGAATTAATCTAATTCATATACAAAAACAAATGAGTAGATCTTGATGTTATCTTTGCATTGCCCTTTTCTTCTTTTAAATCATGAGTTTCAAGGTGTATGTAGTTGAGTACTTTAATCTAAATATAGGGTTTTGGAGTGGGGAGAAGGATGTTACAATGGAGATATAAAGAAAAGGAAGAAGAGATACGAAGCTCATTGTAAATATGGGTTGCAGAGAAGCAAGCAGCTTAGGAAGCTTTATCTGTGTATGCTTGAAGGAGATAGTAGTACTACTACTCATGATGATCATAGTGATCACAATTGTAACAGTAGTACAAGTATGATGCTGTCACCAGATGACCTCTCCGATGAAGAGTGGTACTATTTAGTCTCCATGTCCTATGTCTTCTCTCCTTCTCAATGGTTTGTTCTCTCTCTCTCTCTCTCCTATATATCTATTTAAATTAAATTTTACATTTATATATAGCTACTTCTGAAATGAATTCATAAAACTAATTGGAAATGAAACTTTTCATTTTAAGACGATGAGTCTGTAAAGATTCATCACCTTGGGTCAAATCCCACCTATAGATTTAGTGTACTCGTTTGGTCAACCTTGTGACGGTTCATCATCTCATAACTATTTGGCAATAATTAGTAGAGTGACTGTTACTCTTTATATACTAGAGTACCCCCAACAAGTTTTCGATTTGGGATTCCTTATTGTTGCTAATTCAATTTATTTACATTTTTAAGTAATTCTAATTAAGTTTTTCCTTCTTTAGGATCCAAAATGAATATGCTTTTTATTTGATTGTTTATATATATATGTACGTTAATTAGTTTGCCAGGAAGAGCTTTGGCTACGGGTGAGACCATATGGCTTTGCAACGCTCAGTACGCGGAGAACAAATTCTTCTCTCGTTCTTTGTTGGCAAGAGTAAGCTTCTACAACCTTTTCACTTCTTCTTCAATGACTCTTGATCTCTTAAAGAATCCAATCTGACTATAAATCTTTCCCATCTGCTTCGCTCTTCATGGCTGTTCATATGGCTTCTTTCCTTTAGAGCGCATCAATTCAGGTATGCTACGTATATAAATCATAATATTCATTTTGATGAGTCTTAATTAAAGGGGTTTTGATTGTTAGCAATAAAACTTTAGTGCTCTAATTGTTAGATTCGAAAAGTTTAGTACTTCATATCAATTTGAAATGATGTAGAACGTATCTGTGTGTCTTTGTCTTTCTGGATCTTCTCCAGACTGTTGTGTGTTTCCCTTACTCGTGCGGTGTGATTGAGCTGGGCGTCACAGAATTGGTAACTCTCCATCTTAATTAATAGTAAAGGGGTTTAGCTGTCGTTTCTTGTTTCACAAGGAACTCATACACCTTTGTTTTATTTAATTTTTCCATGAACAATGAAAGATTTCAGAAGATCATAGTTTGCTTCAACACATCAAATCTTGCTTGTTGGAGACTTCAAAACCCGATAACTCTTTAAACAACTTCTCTGCTCACCAAGACAACGATGCTGAGAAGAATCAAATGAAAATTAAAATCAGTGATGGAAACTCGGTGCTCCAAGAGAACCATAAGATTCAATTTGGTATTTCTGATCTCATGTCTGATGAAGACTTGCATTACAAAACAACTGTCTCTACAGTACTCAAATACGCCGCCGATATATCAAAAAGGAACGATAAGAACATACAAGCGGATCTTGTTTCTTCTAATTGTGGCTCAAGTTTCTTGCGGTGGAAGCGGCATGAGCAGCCAAACTCAAAACTTCTTCAGAAACATAGCATTGCGCAGCCATTGTCACAGACTGTGTTGCGGAAGATATTGCACGATGTCCCTTTGATGCACTCTGCAGACTCAAAGGGAATGTTCCCAAGTAAGAGATTTGGTCTGAATCAAGATGATCCTTCGGACAGAAGAAAAGAGAACGAAAAATTCAGTGTCCTTAAAGCTATGGTTCCCACTGTCAACGAGGTACTATATATGTTTCCAAATCCTTAAAGGCTTGCTTTGTTTCAGACACAAGACTATGAATTAAATCCTTCAAAGCTAGCCCTGTATCAGAAACCAAGAATCTGTTTTGAATCTTTCTGCAGGTTGATAAAGAATCCATATTGAACAACACAATCAAGTACTTGCAAGAACTAGAGGAAAGAGTAGAAGAGCTAGAATCTTGTATGGGATCAGTTAACTTCGTTGAGAGACAAAGAAAGACGACGAAGAGCCTTGACGGCTCTGTATTGATTGAAGAGACATCAGGGAACTACGATGACAGCACGAAGATCGATGGAAACTCAGGAGAGACGGTACAAGTCACTGTTTCCAGAGATCAGACACATTTGAGAGTTAAACTCAAAGAAACAGAAGTTGTGATCGAAGTCAAATGTTCATACAGAGACTACATAGTTGCAGACATCATGGAATCTCTGAGCAAACTTCACATGGACGCTTTCTCTGTTAGATCTCACACACTTAATGGGTTCCTCACACTGAATGTAAAGGCAAAGGTAAATTCTGAAAAAACAGTCTTCTTTAAATTTGGAAGACACAGATTTCGGGTTTTTCTTGACTTACACGTAACATTTTTGGGGTTATGCAGTTGCGTGGGACTGCAGTTGCGTCAGTAGGAATGATTAAGCGAGAGCTGAGGAGAGTCATTGGTGAGAGTATGAGAATCACTTAGGGTTTTCTAAATGATTTTTGTAAAAATAAACTTTTTGATGAAACGTTGTATTTTTTTGGACTTTGGTGAATCTATATGTCATTAACTTTATATCGACTCTTCCGAGTCTTTTTGATGAAATCTTTGCTGAGTTTGGTTGGAATTTTCGGCAATGTCATCTTCCTAAAAATTAAGATACAAACTTATTGTTCATGATTAATGATATCAATGGTAAGGATTTCTTTTTCTTTTTTTTCCAATGTAGAAGTTTATGTCATCTAAATTTGATTGATAAAAGTAAAATACATTATAGGAACACGTTGACGAACAACATAGAACGAAAGAAAGCATAGGAAGAACAAATAAAAAAATCTAATTCATAGTGAATAAGTTTCAGTATTTCCAAAACCGTAAGTTAATTAACCAAATGTCATACCCGTCGCCGGTAACTGAATACATAAAGTCATAGTTGCTTCAAAAGGCTACGAAAAAATATGTTAAGAGAGGCCATCTTTAAAGATCCTTCATCAGCAACCGATGAGCAGATGCGATTCAATTATCTGTAACTTAAAACAATATTATTTGAAGATTATCCTTTAATAAATAAAAAATATCAATCCATAGAACTATTTCAATTCTTCACCAAAAAAAGGAAGAATTATTTCAATTCAAACCAGTTGAAATTTGCCCAAACATTATTCAATTAAATGCATCTTTTTGGGTCATGGTTATGATATCGTGGAAATTGGAAAGATTATTGAGTTTCCAAATATTTGGAGAGCTCAAAACAACAACAAAAAAAAATCCATATGATGTTATTCACTCACCATTATCTATATATCCAAACAATTTACTGAATTTAATATACTTTACCATTTTATTTCCCTATTTGTCCAGATTGTCTCACTTAATTAGGTGTATCCTCGAACCTAAACCTAATCTTGATCTCAGATTAGTGTAGTTTGTCTTAGGTAAAATTTTGTTTTATGAGTTTGCACTTAAGTTTCTTGCAAATAAACGGATTGAAAATTTTAATAGTCGGAGAATGTAACTTTAAAAATGTTAGTTCAAAACTCTTTATTCTTTCTTAATTAATGCATTATTTATGAGCTCTTTTGTAACTCCTAGCAAAGAAAAGTAGTAAATGTTATGGTGCAATATAAAACTTAATGGTTTCACTTTCATAATTCCCAATGGATGCAGATTAACGCGCACCATTCACTACTTTCCTGTTTCCTCAAGTGTTTCTTTTTTAGTTTTTCTAATCAATATCGTGGCCAATTTTAAACCAAATGGTACATATGAAGAGAGGAATATTGGAAGTACTTCTCGTTGATGCTCATGGAATCACACACACAAATTTTATTGGTGACTTCAAAAAGACAAACTTTTTTCTTGTGTTGTATATCTAATTATCAAAAATACTAATCACTATTTTAAATGTTTTGTTCCAGGAACTCCTGTGTATTATGTGTTTTTACAATGTGGGACAAAGGAATACCGAAGCAAAATGTCAAAAGGTTCAAGTTTTGTTAGTGATATAATTTTGCTATACTTCTGAACCAAACGTATTTTAAAAGATGTTTGTGGTTCTTTTGTGAGAGAAGGTGATAATGACAACGCATTGTGGAACCAAAAGTTTGTGTTCGATTTCCCAATGTCTCAATGGAAGAAGCTGAGCCACCTCAAATTTAGAATCATGGACAAGGAGCTCTTCAAAGATGGTGGATTTGTCGGTGAAACCATGTACGTTTTCTGCTTATAAAAAAAAAAAAAAAAAAAAAACTGAAGTTTGAGTGGTTGAGCATTAGCAATATGATACCATCCCATGTGTGTATGAATCTTTTTGGTACAGAATTCATCTTGGAGGGATAATAACTGAAGGACGTGACAGAGGATACATGGAAGTTAAACCAGCTCCATACAATGTTGTCCTTGAAGATGACACTTTTAAAGGCGAATTAAAACTCGGATTGAGATTCATCGCAACTGTAAGTAACAAGTAACAACATTGTGATGTTGGTGGATTTGTTCAGAGTGGTGCGTAGATAAGATCCATTACGTCTCCAAGGGCTTCTATTCTTTTTATGATCCGTTGTTGTTTTGGCACAAATCTTTTTGGTTCTTAAAAAGAAACATGCAGTATTAAAAAGGTTTAGTTATCCGAAATTAATTTCTTAGAACTGTCTATTTAGCTTTACCGAAATTGTGAAAAAAAAAAGAGAGAGAGAAGGAATCCACAAACTTATGAAAGTGTGTAATATCCTAAAAATTGGAGTTCTAATGAGTAGTTTTGCTGTGACTCATTATCACTAGTCTTAGGTGTTTAATCACATTGAATTATTCAATAACATTTACAATAACATAGAATAGTGAAATTTCTCAAGAGAAACTTTTATTTTTTCAGGATAATAAATTTCAGAGGAAGGCATGGGAAGTGAATATAGAGGGCAAAAACAATGGAGAACCAATGATTTCTCCTATTCTAAATCTTATGAAACTCCCTCTGTTAAGGTTTCTCCTCTATTGCTTCCGGAATACGACCAAATATCAACTAAAAGAGAACTAAAAGGGGTACGCATCAAAACTCTTTTCTTTAGCTGCATTTTTCCAAAATTTTGGTGACACTCAAATCTATATTCCAGAATCACCTAATGCTTACTACATAACCCGATTCGGATTCTATCAAGTACGAACGATGACATTTATTTGATTTCTGAGTTTATACAAACATTTTAGGTTCATAGCAGGATGGGCAAGAATGCAAGGTCTCATCAATGCAAAAGTTATTTTTTATTTCGTCGACTATAAGCAATGTTCTTCTATTTGTAGCTAGGGCTTCACGGTATCGTGATGGGCAAGAATAAGAAACTGTTGATGACTTTATTTGGTTTCACCTTCAATCTCTATTATAATAAATGTCATGCATTTATATCTTTCGATGTAACATTTTTCTTACTTTCATTTAATCTCTCAACCAATCTCAAAATAAACTTAACACATATTTTCGCATAAATTATTATTCACTCCCATTGAATTTTGTTTTCTTTTAGAAATTTACGTTGTTGGCTAAATGAAGTGGTTTACTTTTGAATATAATTAATCATTTAATCTTATACAATAAAAAATTTCAGTTACTGATTTCATATTTTTATAAGCAAACATTGTCATTAATTTTAGTTAATAGGATTTTTTTTATAAATATGTTAGATATGTTGAATAAGTCACAACCAATAAATCATAGCAGGTACATTGAAAGTAGTTAATATTGTATAATACCATGTGGTGTATACTAAAATAACAATCCAGAAACTAAAGAAATGCCCAAAAAAAAATGCGCGGGCTTCGTTACAACGAGAAAATGGGACGCACGTCTGTCTCACGCACGAACCATGCAAAGATATGTGTCTTCTCCATTACACTAAGTTATCATGTGCTAAATTATTAGTATATAATTCAAATTTGAAATTAAATAAATATAAACTATTCACCTATTATGAGTTGCAGTTAATCGTGTCAGCTACATGGGGATTAAGCTAAACTCTAGCCATGTGATAATTGGTCTAATTTAATAAAAGGTTGACACATAAAAGATAACATAAAATGTCCAATAGAGGCATAATAACTAGACCGACCAAATTAAGATTACTTCTTAAAATCATTTATAAAGATCAAGAGGTGGAATACGTTGAACTTCTTTTTTTTTTGTTAAACAATACGTTGAACATTCATCCTCGTCTAGAATAAAGATCTTTCATATAGTTGAAAAATTAAATAAAAAAAGTCAGAAACGAGTGTTAATTTTTAAATAAGGTTGGATTTCGCTTCAACAAAATATACTGAATTAGCCTGAGATGTCTGAATTCGTAATATAGAGTTAATTTGATATCTATATACATAGTTATTGATTCGTTTGAAAATGAAAAAATAAAAAAGAAATCGTTGGTATTGTGCAGTCATTATTAATTTTAAATGATCCAATAATCAAGATTTTTTTTTTCCTGATTGAAAATTATATTAGCAAGCCAACAAGAAAACCCATAAAGTATAGTAGCAAATACTTCAACAGCTCTTTAATGGGTATAATTTCTCATAGAACCACAACACTTTTTTGAAGCCAAGGAAAAGCCAATTCATCGTCTCTGGATCAATCGTTTGCTTTCATCGGACGGCCCACATTACTCACTTTATCAGGTCATCGGCTTCTTCACCTGAAAACTTCCAAGCGGGTTTTGGATTCAACAGGAGGGAATTGGGTTTTTTTTAACGTACGTTAACTTCAAATCGAAGCAGAAGCTTTAAAGGTAAATCAAATAAAAAAGACCGTTGCTTTGATCTCTTTACTTTAACGTTCTTTTCAAATTTAAAGTTTCAGACTTTCTCGCGATCGTTATCTGTGAAGACTTTTATTTGAAATACATATTTGTTCTTTATTCAGCAAAATTCCGGTGAAACCAAAGATAAAATTCCGTTTTTTTTTCTTGCTTTTTGCCTTTTTTTTTTATAACAACTTTATTGTTCTTTGGTCCTAGAAATTTCACTGTCCAAACTCCAAAACAAACTCCCGGTTTCAAATTTCAGATTCCGAATTTAGAATCTAAAGTCTCTAGATAAACGTAACGAAAGCTTTTAAAGCAATATTTACATTTTTGTGTGTTCCTTCTTCAGAAGAAACAGATCAAGAACAGAACGAGAGAGAGAGAGAGAGACTTGGGGAGTTTTCAGCTACAAAAGATGGAGAATTTATCGAATCAAGATGAAAACGAAGATGCGGGTTATCATCAATCACCTCGGTCCATTGATCCAAATGATCAATCGGCATCAGAAACTCCGGTTTACTCGACGATGAGCATAGATTCCTTTGTTTATCCTCGAACTTGTTCAGAGAGTACTTCAGGCTTTTCAGACCAAATAGATGAAACCAACAGCTTCTGTAGTGAAGCTTCTCCATGTAATTGGCCTGTCCTCACTGAATCTAAGTTTGATGAGAGCTCTAAACGTCTCACTGCTCTAGAGATGCAATCAACTGAAAACCTTGCAGTTCAAGAAATTTCAGAACCAGGTGCTCTCTCTCTCTCTCTCTCTCTCTCTGCTTTTTTAAAAATCTGAAACTAAGGTTTGTGCAGAACTTGAGACAATGAAGGAAAGATTCGCAAAGCTTCTACTTGGAGAGGATATGTCAGGAAGTGGTAAAGGAGTCTGCACTGCAGTGACCATCTCAAACGCAATTACCAATCTTTATGGTAAGCATCAGTCAGTCACACCGCCTATGTTGTAGTTTCAGACAAGTGTAAAATACTCTTCTTTTCTAATGCATATATTTTTGAAATATTTTAATGTTTGCAGCTACAGTGTTTGGACAGAATCTGAGGTTAGAGCCGTTAGAAACAGAGAAGAGAGCATTGTGGAAGAGAGAAATGAATTGTCTGTTATCTGTATGCGATTACATAGTCGAATTCATCCCTAGATGTCAGAATCTAAGCAATGGAGCTACTGTTGAGGTAATCACATAAACTTTTCAAAATTATTTGTCTAAAATTGAAAAAACAAAAGAAAATGAAAACTTACTTGGTGGGGTATTTTTCAGGTGATGGAGAGTAGACCAAGAGCAGATATCTATATCAACTTACCTGCATTGAGAAAGCTAGATTCAATGCTCATGGTACATATACATTATCCGAAGACATTTCAAATGATTATGAATCAAAAGGTCTTCTTTTGATCTTTTGTTTGCTACAGGAAGCATTGGATAGTTTCCAAAACACAGAGTTTTGGTATGCAGAAGAAGGGAGTCTATCGATGAAATCTGCGCGTTCTGCGACTGGATCATTCAGGAAAGTTATAGTACAGAGGAAAGAAGAGAAATGGTGGTTACCAGTTCCTCTAGTTCCATCAGAAGGTTTGTCAGATAAAGCCAGAAAACAACTCAGAAACAAGAGAGAGAGTACTAATCAGATTCACAAAGCTGCAATGGCTATCAACAGTAGCATTCTCAGTGAAATGGAGATTCCAGAGTCTTATATGGCAACTCTTCCAAAGGTTTTGTTTTTCATTTGTTTGTTACGTTCAAAACAAACCTTTGGTACTAGAATCTTAAAGATTGGGTTTTGAGCCTTGTTCTTAACCGTTTTGGATGTGTTTTATGTTCTGCAGTGTGGTAAAAGCAGTGTTGGAGATTCAATCTACCGTTACATGAGTAGTTCGGGTCGGTTTTTCCCAGAACAACTCTTAGATTGTCTGAATATAGCAACTGAGCACGAAGCTGTTCAGTTAGCAGATAGAGTAGAAGCTTCGATGTACACATGGAGACGCAAAGCCTGTCTAAGTAACTCTAAGAACTCATGGAACATGGTGAAAGATCTTATGTCCAACACAGAGAGAACAGACAAGAACTATCTTATGGCTGAGAGAGCAGAGACTCTGCTCTTCTGTTTAAAACAGCGTTACCCAGAATTGTCTCAGACATCATTAGATATATGCAAGATTCAGTATAATAAGGTAAACTGAAGGAAGAAAGTCATTGAATTTTATTGTATTATATCATGTGACTGAGACTAATTAAAGTTCTCCCATCTTTTTTATTTGTGTTGGTTTCAGGATGTTGGAAAAGCTGTGTTGGAGAGCTATTCAAGAGTACTTGAAGGTTTAGCTTTTAACATAGTTGCTTGGATTGATGATGTTCTATATGTAGACAAAACCATGAGAGGTAGTGAATAAGTTGAAGTAGATTTTGATTTTACTTTTGAGAAGAAGATTTATATGTTTCTTTTCCTTCTGTTCTCCGCTCCTGTAAATTAAACTCGAATCAAATCAATGTGAAATTGGAAAAAAAAAAATTTTTTATCCCAACGTATTTAATTATCCAAGTTTCCCCATCAAATTCATGAAAAAAGAGAGAAAGGTGTTCATCAAGAAGGAAGACTACATATAAAAGAACTCGTGGGGAATAATTATAATAATATTTAGTGGATAAATAATGGAACAAGAAACTAAGAAAAATTAAATCTCGAATCCCCTATATATACAACAGGGTTCCGAACCAGCATGGGTCCGGGAGGATGAAGTGGTGTGACCAAAAAGCAAAAAGGGTTAGTAGTTAAAAATACAAAAGACCTCCTGAAGAAGCCACACAGACTCATAGAGGTCTCTCTCTCCTTAAGACTTCCTGCTTCAGTCTTCTTATGAGCCCTTAAATAAATGATACAGTCTCAAGGCACCGAAGATCCAAGCTTTTTTTGCACCTTGATTCTCACTTTGCAGAGCTCACATGATCATCCAAAAAACACTATGAAACAGTAGAATCATTTCAGCTGTCGTCATCCACCGAACCAATATAAGTCAGATCAGTCCGTCTGACCCTCACTGCACCTTTTAGCCAACAGGTGGCTCGAAGATTGCCCATATCGCTGCTATTTGAAGCGTTGCTGCTTGATGGACCTGAACTTGTACCGTCTTCTAGAAGCGTCCATGGGTCAACCACATCCGTGTTGTCTGGTTCTTGCTGTTGAGATGGTGACAACATTGTCTGCTTCAGCTTCCCTTGCGCTGCTGCTGTTCCCGTTTTTGGTATGGCAGCTGAGTTTCTTTGATTGAGCCCAGCAGCAGCAGCAGATCCAGAGGGTTGAACAAGTGCGAGTGCTGTTGGCGGAACAGAATGTGGCTGGCACGATAGAGAACACCGTAGAGAAGGAAGGAGAATTGGCATCGCTGCTTGGATGCGCCATCTAATGGTGTCTGGTAACTGCATCCGCGCAAGCTCATTCTGAATTATTGACAGCAACAAAAATAAACAAGAAACTTCAAGAACCGTACTTTTCAGTCAAGAAGACAGACTCTGGAGGGTTTTATAATTATTTGACAAACCTGTAAGCTCTCTGCTGCATCACGATCAAACGCGGTAAAGTCTTTGGATGATTCATTAGAGGAAGACCTTGGCTTTAGCCAATTTGGCTGGTGATTGCTTAACAGCCCATGGAGTACAAACAGTAAACGGTCAAATAAGACTTCACTAGAAAGATCTGCCATGGAAAAAGGATCTACAGTTGATTCTGTCTCCGCCTTTGATACGTCACTACGAGGAGAGCATACAGCAGAATCTTCATAAACTACTCGGCTTCCAAGCAGACGAACTATTGTAGACGCAAGTGTATGTCTCGTGTTCCTAAACGAGGTTTCCCTGAAAAATTAATTGCCATAGAAAAAGTTAACACAGGTTTTGATCAGGTAACACGGGAAGAGCCATTTCATATGACTTTTCAACAAAACTGGTTAAACAGAGAAAAATGATGGTAGAGACTTAGTACCCGCAGATAACAGGCAGTAACCTTAGAAGAAATTGCAACCGCAGAGACATAGAAGCTCTCAAAGCAGCAGGGGAAGGCGGCGATGCAGTGTCGGTAGTATTGGTTGAGGATCTTCTTGCCAAACTAGGGCTACCACCACGAAGGCCCTTCCGAGTACTTGCTTTATTTGAAGAAACCTCGGATCCAGAAGATGCAGTTCCCATGTGCTTGTTGTTTGTTATACTGCGGTTGGTAACTGAACTTAACTGCTGCTCAATATTGCTAAACTGTCTTACCAACTCATTCACAAAGGTACTTCGAGATTCATCAGAACTTTGATCTATGCATGGAAGCACTAGCTGAACAAAAGCCCTCTCAGTTGTAATCCCATAGCCAACACTGGGACTACTCTCATCTAATGTTCGGGGTAATAATACCTTTTTTAAACCCAACCCTTCTTCGGTCACTTCCCCTTCTTCGATAGATGTAACTTCCAACTTCCTTTTCTTCCCTGCCTTGTTTGCCGTGATAGGATCGGAACTGGCGTTGCTGCACCAACCCCAAGGTTTCCAGAACTGAGGTTTCGTAGGCAGCCCTTTGCTTTCACCTACTATAATCAGTTTTTGTCTGATTGTTTTCCGTCCAAAAAGAACATCTTGACCTGCTAGAAACCATTCAGCTTGCTTTAACATTGAATCCTCCACCGATCTACCGAAGAGATGAACCACTTCCGAGAAAAGTGGGACCGCATCAGGTCTAACCAATAACCTTGTGAGGAGGATCTGAATGAAATTTTTCTCATTCTCAGAGGCATCAGGCTTCTCCGAGGTTGGACAGGAAGATCGTATAGCATCTGTCAAAGGCATATCGTGATTTTCGAGTTTCTCAGTTAATGCTTGCTCATTTAGAAGCAGCCTTAGCTCAACCCACTGCCAGTGAAACTTTGCAGGTTGCAGGCAATCTAATACAGATACTAGCTTGTCCACAAGCTTTGTTCCATTTCCCTGGTGTCGGTTTTTGGCTTCACTAACTCCTTCGTGAGAATAACCAGAGGATGGCACCTTACAATCAATTATGGAATTTAGGAAAAGACGCGCACGAAGAGGAGCAAAGGCCACAGATTTCAAGTGCATATCCAAACCATTCAACTCTAGTACCGACGCAAACTCAGCATCCGTGGAATCAGCAACTATCAGTTCATAAAGTCCCTGGGTGTCTCTCAAGCACACATCTCGGAAAGGAAGGTGCTTAATCACATCATGGAAGGCCATTGTCAAAGACTGATAAAGGCGCGGAGTATCTTCATGGACGCTGGAATTAGAGTTACCATTCGAAACAAAAGGCCTCCATAGAACAAAAGCAATAATTGAATAGGCTGGTGGGAAGACCAATTTCAGCGGAAGCATGCGCTGCATACGCCATAAAGCCACCACTGAAGATTCCCCTACAAGCTCCCAAACCAGCCCTTCCGAAACAGTTTTGCAGTTACCAACAAGAAGTCTGAACCAATGTACATAAACTTCAATAGGGTTCTCCACTTTAGAGGCTCCCACAGACCTAGCACTGCCATTAGAACTCGCTTTCGTACGCCTTACAAACTGAACGAAATCTAGGTACTCCCTTAGTCTCAGCAGGCCAACAATCCTCTCAAGGGTTATCACGCCATGTGTGATAGCACCTATAACAAGGGCAGATACGGCTGCAACAACTTTTGTGGCTTTGCTCGGCGCTATTTTTCCAGTACCGTTCGGTATATCATTTGTGGTGTTGTTCACATTTGAATCATAGGATTCAGGAGATAGCTGATGCTGACCCCGAGATCCCTTCCCAGGGGCAAACGCTCCAGCAAGAGCAGTGGAACTTTCTGTTGCAAGCGCTATTTCAAACACTCGGCTTTGACGCTCTCCAAGAGCTTCTTTTAGAAGGCACAGACAGGTTATATGGATTTGCAAGATGTATCGTGCAATATTAGATGAATCTACGCCAGACAGATGATTCTGATAAACATTTCCCACAGAGAAATCTGAAATCCTTGCCACGGAAATGCCTACACTGTTTATGATCGCAGAAACCGCAGAAGAAACCAAAGAGGGATCACCCTCTTGAGCTGCACCGCCAGTCTGTCTAATGCAGTCCATTAGTCCAACTACAATTTGTTGAGCCACCTGATACCCGTCATCATTTTTATCAGCAAGTACGGCTTTCATGGTACCAGTACCAATAATTTTTCTGAGATAATGAGTTGCGTCTTCAACATGTCGTTGCACAACCTCTCTCATATTCAAACCCACTCTTGAAGGACGAGTACCGCTGATGCTGATTTTTTTGCGTAAATAGTCATCTGGATTATCTACTCCTGCTGGAACCCCAAGGGGGATTCCATACTCACCATTTCCTGATCGCGAGTGATCAAGTTCAGAAAGAAGCCTCTTTTCGCATGTTGTTTTGAAATTGTTATGCCATTCCACCACACTGGGGAGACTTCCATATCTTTTAAATATATAGCGAGCATAAACTAAGGCTGCTGATCCAGAAATTTTCCCGTTACTGGACATAAGTGACGCAGCACGGGTCATCAAAGCTGTCATGGCCTCGGGAACAAGATTAGCTGAAAGTAGAATGTTTTCATACCTGAAACAAAGTTGAACAATTAAATTTCCAGAAATACATTTGTCAAAACATAGATGACTAATGTCACTTGTTAAATGCTAACTAAAACCCACCTCCTAAGTGATGATACAAGAATAGCCTCCCCTACTTCACACACGTTGTTTTCAACATTCCTTGGCACAATTAGAAGGTTTCTCCCACCTTGAACGGCAAAACTTGGGCTACTGTTGGCCTTTGGCAATAACCAAAGAAGAAATTTAACCACTGAAACCAAGTCAAGAGAGATATCCATGAGAAATAATATGGAAGAAAGCTCGTCTGCCCCAAGCTTCCACCTAGTTGTGCTCTTTTCTTCAACTGGAGCACCTCTATTGATCTGCCCAACTCTCACACTGCTCTTTTCGGACTCCTCAACAAGTTGCCGAACCACAGTTGTAAGCCAAACTGCTATAGACCGCTTATCAACAAACTGTAGCTGCTTCAAAGAGTTTCCAATAGATACGATATCCACAGGGGTAGAAGTTCTAATCACATCAACCACCTTATGGTTTTCACCTTCCACTCCAGGGCCATGATGAGGACAGCTTACTCTATTATTACAAACATGACTCGTCGAAGCGCCCTGGCTACCTTCAATCCTAGCAGCTTGTAGTTGAGCCAGCGACTGTGTTTTACGCGCCATCTTCTGCCTACCCCTCGGTATTTGTTTAGTTAACTCTATCGGAGGATCAACCTTCAGAGAAGGCTCCAGAGTTTTCAATCCCTTCTTGATCCACCAGTTATCTTCTTCATCTGATGCACTTGGTGAACTCCCTTGATCGCAAGAGCTCTTTTCATCATTCATTTTTAGTCTTTTTGCTCTTCTACAGTCTTCACACCCTGGTGTAGCTTCTAGTTCATCCATCTTG